ATTGGTGGTCATTTAGGGCCACATTTGCCGTTCTTTTATCTGATAGTCTATAATGACACTCATCATATCTCTCTATCTCTCTTGTTTAGTAAGTGACACTAACACCATGGACAGAGCTAGAGGTAACGCGGTCCAGCCAAGCATTTCTATCCAAAACTAGGCTGCAATAAAATCACGTATACACCACGGCAATCTATATTTTTTCAAAGAATGATCACTGTTTGCCTTCTGTTAAACGATTCTCAGTCGAAAACCAGGCATATTTTGGAAACGCAGTCCAGACAATACACAACATATTTGACAAAACCGGAAACGCGGTTACAGCAATGAAGCTGGTGTTCTATCATGTACGATAATTTCTTTGATGCCCAACGGACTTTGGGAAATGGGGTTGTTGGCCTGTTCCCCCTAGTTGGTGAGATGAAAGTCCTACCGTTTATTTCCCTCGATATTTATACTAATTGAAGACGTGTTCCCTATTCTTCTTCGCTTCGTTCGGTACAGGGACATATTGCCCTTGCTTGATCTTCTCTTTCTGAGAAAATGCCTTAGATGCCTGATTAAGTCAAAATCCTAGATAGAAAAGAATAAGCCATTAACTACTTTATGCTTTACAATACAGAGAAAGTTGGTGCCTGGGCCACGTTGCCAAACAATCTAATCCATGCTGTGGACGCGTTGCCATATTGCTGAAATGACTGTGCCGCGATTCCTTAATTGGAATTAGAAGATAGCTTTAGAAAAATAGAATCGGGAAATCATATTTGTGTTGACTATTTCTTTACTCTGGCCAATGCCTGAACATAAATTCTTATAGCTTTACATACTGGGGGGGGGGGTCACCGAATGTGAAGCATGCATTTTTTCAAAAACTTGATTATGTTTCGAGGAAATAGAGGAGAAGTGCCTCCGATAATCGGAGTTTGCCTCCATTGTGGTCTGTAATGCGTTGCAGCCTCGTTTTGAACAGCTACCAGTGTCCGTCACGCGTTATCTATGTCCACCTTGATTAAACTTTGACGATGTAAAAGTCATTCAAAATTCCCAGATTAATATTTCCAATTCTGATTAAAAAATATATATTTGTAGAATCAATAAAAGTTTCGTAAAATAAATCAGAAAGTGGTCTCATATGACTTTATAATTGAGCTCATTGAGATGAAGGAACATTTAACCACCAAAAAGTCAAGTGTCTATTTTCGTGTCCTCCCATTAAAGGTTTGCGCCTAGAGATGATCATATCGACTAACACCGGTGATTGGGTGCAATTTGTCATAATTCAAAAGAAATATTAATTCCCACGGCAGAAGTTATCACAGAAATACAAAACGGTCAAACTAGAACATTTTTTTGTTTGCAGTTTGTCTTGAGATCAACGTCTTCAAATGTCTTCACAACTGTTGAACCGTGTGCATTAATATATTTTGAAAGATCGTTAGTTTAAAATACAGCAAGCGAGACAAGCTTTAATGGCCGCATTTTTTGAAATATTTTTCCAGAAAACTACGTTACGTTTTCAGATTTTTTTATTAATATCCATTTTCTGCAAGATCAACATTTATCTTGTTCTCTCATTTATGGACGTGGAACACGCATGCGCTGCAATAAAATATTCTTTCTGACAACATTTATACTCACTTTCAACTTCTACAACACATAACTTAACTGTATTTTATTAATCTATAGAGTTGTCACACGCACTTGTCGCTACCCTCTTCAAAAGTTTGATTTCGCTTTATTAAAAGATGTTCATCTACAAGGCTCTGTGCTAAAGGGTAACTTGCTGCAAGAAATGATTTAAAATTGAGGACGTTCTATTTCTATTTACGTTGATAACACTACGTTGCATGTTTTGTATTTGTGCAAGAAATATATTGCATCCCTCACAGGCAGATATAGGTTTCTCATGGACTTTGTTCAAATTATATGAAGAGCTCTTGATGTCAGAAAAAGTCGAAGTGCTTCTAAAATACCTAATTGCACAAGGTCTAATGTTAACGTTCTTTCAATGGCCTTGTTCAATGTATTTGTATCTCCTAAATGTTAAAACGGATAATGCAATGACATTTGCCTAGTTCCAATGATTGTCACCTGTTACAGATAATTAAACACACCGCGTTGGAGAACACGGGCAACATCAACGCCCCGATCATACAGTGACATACCACGCGGTATCATGAATATGCAAGGGGTCTTGTATCCGTTTATTACCGATTCAAAGAGGTATATTCTTGCGAAAAAAGTCCTTCAGAATTCCATGATACCGAAAATGGCACTGAGTTTGATTTATGATACCAAAGCTCCCCAAGGCCAAATAAGTCATTGTTGCTTAGCGATCGATCTGGAGATTTCACAAAAATCAGTATACTCAGAGAAATATAAAAATATAAATATGTCTCTGCTAAATAACAATTACAAATTTTGAAATAAAAGAAATACACAAAATGATTGTTCTAAAATAAACAAAATTATTATATTAAAACCTTATTATAAAAGGTTGTCGGATCGGGCATCAAAACGTGCGCCATATTTGGGAAACAAAATATCACTAAGGAAAGCTTTGCGCAGGTTTCAATATAATGACTACATATCGATCATGCCCCTATACTATACCTTTCCTGATGTAACGTATTTGCAAATACATTAACTAAACGTTTGACATTAAGTCCAAGTTAACGTAAACCTGTCTTATGGCAGTCTCTAATTATCGACATTTTCTTCTCAATTTCCTTATATTTTCCTTCGCTTATTAACACAGCATTACCTTGAGTCACGACATTATAAAATACAAAGCAATTGACGGGAAAATAAATATCTTTTTTGAGTATTAACGAGCTTGGTTTATTGGATCCTCAGTTTGTTTGCGTGAGAACGCAAGATTATCAACACCCCATAATAAATATGTGACAGAGGTGACCCTCCATAACAAGGTGAATTGGTCCCACATCCTTATTATTCCAACGAACGAAGTCAGGTAGGGATATAAAAAAGCCGTCCGTCCTTTGTTCGTTGATTTGTCAAGGCTATAATTCAAATACCGGGTGATAGATTTGGTTCCAATTTTAAAGGCAAAGGACCTCTGTTCGAGAAAGCAATTTCAATAGTGCTGCTCATTTCAAAATCGCCGCCTTTTTTGATACTAGTAACTTAAATTCCATTTATAGAATTTGGTCCAAATTTTATAAGCTAATGTCTTATGGGCAAAGGACCTCTGCTCTACCTCAAGGAGTCAATTTCAATATGGTCACTCATTTCAAAATGGCCACCTTTTGGTTTGAAAATGTAATCTTTGATAACTCGACTACCAGTCGGCGAATTTGGTTCAAATTGTATATACTGATGCCTTATAGAGATAAAAACCTAATTAAGAAGGAATTTTCAAAATGACCGCTGAATTTAAAATGGCCGCTATATTTCATAAACATATGGATATATGACCTCTGCAAGAAAAATATGTTTTTCCTGATAACGCAAATACCAGACCTCTCCTCAAAAAGGAATTCATCATATAGTCTCACATCACATCATGGGTGTAGATTTTGCCAAAGGGGTTTGAAAAAATGTATTGCTCGGTGTGATTTGCTACTCTTGGGAGTTGCCGTTTTGTAGTTATTCTTGTTCGTCCGTATAAGTAGATGTTTGTTCATCGATAATACCGTGTCTCATAAAGTGCTTTCACGTATCTTATAAACAATCCCATCCCCACATTGTATACAATTAGCTTCCCAATAAACATATCACAAGCCTCTTCGGAGTTGTTGATATGGTTAGTAATTATAGGTGATGCAGGTACTATTACGTTAAGGTTGATAAGACTTTGTACCGGCGGGCAGTGACTTGCTTTTTAGATTATAACTATTTAAATCACAGACAATGTGGCCCAAATCATTATATTCGGGCAAAGCTTACGAAAAATACTGTCCACTGACAAGAGAGTCAATTTTTATTGCCGTAAGCACAGTGGTAAGTGGGTGAAAATTTATGAAAGAATTGTTTCAGACGCCTATGACCTGTGATGGCTGAGACTTTAAAAGTGAAGTGCAAACATGTAATATTATTTTGGAACCCCTGTATTGATGTAGGTCAAGCATTTCATATACAGGTTGTGCACTTTTACACCCCTTCGACGGGATGTCCCTTAGATCATGTCTGCAGCTTCAGTTATTGATTCCAACTAACCACAAACATGACACTAATATGACAAAATGTCACCACAATGTAAATTATTGCAACAGGTTCCAAAACAAGGGTAACGATATTGCTTCAGACGACGAGGGACTAAAAACGTTGTTGAATCCTGCCAGAATCCTCTCTTGGCGTAATTATCTCCCATCTTGTATACCATAATGGCCTAGTCACATAGCCCGACCGATGAGGTTCCGATGAGCCAGCGATGCAATTTTCACCGAACTCGGCCGAACACCGGCCGGACACCGGCCGGACATCCGTGGCGTTTGTTGCTTAAAACCGCATCGGTGGCAGCTCGGTGAAATTTTAACTTCGGAGTTAAATTTCACCGGGCTCTCACCGAGCTCCCTCATCGCAGCCCCATCGTAACCACATCAGAACACACGTCGGCCGGTGCACGGCCGAGTATCGGTCGGTGTCCCGTGCATCTGAGACAACCAGAGGACGAGGTTTTTTTAACGGACACCGGCCGAGCTCCGACCGAGCTCCGGCCGATGTGGGACAGAGCCTTGGAAAGTATAGTACCTGAAGATGTCCGGACGGAGTCCGTTCACGTCACCGAGCTCTGCTTCCGATGAGGAGAGCTCGGTGGCACCAAAAAAATCCACCGAGCTCTACCGATGCCGGACATCGGCCGGGCTATGTGACTAGGCCATAAGGCTAATATCTGTTTTAGCATGATCCAGCCACCTCCCTTTTAATTTCCATTTTTCTTTTCATCTGCCCATAATGCATATTGGTAGGGCATTCATCTTGGAATTATCACCACATACTTCAACTGTCTAAGCATCATTATGTTTCTCCTTTTTCAGTTCACTCGAGAATGCCTCGCAGACATCGGTACCAGGGTAGTCGTCGTGGCAGCGGATGGTCCAGGCGGTCAAACTGCAAGCTGCCTCGGTCAAAGTGAGGAATACATCCACCAATCTTGCAGGGCGTACGGGGCTGTTGCCATGTTGGAACGTAAAGACGAAGCAACCATTCCGGCCCCTGAGATTCGAGTTCACAATCTCACATTTGATCTCAGTGCCTATGGAGCTGAACTGAATGAGGTTACCTATCCACAGACATTCCATTTTAAAATATTCGGTAGCCTCCGGAATCGTTACTTATCCCTAGTGGTTCCAAAGTGTGATTCCAAGGTGGTCAAAGCGCTCAAGTCTGGCTTAGAACAATCAGTGAGTAGTTTTTGAAAAAAATCTTAAAAATGTGATTGAAATAACTCGTAGCTTGGGTTTTTACCGCTGTTGAGTCGACATATTCTCATGGACCAATTCCATAACGTTTTATGGGTTCGAGTATAGCGGAAATTAACCTTCAATCTGCCTCAGAACAATCAATGATAATTCCGATCTTCAATCTACCTTAAAACAATCAATGATAATTCTGACCTTCAGTAATCTACCTTGGAACAATCAATGATAACTCTGACCTTCAATCTGCCTTGGAACAATCAATGATAATTTTGACCTTCAATCTATTCAATCTGTCTTTGAACAATCAATGATAATCCTGACGTTAAATAGACTTGGGACAACAATCAGCTACAATTCTGACCTTCAATCTGCCTTGGAACAATCAATTATAATCACGACCTTCTATCTACCTTGGAACAATCAATGATAATTCTGACTTTCAATCTGCCTGGGAACAATCAATGATAATTCTGATCTTCAATCTGCCTGGGAACAATCAATTATAATTCTGACCTTCAATTTGTCTTAGAACAATCAATCATAATTCTGCCCTTCAATCTGCCTTTGAAGAATCAATTATAAATCTGACCTTCAAATCTGACAATCAATTATAATTTTGACCTTCAATCTGCCTTGGAACAATCAATTTTAATTCAGACCTTCAATTTGCCTGGGAACAATCATTGATAATTTTGACCTTCAATCTGTCTTCGAACAATCAATGATAATTCTGAGCTTCAATCTGTCTTAGGACAATCAATGATAATTCTGACCTTCAATCTGCCATCGAACAATCAATGGTCTTTCTGACCTTCAATCTGCTTGGGAACAATCATTGATAATTTTGACCTTCAATCTGTCTTAGGACAATCAATGATAATTCTGAGTTTCAATCTGCCTTGAAATATGGATATTGTCGCGTGTCCAATCAATGACAATTCTAACCTTGAGCATGTCCTTGATTCTTGCTAAGAACAAAGTGTCATTAGAACAATCCTTTGAACTTGTATCCAATTAGAATAATCGGATGAGACTGCTGATGCTGATTCTGAATTTTATAAAACAATAAACTGATTAATATGAATGTCGTGATTGTTCGTCCTCCTATCAAATAACGTCAAAGTATTTATCACTCCAATGTAATCCCATTTAGAATTGTGATCAAATAGCAAAGGCTATTTCAAATAACAAATTGCAATTAAAAGCAGGTCATCATGGCCATTTCTCATCATAACTTACCCATTCTTGACGCCAGCAGAGCAGGCCCCTTGTAAAGTCAATAACGCTCAATTATCCCCGTCGTTTCATTTAGTTGACGATGTCTTATTGTCAAACTAACAAGGCATATCAAGTAAATGCTTTTATAAATTGTTTTAACTTGATTCTGTTTGCCAATTTGGGATTTTATCAGAGACAAAGTTTGTATGACCAAGATGGGCCGTGTAAAACCAGGGTTTATCTACCCTTTGCATTCGTTCGACTTTGCTTCTCAAAAGAGAGCTTCGTCTTTAATTAATAGTTTGTAACTAGACTCTGGGCGCAGAGTAGGTTTTATCCATTATTCATGGCCAAACATGTTACCGAATTGGCGATTTGTAAAGATTACCAAATGGGTTTTCAGACAAGAAGAACACTGACACATTGAAATGGACAATAAATTAGAAAACATGGGAAATTTCGATTGGTTGATAAAAGAGCAATAATAAAGACAGGCCGAATCAATGATTAGGGGGGTTAAGTTACACGTTTTAAGACCCCTGGGATTAATGTCCCGCTCTCAATTCACTTCTCCAGGGACCTAATTACAATTATTTCCCGTATACCTTTATAGTCAATCAGCCAAGTAAACGGTACAAATGGGATAACTAATCCACAGAGGACTATAATTCTACACGTTCACGTACTTTACAAAAAAACGTATATCTTAATCTCCCATTTTCTTTAATTGGAAATAACCTGTCGAACAGGATAAGTTCAATCAATATCCTGGTATGTCAACATAACTTAAAGGATATGATTAAATGTGTTAAATAAATTCATTGGTTATTTCATTAAGGATATTGAATCCGTATATTGAATTAATCTTTATTTAACTGTACAGTCCAAATCCCTGGATCAGTGGCTTGGTGGGATTATATTCCGTTATTATTGGTCACTATTAAGCGAAAGTAACGGCCGTAACCTTCGCATCTAAGATGGCGGCCGGTAATTGTCGATTTCGATATTTCTAGTTTTCATAGAATTAAACTACTTTATAATTGACGTAACATGGAAACTATGGAGTATGATAATTTGTTCATATACCATGCGTAGGCACCACAGTTCAACGATATCGTTCACCGCTAAGGGAAGGTAACTGGAATTTTGGTTTTACAGATGATAAGATAGCTGATATGCGGTAACGTTATGAGAGTTTATAATGGAGAGCTAAGCTGTCCAGTAACTGCTACATATTAACACAACATGACCGTTACCATATCATACATTTCCAGTTACCTTCCCTTAAGCGGTGGGAGATATCGTTGAACTGTGGCTCCCACGCAAAATTATCTTAATCCAGAGTTCCCATGTCATATAAGCCCAATTTTGTTCAAATATCAAAGCATATAAAGTAAAAAGCAAAGCATATAAACTATAAAGTAGTTTAATTCGATGAAAACTAAAAATAACGAAATCGACAATTACCGTCCGCCATCTTTGATGCGAGGGTTACGGCCGTTACCGCCGCTTGATACTGACCAGTGACTATCAACATATTTGACATTGGTATGATTTCTTAAAAATATGCGATATCGATTCACTGGGCTAGTTATCAGGTAGGTCACTGTGACCTAAAAAGCCATATTTTAACATCTTTCCGTCTCAGACAAGGGTCACCTCAATGTCGATACATAGCTGAGTTTAAAACGATAAAATAAGTCTGATTCATGGTGTTCATTTCCCATGTTTCCTACACGGTGATATGCGTTACCCCTTTATACTACTAAACCGCGGAAACTTTCTAGAACTATTGACTGATTTAGTAACATTTTTATAGTCTGGACTTCAAATACCTTTCTTTGTCTTCCTCTTTTAGTTCACTTTATTTGACAAAGGTCAAAAATATTATTCTAGCGTTTTGTATTTGAATAACTACAGTTGATACATAAGATAAACTATAGTTGATATCTTTTTTACATATTAGTCTGATTTATTCAAATAATATTCTTACCTTGTCTTATAAATATTGGCATTTAAGATTATATCTGAGTTATGAATAAAGATTATTTAAGACCTTGTGTGTGTAAAACTAGATAATTCTGCAAAAAGTTGAGAATTTGTTTTTGCGGGTATTAGTCCCTGAGCTGATTTTTCTTAGAGCCCTAGATAAAAAGTTTGTTGTCCGGGTGTCCAACACAAAAACCATCTCTGCATAGTGTCCCTAGCCCTACACTGGGTTATCGTACATTTTTCGGGAAACAGGGGTTTCACTTAGAAAATCATGTATTGACTTAACATGGGGATATATGCAGTATTGATTTAACATAGGGATATAATCATATTCCCAAGCCATCATAGATATTCATTTGGGTCCAGTTTTTTCGCCCTGTACCTCTTATACATGCCATATGACATTTTTTGAAGCATTAGGCAGTGTTTTTTATTACGTAAAAACATTGCGCCTTGCATATTTTTACTAGTGCTGACGTTTACACCCTGTAGGGACCATCTCATTGACATTTTTCAAATAGTATTGCCTCTTGTTCTTAAAAAGTACTTAATTTTTATCGAAAATAATTGATATCATACTTAAAATGCAGTTATGTTGTAAAAAGCGGAAAATATATATTGTCAAAAGTTGTTTTCAGAAGGCAACCTTGTGTGACCGAAAAGTGAAAAAAATAAATACATTTTCTTAATGAGGGAAATCAGTACTTTCAAACGGTATGTTCATTTTTTGTGGGGGAGTACCGGACAACGACACTTCATTTTTTTCTGGAGCAGCTCGGGGACCAAATGTCATTTCAAACAATTTTAATACCCTGAAATAGGTTGAAATAGTTAGACTGTCATAATATAACATGTATACATGTATAGTACATGAAACGTGAAAAACATTATCAATATCATCATTATTGGTAATTTTGACACGAAAATTTTACCTTGACTTTCATCTTTGAGAACTTCCAGTTTAAAAAATCAAATACAGAATTAAAAGTACATATTAGTTATAAAATAGTTTTAGATTTTTTACTTCATCTAATGCTTACTAACTTTACTTTTCAGTTACTAAGGAACATATTCCAAGCCTGCTTCAATACATACAAAAGTGAAAACGAGAGTAGATTGTCAGATAAAGCCTGCTTAAAATTGCTCAAGTTCAGTCCTAGGCTGGCTGATATCAAACTTTCCCACCGTTTGGAAACAGTCATGTATCTTGAGGAGCCAAATGTGTTCGTCACAGTAGAAGGAGAGGCTGCTAGGACGCTCAATTTTCACTCAGGTATACATATCTTTCCAATAAACCTCGTCACGTTTTGATACATCAAAGAAACTTGGATGTGTTGGCTAAATTGATGATGACATACAGGGTGGTACTTTTTCTAAATAGTAATAAGTTATTTTTTTTGGTTGAACAAATAAACTAAATGTTCGTCATCATCATGAATGTACTGTTCAGTTGCCTTGCTTGTCTCGTGTCTGGCAACGCCCAAAACAGTGGCAATACTAGTAATCAGACTACGGATTTCATTACCTCAATGAAAGTAGGTTGCTGCGACCTCATTGAGATTTACAAAGTGATTTGTCTTTCTTTATCCCTAATCCAAAGTGATTTCAAGTTAAGCATCACTATGTACAGCGTATAGTTGCCTAAGATTAAAAAAGTTTTTTTATGTTGTACCTCTGACCATACAACCCTAGAGAGCGCCTATATTTTACTTTCACTTGCAATTTCAGACGGTACCCTCCTAAAACATTTCCCAGCAACCATTTTAATACCCCGATGGCCTATAAAACACCCTATATGTCATATAGAATCCTTGTGATAGAATATGGAATTACCTCTATGAGAATACACAAGAGCTGCAAAAACTTAATTTCCTTATTGAAAAAAGATTTGAAATCCTTCATTTCCACTCTCTCGCGAACTGTATTATTAATTATACTACAGTAAAATCTGTCACGTGAAACGCCCTTGTAAATGGGCACCTCTATAAGTTTTAAGTTAGACACTTTCAGAATCCCATGAATTTGAACGGCAAATAGTGAAACACCTCCCAAGTGGAACACTTTTTAGATGTACCAAGTTGTTCTACTTACACACGTTTTACTGTATTGTGGTATGATGGTATTCGGGAACGTTAGTATTTTAATGAGACGTGTGCTCAATTTGATACTCATAGACTAAACAAACTGGATTGACGTCCTTCTTTAATTAAACACCCATGCGACGCGCCTTATTTCCATACAAAATACTGGGTCGTTCAATTTCCACACATTACATCAACTAGCTAACACACTAGGACTTTTGGGCCCACCGTTCGCCACCGTGTGTGAATACTTTGGGGCAGATGGCGGGGCATGGCATGGATCCATGGTGGGCATAGGGCAAAACAAATGGTTCAACAGCAAGATATCCCTAATCACACTAAATAAAAAATACTAGTTAATAAAAAATCAATGCCCAAATTTAGCCACACTGCGACGAAGGGTGAGTCCACACGGCTAATGTGACAGCTACTAAACAACAAGAGGTTGTCCTTCAGATCTTTGTGCATAGCTAAAACTGCAATATCTAACATGACAAAAACCAATTTATTTTTCCTCATCGACAGAATAACTTTTCATGATTACAGAACTCATACATCCTGAAAAGGCTAATCCAAGAACTATACGTATATGTTGGCACCTCAGCAGACATCAATTTTTCAACATAGCTAGTCTAATATATCTTCCGCTTCTTAATTTTGATTTATTTGGCTCAATGTTTAAGACATAGACGATACATTCGAACTTATACAGAACAGTACATATCCAAATACCCTTTCTAGGGATTGAATCGTTTGTACACTTATTCCATCGCCACATCATTATGTCTATCTGCTTTCTTATTTTATCCCACGATTAATGTGTTATCTGTACAATAACAGCTATTGATATTTCTGATATTATTGAAATCCGTGTGATATTTTCCAGAAAATTGTTTATCAAACTCATATGCGTGTGATATCGTTTATCTCACGCATATCCGTGTGATATCACATTTGCATTTCGCGCCACAATATTGTTGGAAATTAGGTCAGATAATTTATTCTCTTGTTATATTTTATTATTAAAATGTGATTGTAATCATGGGATAAACCCAATATCACATAATTTCTCGTGATATCATTTTATCGCCTCGTAGATATCAAATATCAACACTCATTCGCTTCGCTCACTCGTGTTGATATTTGATATCAACTCGGCGATAAAAATTATATCACTCAAAATGATGGGATATTCTGTATATATTCAATTGGAAGAACGTATGGTACAGTTTTACCATGATCTCCTCCTTAATATCATTTATCATTTACAACAATTTGATGATGAACATGTAATCAATTGATGTAATATTTGATCGTTATGAACTTGAAAAATATATGTTTTAACATTTACATTATAAATCGAATTAAGTTTTTCATTTCTTAGCATTTCTTTTTTGCAATTTTAGTTCTTGCCGATCTTTTCCACATTATTTGCACCTTGTAACATGATCAATTTCTTCTAGCACACTTCTACTAAATTGATTCAATTTTCAAGTAAATTGATGAGGAATATCTCATCATCATGCAGTCCTAATGATCTTCAACCTAATAAAAATCTCTTCTAATAAAATACAAATTATATCATCAATAAAATAAGTAGTCCAGTAATTGCATTTATCAATATTTCATAGCCAGGACAGGAAATTACAGCCAGGCTACGTACAGTGTTCAGCATGTCCTCTTTAAGTCTACCGACATGGTCAACTGTATGTCACAGCTTCCTAGTTTGCCTACATTATCTACTTTATGTCATGGATTCCATAGTTTAGTGTATGTCATAGCTTTCTAGTTTGGCTACATAGTCTACTTTATGTCATGGATTCCATAGTCTAGTGTATGTCATAGCTTTCTAGTTTGGCTACATAGTCTACTTTATGTCATGGATTCCATAGTCTACTGTATGTCACAGTTTTCTAGTTTGCCTCCATAGTCTACTTTATGTCATGGATTCCATAGTCCACTGTATGTCATAGCTTTCTAGTTTGCCCACATAGTCTACTTTATGCCACGGATTCCATAGTCCACTGTATGTCACAGCTTTCTAGTTTGCCTCCATAGTCTACTTTATGCCATGGATTCCATAGTCCACTGTATGTCATAGCTTTCTAGTTTGCCTCCATAGTCTACTTTATGCCACGGATTCCATAGTCCACTGCATGTCATAGCTTCCTAGTTTGCCCACATAATCTACTTTATGCCATGGATTCCATAGTCCACTGTATGTCATAGCTTTCTAGTTTGCCCACATAGTCTACTTTATTCCATGGCTTCCTAATTTATCCTCATGGTCTACTGTTAAGCTTGTCTCCTTTAAGTCTATCCACATAGTCTATTATATGCAACAAGCCAAAGGTTCCTAGTCTACACATATAGTCTACTTTATGTAATTGCTTCCTAGTCCACCCACATAGTCTACTGTATGCCATTTCTTCCTAGTTTACCATTACCTAGTATATAGTCTATTGTGTACCATAGCTTCCTTGACTCCCCACATTGTCTACTATATGCTATGACTTTCCTAGACTACCCACATAGTCTACGTTATGCCATGGCCTCCTAGTCTACCAACATGGTCCACTGTATGCCATTTCTTCCTAGTCTACCAGTACCTGCATAGTCTATTGTATACCATAGCTTCCTTGACTCCTCACATTGTCTACTATATGCTATGACTTTCCTAGACTACCCACATAGTCTACTTTATGCCATGGCTTCCTAGTCTTTTCACATAGTCCACTTTATGCCGTGGCTTAGGAGTTTACCCACATAGTCTCAGTTGTCATAGCTTCCTAAACTACAAAAATAGTATACTAGTTTGTTCACATAGCCAACTGCATGACATACTGTAGCTTCCTAGACTACCCAGATAGTCTACTTTATCATTATACCATGACTTCCTAGTCTGCCAACATAGTCTACTTTATGTCATGGTTTCCTAGTCTACCCACATAGTCTACTGCTAAGCTAGTCTGCCCACATAATCTACTATTATATATGCCATGGGTTCCTAGTCTACACACATAGTCTACTTTATACTATGACTTTCTAAACTACCCATATAGTTTACTGTTATGCCATGTATTTCTAGTTTTCTCACATAGTCTACTGTATGCCATGATTTTGTAGTCTGCCCACATAGTCTACTTTATACCATGGCTTCATAGTCTACCCACATAGTCTACTTTATGCCATGTCTTACTAGTCTACCCGTATAGTCTACTATATGCCATTGCTTTCTCGTCTACACACAAAGTCTACTTGATGCCATGGGTTCCTAGTCTACACACATAGTCTACTTTATGCTACGGCTTCCTCGCCTACCCATATAGTTTACTGTTATGCCATGCATTTCTAGTTTTCCCACATAGTCTACTGTATGCCATGATTTTGTAGTCTACCCACATAGTCTACTGTATGCCATGGCTTCCTAGTCTGTTCACATAGTCTACTGTATGCCATGTTTACCCACAGTCTACTTTATGTCTACTGTCACCCATTCATATGATAAATATTTAAAGGGACATCTAATGATAAAGGCAATGTGGAGGTAACCTTAATTGTCATGTTTCTCAAATCAAAGCAATATCTTCAATTACATAGACCCATATTTGATCTTATAATTATCTGAAATCCTTTTTACAATATTAAAGTTTGAATGATAAGGTATACATTGAGCATATTACCTCCTACATGCTTTCCTTTGCTTTAATGAAATATATTGAAATTGATCCCATTCATTTGTATAGGAAGCTATCAAGATTCACACAACGTTGTCTGAAATTAGAAAATAGGCTAATAATGCACAACAGTTCCATGTCATGTGACTTGCATTTAAAGGCTGAGGTAAGCTAGTAAAAGACTAGATGCGAGTAGAAATAATCTTGTAGTGATGTCATATTTGAAATCTACATGTAAAAGTACATCAATAAGTATGGTTTCGAAAGTTGTTTATCAACTTTGAAAATTTAATTTTATTTGAAAATGTGACTTCTTGTTCGGGTTGATTCCCCATAGACCCCATGTTACAAAAGCACAAAAAGTGAAATATCTTTTCTTGTATTGGATAGATAACATTTTCTTTTACTGGACATATTTGAATTTGCGTACTATTAGATACATAAGGGTTATATGAAAATTGAACCACCAAAACAGATGTAATTTAAATTAAAGGGAACTTTCTTCTATACCCGCCATTCTATCTGACCCGAACGAGCCACCTGGTGGTGAAACTGGTAATTTCCTACTCGCATCTGCGTAATTAGGTTCTGATTCCTGCCTTTTAAATGTGTTGAAAACCAATGAGGAGCGTCCTCTACTTTTTATTTGCATGACTTGCAAATATTTGAGATGAAATTAATTGTAACATTTTTTTAACATTGTTGTAGTGGTCAAGGAATTTGAGGAGCAAAAACGATGCAATTCATGAAAAATGTTTTGTTTGTATGTAGGTATTCTTTATTTGCGTCGATTCATTTAGACAGTTACATGGTATACAATTATATAAGGTAAAAGAAAAGAGTAATGTAAAAAATATTTAGTCAGGGTTCTCTAGAGATAAGGGTTGTAAACAGATAATCAATTTACCATATCCTTAAAACACACTTTTATTCTTAGCCTTATTTAAAGCTAAGCACAGTGTATTCCATTTATAATCTAAGCCTTGATAATATATAAGCTGAGAGTTCTCAAGAGATCATGGTTCTACCCTGTAGACACATTAGGGGCATAACATTTTTATTAATTAAAATGGAAGTGGGAACTGGGAATAATAAAGAATTAGCAATAACAATGCTAAGAATCCCCTTGTCGTGTTATGTCGGATGTAAAACCTAATAGCCCTAACGAATTTTCCAGAGGTAACCTGTCTGGGTATTTATGTAGCTTTTAAGTACACTGTGCCTTGATTATTCAGGATAAAGCTTCATCAAATCTTAAAATACACGACATTGAATAAAAATGATATACAATTATCTAATCATAGCTATCTTCTTAAATGCTAGAGGATTCAAAAGTTACTTGCATACCAAAACTAATATTCTATATATACTAATCAAATACAAATGCCTCTCAATGTGAATGTTTTTTTTACTGTACTTGTTTTTGGATAACAATCTTAAAATATCTTTTAGTTTTTTATAGTATAGTTAACAAGCTGCATTTAAGTCATTGATTGGCATGTAGTCCTGAAGGTAATTATAGTACTATTTTAAGGTGGCTAGAGTGGTTCAAATTGAGCACCTAAACATTTGCACATGATGTCAGTATCAAGCCTATGACACAAAAGATACATATTATCCATTTTGAATATTTTTCAGGACTGGATGTCAACTTAGGTATACAAGGTCTGGAGTCACTAGGACAATTTATCAATATGGCTGCCAGTGCGGACACAGAGACATCTATCCTAGATGCTTTAATTATGAAATCTCAACACAGTCGCCAGGTGGCGCAACAGTTCATAAAGACTGGAATACACAACACAATGTTTTCATAGCAACACATGTGATATTGACACAATAGTTCCATAGCATGTGATACAATGTTTTCATTTCAACACAATAATGTCATGTTGACATGATGACTCCTTAGTAATACACAACATTGAAATAACAACAATATTATCATAGCAACATGATGTTTCCATAGTGATACAATTTTCTCACAGCGACACAAAGTGAGTCAGTGTTTTCATGACTAATAGTGTCCTCACAATAATTCTCCTGGTCATATACAAAGGCCTGACCAAATTACATTTAAGTGTTTTATATGCTGCATAAGCAATATTAAGCATACATGTAGTTTGTGTTCTGCATGAAACTTAAAAACATTATGAAAAATTCAGAAGAATTTCGATTAATAAAGAAAATTGCATTTACAAGAATGTGTATTGAATTACCTGTCACCGTGACACCAAGAATACCCGAGTTGATTTCATCTTTAAGTCTTTGAATTTGCATTTTTTCCAAATGGGTACTTATTACATCATGGAAAACCAGAACAACGGCAACGCCAAAGCGTAGCGAATCCCATCGAACAGAAATGGCTGGCATTTTTACAAACGAATAGCAAATATCATAAAACAACACACCAGAAAGGCCACCATTTTCAAAATGGTTGCTCACTAGCCAAGTTGTCATCAGATGAAATAATATGCTTTTAAGAAGCCACCTCTAAAATATTTGAAAAATCGCACACGTACTTGTAAAATAACACACATAAATGGTGGCCATTTTTCAAAATGGTCGACTACTCCCCAAAGTTTTATTAGACAATGTGCCATGCTTAAAGTATTCACATATCAAATATGAACAAAATCGCTCCACTACTTTTCGAGTTATAGTAAAATCGTTAAAATGGTGGCCATTTTTCAAAATGGCCACCTTCTACCAAAAGTGTCATTAGAAATAGACAGTTTTCAAAATGGTCGTCTTGTACCAAAAGTGTCATAGGACAGTGTGCCATGCTTATAGTATTCACATACCAAATATGAACAAAATCGCTCCACTACTTTTCGAGTTATAGTAAAATACATTAAAATGGCGGCCATTTTGAAAAATGGCCGCCTTCTACCAAAAGTGTCTTTAGACAGTGTGCAATGCTTATAGTATTGACATACCAAATATGAACAAAATCGCTCCACTATTTTTTGAGTTACAGCAAAAATCGTTTTCGAGTTATAGTAAAATACGTTAAAATGGCGGTCATTTTTCAAAATTTTTTTCAAAATGGCCGCCTTCTACCAAAAGTGTCATAGAACAGAGTGCCATGCTTATAGTATTCACATACCAAATATGATCAAAATCGCTCCACTACTTTTCGAGTTATAGTAAAATACATTAAAATGGCGGCCATTTTGAAAAATGGCCGCCTTCTACCAAAAGTGTCTTTAGACAGTGTGCAAAGCTTATAGTATTGACATACCAAATATGAACAAAATCGCTCCACTATTTTTTGAGTTACAGCAAAAATCGTAAAATGACAAGTAAAGGCCGCCATTTTTCAAGATGGCTGCCATGTGCTTCTTAAATATCTACATTTGTAGCATTATTATTGTCCTTTATAATTTTTTTACATTTAAAACATATTGCTATTACAGTTTTACATATTGCACCTAAATTACTGTAAAATCGTCACTAAAATGGCCGTCATTTTGAAATGAGCGGCCATTTTGAAAATTGGCTTTCGATCAGAACTTCTACCCCCATAGGCTATATTTGTACAAAATATGAACAAAATTTGGGCCAACGGTATTTGAGTTATTGCCCGGACGGACGGACGGACGGACGGACGGACGTACGTACAGACGTACGTACATACGGACGGAGGCGTTCCCTATATCCCTCCAACTTCGTTCGATGGGATAATTATAAAACTGAAACATAAGTTGATCAGTAGTGGTTGAGTGGGTGTTTTTCATTTAGTAGTTCTGTTGAAATGAATTGAGTTTCAACATTCAGTACACTTGCTATTACAGTATTATCCTGATTCATTGTAAATGTGATAGGCCAAGTGGATGTTGAAATCTTTAATCAAATCCTCAGACAAATGTGTCTGTGCAAAGGAGATGTTCATCGAGAAAATTAATACGTTCTTGATCTGATAGAAAACAGAATTAACAAGGCAACTGAAACATATCAAAAGTGTGCACTCTATGTAAAAGGGTATAGCAGTGTGGTGATTGGTGATGTACATGTACGGTTTGTCAAAACATTTTAGCTTTTTATACATCAATTAGACAATAGGGAGGTTAAGTTTTTATGAGAACCTGTACATAAAGCGTGTAATATTTTGACTCTCAAGGATTACTGTCTCGCTCTCAATTCACTTTTCCAGGGACCTAATCAGAATTATTTTCAGTATACCATATATACTCAATCGGTCAAGTAAACAATTCAAATCAGAGGACCATAACTCTACATGTTCATGTACAAGTTTTTTTTAAAAAAAGTGTATCTTAACCTCCCTAATTACTATTTTTGTTCTTAGCTTCTTATATGAAATACACAAGACATGATGATATTGTTTGGTATCTACTATGTATCTACAGTATATTTCTACAATAAATAAGGTTACAATGTACATTATAATAATAATAGATGATTGAAAACGAACATCCATAAATTATTTGTAAACAAAGTAAACCGTCATAAGGGGACTAGTGTATGCCACAGGATCAGTATGACATCATACTACGAGTTGATGTCAGAAAATATTGTGATGTGTATGATGACACCCTATAAAAAAACAATAGTATGAAATATTATTATATGAGTTGATGTCAAAACAACAATGTATTGTGTAAACTGACACCCTTTGACACAATAATTCTGTGTCACAACAATAGTATACTGTGAATAATGACACATCTATAATGACAAAACAATAGTGAATGTTGACACACTATGACATAACAATAGTATGAAATATTATTATATGAGTTGATGTCAAATCAACAATGAAGTGTGTATACTGACATCCTTTGACACAATAATTCTGTGTCACAACAATAGTATACTGTGAATAATGACACATCTATAATGATAAAATATTGGTGAATGTTGACACACTATGACATAACAATAGTATACAGTGACACACTAATGATATAACAATGGTGTATGGTGACCATTGATCACTAATCAATTCAATTCCGTTTGACAATTTAAAGCATCATTGGAAAATATCTTAAATGTGAAATGTGTAAACCACTGAAATCTCCCCTACCATCTTGCATGGTAGTAAACAAACATATAAGCTCTAGGCAATACTTTGCAAAATAAATGCATGCGACTTTTGATTGTTTTCATTGAAAGTGTGTCGGTGCATATTATGTTGTGAGTAAACCAGACTGTGATACCATGGACTAACAATTACAACTTGAGAGGTGTTTTCCAAAGATTTTACAATCAACCATTTTTTCAAACAAAATTAAACATTAGATTATATCCTGTGCAATTGGTGTATACATATTACTGAATTATTTGGAGGTACAATATAAACATTCATAGGTTAACTGTCAGTAATAATATGGAGAAAAAAGTAAAATTGCAAAAGTTCAATTAGACTACTGTACATACTCCAGTTAATCGACTTATGTAGGTGTAGCCTACATAAGTCTACTGAAAACTGATATTAAGTGATATTAATTGGTTGATTGAATGCCATCCTACTCATAAATGGCATCATCGATTATCATGCTACTTATAAATGGCATCATTGAATGCCATGTTACTTATAAATGGCATCATTGAATGCCATGTTACTTATAAATGGCATCATTGAATGCCATGTTACTTATAAATGGCATCATCGAATGTCATGTTACTTATAAATGGCATCATTGAATGTCATGTTACTTATAAATGGCATCATTGAATGCCATGCTACTTATAAATGGCATCATTGAATGTCATGTTACTTATAAATGGCATCATTGAATGCTATGTTACTTATACCAAATAAATAAGTGAAAACATATATGAATTGTTGCAAACTATAAACTTAAAACTTGTGTCATTCATTTATGAGATAATGTCACTGCTTTTGTGTTCATCCATAAAATGTTTCATTATAGTATTACATAAAATTCTACTTAACATAAAGCATAAATAGGGTAGTTTAGAAAATACAACACCAAGAAAATGCATGCTGGTGGCTCCCAGAGGGTATACACATTTTTCACCAAATGCTTTTTTCATCTCCAATCAAATCCAAGGAGGATTGGCTCCCAGAGTGCACCACCGATATTCTGTCCCATATATGGGTATGTCGTAATACAAAATTCGAATTCAAACAGCCGCCATTTTGTTCACTTCAACATTTAAATCGTGAATTTTGGTCTTATTTCCAAACGAAAAATTCCAAAACTCACAAGAAATGATCGAGATATTGGTTCGAATCTTTTGAACTGTTTATTTTGAATTTATAGTCGGTTTTAATTTCAGAAAATAACGACATTTCGACGTTTTCATTGTTGGAAAATATCGAGTTTCGATCCTGGGAGCCAATCCTCCTTGAATCAAATCGCAGGATTCGATCACGTGAACAATCATGGGCACATGCTCTCTCAGTGCTGCGCATGCGCAGAGTTAAATTTGAAATCGCGGGATTGGCGTTTACATCAATTAAACATCGTCATTTCAAACCTACAGTAATACTATTGAAGTTACTCGATCCATACTTGTAGAGAATACTCTTAAAACTACAGTGAACATTTGGAGATCCATTTCAACGGCAAATTGAATCCTGTTTATAAAATTTGTTTTCGAACTTGCTAATATGATAGGGCATCTTTGGGGAATCTCCCCCCTGGCCAACACGGTAAAATACCGAACGGCGAAAAAAGCGAACGCATTCCGTTCGGTCTTTGCACACGATTGCCGTTTATGTCACGCATTTGGTACAAAATATGTGTATATATCAGTATCACTCATTTGTTTCGAAAATATTCACATCTACCCCCCCCCCCCCCCCCCGTTGACGGATTTGAACAGCGAGCGCTAGCCTCTATTTTCAGTAATTTTTCTCATCTTCATCTCTTCTTCTTCATGATGTTCTACAAGGTGGTTTATAATGATTTGAAATTTAGGAGTTCGTAATGAAGGACAGTAAAATCATGTAAACCCAACCACTCTGAAATGCAAAGAACATTAGAATCCACATGGTAAAATCACCCACTTGGCTGATCATAAATTGTTTTCATAACATCCTTCTTACTCGATACTGAAGGGGAGTTGGAACGTCTGATATGCATGTAATGTTAAGTATTATGTATATTAACTGTCCATAAGCATGTTGATTTTGTGGTTTTGGTAATCTAAAAACAGAAAATTTGGTGAAATATACATTTTCATTCGGCGGGTTTTTGATTTTGCTTCATTTATTAACTCAGTTCAGGTATTTCGGTTGAACCAATCACTGAATCCTGTTACCAAATGAATCTTGAGTCCCTTATACAGCATATGGAATACCATCTGTAGGTAAAATGACATTAAGGTGGTAAAGAGAAGAGAAACAAACATACCTTTCCTCCGACATTTCGAATTTTGCGCATCTTGTCGAGTCTTTGATCACGCACTTTTAATAGTAGGCGATCACTGTACATACAGTGAGGTGACACACTGTTATGGGAACTGGTCATATCAGATGTTCCCACGCTTTTCGTCCAGAAGAGGTCATTTCTCAGGATTATAGATGAACCCTTGGCCAATCAATGATATAGTTTACATAAGAGAAGTATGACTGTATGAATTCTGGGATATTCCTGTTTTGTTGAGACAGGTGAGAATAAAATTAACCCTTTGCAAATTTGATCACTGCCTCCAATCATCCAATACTTGTCTCAGTTAAAATAGTTGATTTATATTTGAATTTGATAATAACATTTAAAAATTAAATGTGTTGAGTAATACTTTAGTACCTCTTATTGATTAATGTATAATATTACAACATACATAATGATGTAGGCAATTTGTTTCATAAAAATCTAAAAGTAAAATTCATAATTTAAATTTACCCTCTGGGAACCCCAAAATTTTAGAAAATGCATTTTCTTGGTGATGTATTTTCTAAACTACCCATAAATAGCCTGAACAAAGAAAGATTACAGAGGATATTCATCACACAGTTTTATAGAATGTGTAAAGCTTGATTAACTCTAACATCATAAGATTTTCATACTGATGAGACAGGCCCTACCTTGATATTTGAACAGGTGTAAGGGGCAGCATCAAAATGCCGGTTGGGAAAACTAAATTAAATCAGTTTGGGGGAGGGGGTTGACACACGTTTTAGCTTCCTATCAGAAATTTTTCAACATTTCAATTTTGTCAAACATGTAAATGAGTTGCTCCCTACCCCATTCAAATACTTACAGTAGAACATAGAACAGATCATAAATTATATGATTGACACAATTATGATGGGTATTTTTTACAGTACAAAGGAAATAAAAGTGAGAAGAGCAACGAATGTGTCTTACTCCACAACAAAATTTATTTAGTTTCCTATCAGACATCGATATTTAGAAGCTACACTTACACATGTTCATTTTCAAAGTTACGTTAAGGTAGGTAGTGTAAAAAGTTACTCTAGTCTTGCTTTATTAATTAAATCTAATAAATAACAAATTTTATACACTGATGCTACGCACTTATAGGTCTAATAGACTAAAAGTTGGCACACTAGATGTGCCTAATACAGCCTGAGATTCTGTGATTAATGTTGTGATTCAAACTAAACACAATAGCATATACCCTAATAGTCAATAACTATTTTCTGATGCTCCTAAATTTTGCCAATAACCACAAAATGTGTCTGGTAAAAGCAGAACTTCGTATAAAGCGAGTTTTTAAAAACAAAAATATCATTGCTGTGTCGTCATTTGCTACATATCAAATGATTACTACCCTGCATGCAGAGTGTAGTTAAACCAAGCTCTCTTTTAAGAAGCGAAATCAAGAATGTAAAGGGTAAATGATTACAATCCTTAATATAATTTCAATCCATGTATAATTGACTATCTATTAATCCCTAAGTCAGTAAATTTACTGCCAAGTATATTGTGACATCACAGGTCACATAAAAATACTGATTACTGCCATATATGGACAATCAGATTTACTCAATGAGTTATAAGGATTGTTACATGGAAGATTTACTTATACAGATTATATACACTAAAGTAGCTATCACCTTAGCTGTGTTGGCTCACCGTTCGCCACTGTGTGGCTAATTTTGGGCATTAATTTTAAACCAATTTCTGTATTTGTTATGAAGGGGGATGTTTAGCTGTAAAACTATTTGTTTTGCCCAACATGTATCCATGCCATGCCCCACCTCCTGCCCCAAAGTATTCACATGGTGAGCCCACACGGCTTAGTGTGGCTATGTGACAGCTCCATAAGACAGGTATATTATAAGACAACCCTGAATACAAGTGCTGAGGAAGAGATTCTCTATTTATCACAACCTGCTAACAATAGACTTAAAGGAAGTAGACGGGATAGAGAAAAGTTTAAGGTAAGTTTTGAAAAAGTCACAATTTTGGAGCAATTTGTGCTCGCGTCATTCCATGCCATGCCTTTTTCTAAAAATTCCCATCAGTTCTGACTTTGTTTCAGAATAATCCTTTGATTTTAAGCCTTTTTGACAAAAAATGAAGAGGTGGACCCTCCCTTTTTCAATTCTAATTTTGCACATTCCTACATCTTAAATCTTCAGCAAAGTTCAAACATCAGATATCTCAATTAATTTTTCAGAAAATAAGATAAGGATTGTTGAAGCATTTAGATGATTTTCAAAAAGAACTCTTCCAACATTTCGATCTCTACCTCTTCTACTTCCTTTCACATATAACATAACATTCATGCAAATACAGATACTTATTTACATGATTATACAAATATTATTGGAAGAACAATGTTGATATTATCCATATCATGTAAAATTTAGATGTTACTTGTTACTCCACATACATCGTTACCATCAATATCACAAAAAAAATTCTAAGCTCTCTAATGCTGAAATTGATATCATTTCATTGATAAAAATGATATCACTCAAAATTATATCGCATAAATATTTGATTTTACTGTTACACAAAACATTTTTCACATTGTTTCAATGTTTCAATGAAATGTGTGAATTTCTATTGATATATTACCAAAAGTGCAATAATTTTTTATTTACAATACAATGCCATACCTTGTAGGTTTTTTGGGTCACCCTGTACAACAAAAGGGAGTTGGCTTTCAATGCTCTTAGCTTACTTAGAACCTACTAATGATCTCATTTGGACTCCATAAAGAAGTTGTTAACTATTTCATACATCATTTTCCTCTTACAGATATCAGATACTGCAATTTCAAGCTTTGTAATCAGCCACATTAGTAAACTATAAATAAACCCTACATTAAAATACAAGAAAAAGTACCCTACATAAACATAAACAGCTGCAATAATGCAATAAAGTGCACCTTAATGTTTACTAAATAGTTTAAATGAGACAACCCAATAGTCGTTTTCACAGCAATTGGCAATCAAGCCTAAATATATCAATGTTTTTTAACTGACCTCTAAATGCATCACTTATCACATTATGTTCCATGTTTGATGTGAGTACATAACTTCTGCACTCACTACATGTGAGTACTCACTCCTACACTGCATTATATGTGAGTAAATCTCTCCTTGGTTCTACTGTACAAGGACTAGCTCAAGCTTGTAAAATATCAAACTAAACTACAGTAAAATGTTGGTGTGCATCAATCAGCATTTTTATGTTGTCAGTTGCAAATGTTAGCATTAGAGACATAAATACAGTCAGCAACTAATCTGGAATTTTTTATCTCATAATCGATGGATTAAAACACAAGACAGGAGTTCACGACATAATTACAAAGCAGCTGTATGATTCCTATTAAATCCATTCGATATAACAGGAGGATGATTCAACAGTGACTGCTTTGTATCCACAGATGACGTCAAATTAGCGATGACCCCTTCAGATGGCGCTGAAACCCACGTCATGTCTTAATCCGTCGCTTTCAGTTTTCCATGTACCCCCAGAATAAAAGCATGTGGAAACATGAACCGATATCACAACTAATCTGCTATGTGACTAGAATAATCTCTTTTGGCTTGAATTGTTTGTGAATGGAACTATAGGTGGCTCCTCATCATCACTGATATCTTCGTTCTCTTGCTGCAGTGGTTTGCAGGGTGTCATGTCCATGGCAAGACTGTCACCTCCCTGTAATGGCAAATAACAAATTTTATCCCATACTTAGTAGTGTTATAGGTAAATAACACGTGGGAATATAATCGATATCTGAGGTGAGCGGATGAATATGGTAAATACAATATATCAACCCTCGGTCCCCATGGTCCCTCGGGTAGATATATTGTATTTCCCTCAGATATACCATGTATCAAAAAAAACCTCCTATTAAATAATCTCTATGTATCCCTCTCATACTTTGGGTGAGTTTGGGGTGGATAGCAGTTAGGAATATATATCATGTCCATGGCCAGACTGTCACCTCCCTATAATGGCAAATAACAAACTTAATTTCATACTTTGGTGACTTTGGGGTAGATAACAGTTAGGAATATATATCATGTCCATGGCCAGACTGTCACCCCCCTGTAATGGCAAATAACAAACTTTATTTCATACTTGGGTGACTTTGGGGTAGATAACAGATAGAAATATATATCATGTCCATGGCCAGACTGTCCCCTCCCTGTAATGGCAAATAACAAACTTTATTTCATACTTGGGTGACTTTGGGGTAGATAACAGTTAGGAATATATATCATGTCCATGGCAAGACTGTCACCTCCCTGTAATGGCAAATAACAAACTTTATTTCATACTTTGGGTGAGTTTGGGGTAGATAACAGTTAGGAATATATATCATGTCAATTGCCAGACTGTCACCTCCAAGTAATGGCAAATAACAAATTGTATCTCATACTTTGGGTGAGTTTGGGGTAGATAACAGTTAGGAATATATATCATGTCCATGGCAAGACTGTCACCTCCCTGTAATGGCAAAAAAAACAAATTGTATCTCATACTTTGGGTGAGTTTGGGGTAGATAACAGTTAGGAATATATATCATGTACATGGCCAGACTGTCACCTCCCTGTAATGGCAAATAACAAATTGTATCTCATACTTTGGGTGAGTTTGGGGTAGATAACAGTTAGGAATATATATATATATATCAATTTTATCCCATACTTAGTAGTGTTATAGGTAAATAACATGTGGGAATATAATCGATATCTGAGGTGAGCGGATGAATATGGTAAATACAATATATCAACCCTCGGTCCCCATGGTCCCTCGGGTAGATATATTGTATTTCCCTCAGATATACCCTGTATCAAAAACCTCCTATTAAATAATCTCTATGTATCTCTCTCATACTTCGGGTGAGTTTGGAGTAGATAACAGTTAGGAATATATATCATGTCAATTGCCAGACTGTCACCCCCCTGTAATGGCAAATAACAAATTGTATCTCATACTTTGGGTGAGTTTGGGGTAGATAACAGTTAGGAATATATATCATGTCAATTGCCAGACTGTCACCTCCCTGTTATGGCAAATAACAAATTGTATCTCATACTTTGGGTGAGTTTGGGGTAGATAACAGTTAGGAATATATACCATGTCCACTGCCAGACTGTCACCCCCCTGTAATGGCAAATAACAATTTGTATCTCATACTTTGGGTGAGTTTGGGGTAGATAACAGTTAGGAATATATATCATGTCAATTGCCAGACTGTCACCTCCAAGTAATGGCAAATAACAAATTGTATCTCATACTTTGGGTGAGTTTGGGGTAGATAACAGTTAGGAATATATATTGTGTCATTTGCCAGACTGTCACCTCCCTGTAATGGCAAAAAAAAACAAATTGTATCTCATACTTTGGGTGAGTTTGGGGTAGATAACAGTTAGGAATATATATTGTGTCATTTGCCAGACTGTCACCTCTTTGCCAATGGCAAATAACAAATTGTATCTCATACTTGGGTGACTTTGGGGTAGCTAACACTTAGAAACAAGGCATTAACATGCAAAGTGCCACTACCTGCCATTTGTTACAAATGTCGACTGCTGAATACAGAACACTGTCCACAAAAAAGTTGGAGGCTATAACAATATGTCGTGTCCACCACACATATTAGGAGCAGGCAGAGCATATTGTATATGTCCCGCATGAGCCCGATTGCAGGCAGATATTATGAGGTTATCTAATGGTTGATTCCGTATATCATGTTTATATACTCCAGTGAGTATATGATATATTCACGAGTGACTGAAGTGAACAAGTGAATATATAATATTACTCACTAGAGTATAACGATATACAGAATCAACCATTATATGATCTTATTATCACACCCTAATCTTTAATCAATGAAAGGTTAATTCAAATTCTGCAGTTGTATATCAAGTCGAAGAGTTGTATACACTGCTCAGGAGTTGTATATGCTATCCAGGAGTTGTATATCATTCTCAAGAGTTGTATACAATGATTGTTGGTTTTATATTGCAGTTATACAATGCTATTATACAATCATGTATTACATACCCAGCGAAGCATTTGTATTGAAGTCAATGGAGCTGAAGGTCGGCTATATATTCCTGTATAGCCGCCAAACCTTTTACCATGACAATCTTATGACGTCATCGGGACGTCATGTTTCATTTCTTCCTAATTTCACTCGCTCACAGACACGTGGCGTCATTGATATAACGTAGCCATGATATAAAAGTATGTAATACAACAGTTATCTCCGTATCATTGAATATATGCCTTCGGTCTGTCGTAATATAACCCTCGCAAGCTCGGGCTATATTGGTGACAGACCTCAGGCATATATTCAATGATAGGGACGTAACTGCTAAATAAAGCATGTAGGGTGGGATAACATATAGCATCCATCCCAATCCAAAAATATTTTATTTTCGTGCATAATGGGAAATCTGTCAGACGAAAAATATTTTATTACATAAGTTTGTTAATGCTAAAATAATAAAAAAATGATCACCTCATGCTCTTGAGTTTTTTTCAATTTCAATTCAACTTACTCCATTCATTTTAGGTGATTAGAAATTTTGGATTACATAAAACTGACACCACTTGCGGTGTATATGTTCAATGATTTCATATACTTTTACACTCAAAGGAAAAAAGTTAAAATAGAGAACCAATAGGATATCAAAGAAAAAAAGAAACTTTGACCTCCTCAGCTCCCCCAATCAATAATGTATTCAATCATTTCTCTTACTTTTTACCCCTAAATGCAAAAATGGTAGGTGATTAGTTGAGTGAAAACTGACAATCAAGCTTGGCAAAAATATTCATATCAATATTCATTATCTAGTATTAATATATATTATTTAATATTCACCCTCGGTTTGTCCACATCCTGTTCATTCTCACACCAGTTAGCAAATGCAGCACGTGAGATCTCTATGCTACGTGGATCAGATTTCTTACAGTAGACACGAATATGCTCCTCTGCAAACTTCTCAGGTAACATCTGGGACACCTAGAATATTGAAGATTATTACATCTCTAACAAGTCAAGTATGCTGTTTTATGATTGGACGAAGTTCAGGTCACATGATATGAAAGATTCGGGGATATTCACTGGTAATGCACATTGAATATGAGAAGTTCTCGAGAGAGTTCTGATGGAATAATAGCCAATTCTTGAGGATTGGTATCTTGATTTCAAAGTGTAAAACAGTGGAGTACATACACATTAATGTCTAATTAAGAGAATACATCTTTTATCTGAGCGCTATTCAAGAAGACTTTAACTTATATTTAGACAATAGATAAGACAATTCCTTTTTGTGTCACTCTGTACATAACTTTGTAGAATTATGTTCGATTTATCTACCTGTTCTCTACGCAACATGACTGCTTTGTTAGGATCGTCTTTCTTGTAGAACCTAACATTGTCCATTGGGTTCTTTTCATGCATGCCATAGTCATACTTAATAACCTGAAAAAAGTATTTTGCACATAAAAACATTCACCACTGAGTATTAGTTAATGAAAACACAGAATGAAATCCTGTGCTATGTATCTGTCGACTTATAAGGATTTAAGGTAACAGCAAAATGAAATCAGAACATGACTGCAATGCAGAGATGGCAAGTGAGTCAGTGTATTATTAGAGATGAATCAGCTTTTTCAAAATTCTCGTATCAGTTTCCACAGATAGACCCTTGATTCCATTTTCAAAGAGCAATGCTCTGTTTCATCAAAATTAAGCAGAATATCCATTGTTAAGAAACATAGAGAAAAAATGGAGGCAGGAATCTGGCCCACTCAGCCAAGCCTTCCTTTCTTTATACAGGGATTTCACCAGCAGTGGGCAATGTTTTCTGTTGTTTTTATTACAAAAATCACATCTGGTTTTCAGAATTTTATTGTGATCATTTCCATGTTAAAATTACAATGCCTAATAATTTTGCAGTACATTTCATTGTTTGGCCTGAAAGTTTATGAACCCTGTTCTTTCTTATCATTTTCAGTGAAACTTACGTGCACCACTAGGTCTGATGTAGTGATGTATTCTCTATCTTTAGGAGGAACGTGGGCAGCCACCTCTTTTCTGATGACATCCTGCGAATACAAATAGAGGAATATTAAGTTTCTAGTAAGAAACTGGATTAAATTAGTGTTCTACGAAAAAGTGTCCCACTTCACAGGATTTTCTGCATAACCTACCTTACTTCTAGGTATGTAACATACCCACTGAAGTTATTGAATGATTTGAAGTGCAATACCGGATATATTCTGCTCGAGATATTCCGTATTGGAACGAGACGAAGTTGAGTGCCTATACAGAATATCGAGAGCAGAATACATCCTGTATTGCACTTCAAATCATTCTATAACGTTTTTATCGTGTGCTCCTCTGTATTACTAGTTGAATATGTCCCCTCCGTACCAATATTTTCTGTAATGCGACAGAGATGTTCAATGGGGTCAATCTCAGTAGCAATACAGATTGGTACAGCATAAGAACTGACCAATCAGAAGGCTTCATTTTACAGATCATACGATAAATATGCTTACTGAAGTTCTAGGTACGTAATATGTGAGAATATATAGTGTATCTGAGGAGATGTATGTATTTACCAGCGTTTCAAATAGGGTCCATTAATGGAATGCTACCTTACCTCATCCAGTTTATGTGCCTTTGTATGTGTTCTTGGCTGGGTCTGCCCAATACATCTATAAACACATGGTACAAATATTAAACTCATATCTTTCTACATATCAACTCGAGTTCCTGAGTTCTACTGGGTCGAATTGACTTTGGGTTAAGGTGACTTGTGACCAGTAAATCAAAAACTACCAGAAAGCGTCCATTAATCGTCCCATGATGTGAAAATAAACACTTTTCTAACAACTGAAAACAAGGCATTGACATGACAAAATGTCACCACCTAAGTGCTCACAATATTATGAATCTTTTTTGACCTTGAGAAGGTCATTAAAGGTTTAATCTATAGTCAGATTTGAACTTTTGAAAACTTGTAGATGAATTTGAAAAACAAATTGGTCAATTTGAAGCAAGTAGAGAAAATACCTTTTTGAGGTCAGTCTAAACAGTATTTGTTAAGTTATTGGAAGTTGTAAGAATTTGTTACAGACGCCAACCGACATAATTAAAAAAAATGATAGATTAGAATCACAAATAGGCACTGGGGCCCTTTAATGAAAATAATATCACAACTTTGGGGAATTTCTAAAACTTTTGATGAGAGAAATATGGTTAAATGGTTCATAGCATACCTATACAATTCTCTACGTTCTATCATCTTCAATATTACTTTGGCAGAGTCTAAATTTGGGTCATTGGAGATTAAGATGTGGTTATAGATGGTGTCATTCAGCTGACAGAAGGCCACCATGTCATATATGGCCTCAGACATCTTGCATTTGACACCATCTTTTCCCTCCAGCAGAATATGGTCATTAGCTTCCACTAAGGCTTCGGTTATCCTACAATTCAAAAGGGCAATTTCAAGAATTCTGTACATGTAAAGATTTTTCTTAATAGTATGACAATAAATTTCTAACAAGGATAAGTTATTGCAAATGGTTGCAATAGCATCACAAAAAGCATCTAAAATTGCACTTATATAAAACAATAGCAACAAGTTCACAATTGCTTAAAGGGTTGGACCATTGAGGAACCTAACCTAAGAGCATGCACCAACAATTCTCATCTCACTATCAACATCAAATAACACACTTTCGGAGAATGCTATATTTTTGAAATATTTTTCTGAAAAGGTTAGGTTGCCTCATATGAGAATAAATGTACTACAATACATGTACTACAATGCATACTAAAATTCAAGCCAAGCATGATACATCAGAAAATGGCAATACACTCTACATTCGTCTAACAGCTAGCAGTGCTCTCTCCAGGTTCTTTGTGTGGGGGATTTTGTTATTTTTCAGGACAACATTTTAGGATTTTGTAACTTTATATAAAACAATTTAGGATTTTGTAACTTTACCATTTTAGGATTTACTTAATTTTGATTGTAACATTTCAAAAGGCACATTAATGGAGAAGCATTTTAGATTATGAAATATATGTAGGGGCTGGGCCTAAGTACCGATTTCAATGTGGAGGGAACACACCAGAGAAAACAAACCGGAAAATATTGGTATGTGTAATGCAGTGCATGAAACATTATAAAATTCATGATCATAAGCAAATCATTTCAGTAATTGAAAACAAACTAATTAGTCGGTGATTCAAAACAAAATACATCATAGAACAGCACTCATTTTCAAACAGTCTAAAATATATAAATAAGCATAAGAGGGAGCATCAGAGACTCAGTATTTGGAGCGATTGTTCACTCTTTCTCCTTAGGTTTGTTTTAGTCAAGACTTGGCGAGAGTTAAAAACTTATAAGTTACAGCCTATGGAATTAACCATTTTTGGTCAATCCATAACAAGAATTTACCATTTTTTCATTGTTCTATTTTGGCATTTTACTGGTCTCTGAGGCTCAGGCTTTACAATACAGATAAAACAACATAGTCTCATATTCATGAACATGCTCACACAAATGCGCATTTCCATGCTACAAAAATTCACTGTTTCAGAACAATATATATTAAGGATAGCTTAATATATATTTGATAATAAATGTGAGCAGATCATTCTGAACTAGACATGACAACACTAGGTTGAATTGTTTTGTTACGAAGCATTTCGACAAAAAGAATTGTTAGGAAGACTTTTAAAGGCACAAAATCCTTCGAAATGAAGCCATTTGTCAAAATGCTTCGTGAGGAAGAAATTTAACGCTGCTAACAGGTACCAATCTTTCAAGCAGCAGAAAAGTTATGTGGTCATTCTTTAAGAAGTATATCAAATTCTACTATTTCTCTTAAAAAACGAATGACAGTTCAAGAAAACATGTCAAAAGATGTGTCATGGTAATGACATACTGATATTGAATATCTAGTCCATAACTTTTCATGTAAAACAGCTGCAATAATGTTTAGCTAGTTTTGTGAGCACATGTACAGGGTGACCCCTCTAGCTTTGAAATAACTGTCAATTTAGGTAATTTCTTTTTGAATTTTCTTGTGTGATAAGGTGTCCAATGGAGCAAACATTTAGATATATCATGTTTACTGTTCAGGTATGTTGCCTGGGATTGCTCTCATCTCAAATCAGTAAAAAAATTCATGCAATCTAAAAAAATTATGTATTTGGGTCACCCTCTTTGTCATTTTCATTAAGTTTTCTGATTTTCAGTTTAGCGGAGAACAGCATATCCATAACACTTAGAAAGCTTAAGTCAGGTCAGGTATAAAGTCACCTACAGGCTCATCTTTGACTTACATTGTTTCAACAATATTGTTGACTTTGTGTTGGTACGCCCGTCTGTGTAAAACAGACCTTGTGTGGAACATGTCGTACAGGTTGCCCACTTCCTAGAAACCAAACATGACATACAGTAATTACAGCATCTTTTATAGTTCCTCTCTATTAACAACCTATAAGTAGGTGGAAAAAGAGAAAAGTTTTTATTCCAGACATAAACTATTAATTACAGGGATCTCCCCAGGATTTTTTCTCAGGTGGGTGCAAAATTTTCTTTTCACAATGCAGACCAAAATTGGCCAATTTTTCTCATTTTCAAGTGGGTGCAAATGGAATTTCAGCTGGGTGCAAGCCTGTTTTTAAAATCTCAGGTGGATGCTGCACCCACTTGATTTAATGCTGGGAGATCACTGAATTATACCATAATACAGTAAAACCAGCATTTTTTGACAGTGTCAAGTGAGACATCTGTAGAAGTGGAGTTCATGTTTAATTATTGAATCTCTACATGTGGATCAACTCATAAGTGGAATATGTTATTGTGGAACCAAGATTGTTTCACTGGACTGGTTTTACTGTACTACTTTCAGATATATCCCTTTATCAAAGTAGTAACTCTTTTAAAGTCTCCATATTTTCTTTCGTTCCACAAAAGTTGAGCATCGAAGAAGTGATGATTGAAACATCTTTCTGCATTTATAAATCACCAGGAATTTATATTAACAGTACCACAATCATGGCTTGGTCTTACTACAAGACCTTTACAATTAACATTGCCTCCTTTTACTGCAAAAAAGCTAGAATATATTTTCCAGATTTAAAATATGTCATAGGTTGTAGAAAGCAATTTTTTCAAAATTAAGAAGTAAAAAATTCTTTTTTGATTGGAAACATTCCAACCAACAACATATAACATCATAATCTATCTTTTTTCAGTGCAGCAAAACAGGGCAGAGTTTATTGGAAAGGTTAATTCTCCATCATCTACAATGAAAATTATTAGCATAGATTATTCAAGGATGGCAACTAAATGACTACTCCCATATGACCTTAAAGGGAGAACTTGGGGTGGAGAGAAATTCTGGGTAGAATTAGAAGCATGCAAGCTTGGGTCGCATATTTTTGTATTATCAATATAAGCTGAGACTGCCCTGTCACAGGTATGTATTATATAGTGTCAGATGTTTGTTTCAGTTCAACATGTTACATCAATGAGAAAACGGGGAGCACCCCATAATTAATAGATGACCCTATCTCAGTCTGAAGATAAACCACTGTAGGTCCACCTTTATGTAGATATGAGTTCCAGAATTCTCCACAGGATTTTTTCTCAAGTGGGTACAAAATTCTCATTTCACAATTCAGACCAAAATTGGTCAAAATGAGCCCATTTTCCATGGTTTTCCTCATTTTACAAGTAAGTGAAATTGGATTTTCAGTTTGGTGCAAGCCTGTTTTTACAAGTAAGTGAAATTGGATTTTCAGTTTGGTGCAAGACTGCTTTTACAAGTAAGTGAAATTAGATTTTCAGTTTGGTGCAAGACTGCTTTTACAAGTAAGTGAAATTGGATTTTCAGTTTGGTGCAAGACTGCTTTTACAAGTAAGTGAAATTGGATTTTAAGTTTGGTGCAAGCCTGTTTTTACAAGTAAGTGAAATTGATTTTCAGTTGGGTGCAAGCCTGTTTTTCAAATCTCTGGGGCATTTCCTCCTCATTTTACTGAATTAGCATTGGTGCTGCTACTTAACATGGCACCAGATGGTCTTGCCCAACGGAAAAGCAGACACCATTCACCGTATGTTAAGATGTTGATTGCAACTTATAGGCTTGATTATAGGAATTACACTGTATCGTCGCAGATGTAACATGAAACAATCTGCAACACTCATACAATATACACAGCAAGGGTTTCATTAGAATTGTTAACAAAAGGCAAAATGAATTTAAACCAGCAAGCAAAAGTACAGTGTTAGGAATTGTGATATAACTTGGCTGCTGCTGAGTTACAAAATTGCTCAAAACAACAGGTGATTTTCGTGAAAATAAGAATCAGAAAAATTGCCTGTTGTCAGCTGCTAATGAAACCCCCGCATAAACCCTGTGATTAGCAGACCCAGCAGTACATGGGAAGCCTATCCACTTACATGTATTCTACTATGTTCTTCACTTTATGCTTGTATGCTCTGCGGTGTAACACATTTCGTGTGTGATACATATCATACAGACAATTCGCTTCCTAATAAAATACCATTTATTTATAGAACAAGTTGTTTGAAGGGTTGTTTTAATTTGAAAGTAGTATTGATTATGTAAATGACATATCTTTATGATTGAAAAAATATTTGAATTATTATTGATAAAGTAGTATAAGACTTCATAAGAGGGGGATTTTGCATGCGCTAGATCAAATTATAATTATTTTTCAAAGTTCCTTTTAAAATAGTCAATTTGATGGTTTTTATTAAGGTAACTTCTGCTTGTAAACTCTTATTTCCTAGTTAAATAAATGTATAATACTATGATTTTCAATAATTGTAAAACGTGTCAAATAGGCAAATCACTTCCAAGTCAATTAGAACTAACAAGGTACTCACCTTATCCCTGGAGCAGATCTGGGGAACCCCATCAACTTCCAAAACACGGGCAAACTTGATGAACCGTAAATGGTCAAAGTTGTTATTAAACCCTAAATGGTGGCAATCTCTGGCAAAGTAATCCCACTTGTCCACATCAATGCCATTCCTTTTATTTGCTACAATCTCATATAGGAAGCTCTTGGATTTTGGACGACCGCGATAGTTCCAATTCTTGTTTCGTGTAGAAGGTCCTGGAATAAATTTTAAAAATGAAAACTGTGAAAATGGGATTTAACCCTTCTGACTTTTTATGAAGACACAGAAATATTCCTAATACTGTAAATAAGGCTTCAGTGTTTTTCTAAATAAATCCATAGAGATTTAAGTTTATTCAAGTAATTCAACAACCATTCAGTTTTGAATGAGACCCCATGTAGGGTCTGAAATTTGACGCACAATATTGTCCCATAGGTGGGACTTGACATTGTACTTTATCCTTGTAGTATGCACTTATGAGATTCCCAGTAATCGGAATTACGACTATATTTGAGCAGCTATTATTGCCCGGAGGGTGGGAAAATTGATTAATTGGTAAGGAATTGGACATCGCAATATTTTCATTTTGTCGATATCCCCACCCTTTCCCAGTTAGGGGGTCTCTGGCAAACCTTTATATGGTGCATAAGGTTCAAAATACTAGTAGAATTTTATAAATTTTACTAGCAGAAATTTATAAATGATAACAGTACTAACATAATTTAACAATATTAGTGTTTACTTTGTGTACACCTAACCCTTTATGGATATGCATGTGTAATAAAGTTCATAATGACAAGCACATTAATTGTTTAATTAATATTCATTCAGCCAACCACGTACCAAGATATTAATTTCTCCACATAATCATAAAATAAAAATAAATTAGCCCCACTGGTGTAGGAGTTAATATGTTAGCTATTCATGAGGTGCAAATATTTTTAATAAATAATAATAAAAATAAATAAATTTTTATACAATAAATTTTTTCTCACAACTTGAACAAACAATCACTTATTCATTTACTAGTATATGAAAAAAAAAATTATGCAGTGTTTATTCAATTCCGCATTTTATTCCATTTAAAATACTTTTGATCAAAACACTTCACTAACCAGCAATCTGTTCTTTGATGAAGATACGGTCTCTTTCTGTTAAACCATGTTGTTCAAACAATGGGATTAGATTGTTGTCTTCTACGAGATAGTCAAACATTTGAACTGAAGCATCCTCATGCTGAAACACAAAGTATACATATAGGAAATCTCCCATAAGCCATCCAGAACTATTGCTAGTTTTTGTGGAGCAAAAACATGTTTTTTAAAGGATTGGTATCGATGTGGTGAACTTTTTGGACACGCATTTCTCTTAGACCAGTGATCAAAACATTCAATTTTTTACAGAATGTTTTCAATAATTGGTTTAAGAGAAAAACATTGTTGAATTCAGTTCACCATATCAATACCTATGCTTTCATGTTTAAATGGACACTTTGTCAAAAATTGTGAATCTAGCAATGGAAGGAATGATAACCATTTAGACAATTGGATCCTCATATGATTTTATATAGGTGACAGGCAACATTGCAAAATAATCCACTGTTTTAGTCACTATATATTGCGGTGATGCAAAAACACAATCTAAAACAAGTTCATAATTGTGAAAATGAACAAGCATGATGTAATGAAATACAAGGGTAGGATTGTTGAATTTCGACTGGTTGGACTGACATGTGACTAATATGTCATTAATATTTAATATGACATGATTTTTGAGTAAATAAAAATGAATTATTGGTTTGAAATTAATAAAATAGCCATTTTATGTGTAATTTATGTGTTACAAGATGAGATCGTTACATACCCTCCATTTACTGTTCTTATCTATCTTGGGAATAAACTTCCCATCAAACATATGAGAGAATGGACCATGTCCTGAAATGAAGAAGTTACAAATACAGTAAAACCTGTTTTAGTGGAACACCCTAGGTGCCTCAAAAATTCAACTTGGGTGGTGTCCCTTACAGAGGTATTGAGACATTAAGACAAGGTGTCATGGGACTCTTACAGAGTGTTGAGCTTACAGATGTTCTGCTGAACAGTTTATATGTATACAGGTTATTTTTTTGTATTTCATATAGGTAGCGACAGTATAATATTGACTCAACATTTTTTCAAAAATAAAAAATTTCAAAGTCTGACGATTATTTAATTTAGCTATTACATAACATGTATTTTGAAACAATCCAACATGAAAAGTGTGACAACTGGCACTCACCCAGGTCATGGCACAGCCCTGCTATCTGTACACAGATGATGTCTGCATCCGTAATATGTAGGAATGGTTGTCTAGTTCGAATAGCACGTACCAGTTGGCCAGCCAACCAGCACACACTGGAAATAAACATAATATATGTACAGCCCCTGTGTAGCAAAGCACAGTGGTTCTGGCAAAGCTACTTTGCATGAAGGTATGAGTGGTAAACATCCCATAAAAGGTATTGGCAAAAAAACAAAAGGTAGTAGTGGTATGTACTCTTATTTCAATGACTATTGTATGTACAGAGGAGATTTTACTGGGTCTGTCTCCCATTATTAACAACCATAAAATTATAAAGACGACCATAAAATAATGAAGACGACCATAAAATAATATAATGAAGACGACAATAAAATAATAAAGACATACTTTAACTCAACTTTGAATAATATACTAATGAATGAAACATCTGTACAATATATTTGTTGGAGGGGTTACAAATGCAAATATATATACATGTATATACGAAATGCCCTGTATCATAGGGCCGAAGAGAAATGTGACATACCCAATTGAGTGTTCAAATCTATTGTGAGTGGCACCAGGGAACACCCAGTAGCACCCTCCCAACTGCTTCAAGAATCGTAAACGTTGGAACTGTTTTGTATCAATGATGGCTGCACACAGAGAAGACACCTCGATGTGACCATGGATAGGGTCATTAAACACCTGAAAGTATATTTTTCATTGAGTGCATATATCGTGTTTAATGAAATTAAAATGTTTATGAAAATATTAATATGGTATTCAATTCACTACTTTTCAAAGCCCCTATAGTGTGGTGCTGTGAATATTTATTACTTTTACTATTTTTTGATTTTCTAATCAACAGGCTTGAAACCAGGATTGAAAATTTAATGACGAGGAGAAAATAATGTTTGGCTTTAGTTTGGAAGGCAAATTTCTTCTTAAAGAGTGACACCATGTTCACCTCTATGATAAAATCCCCCTCAAAGAACTGCATTTTTATCAGCTTTTATTCATCATTTTGTAAACTCATAAAAAATTGGTATATATTCTATTCATATTGTGATGATAACGCCACTTATAAGTATTTGTAACAGGTCATGTTGACCCCTACTGCTTGTTTCATACTGATAACATTGACAATTGACAATATTAATTGCTACGTGCCAAGTATTTTATATCAACAACTGTCGGAATATTAAATATACGATTTTTCTTTTTTCCTCATTTCACATGTTGTAGGCAGAATCTCAACGACACTATTCCTGTAACCAGCATAATCGAGTGGATCACCAGTGTATTTACCAATTTTTGATGCTTTCAAATTGTGACTTTCTAACATCAAAATTTTCCAAATTATTGAAATCAGACTAATTTTGAGAACTAAATTTTAAGAAACGTTATGCTACAAGTGCAGAAATTAATTAATTTTTCATTCTATTGCATGTAGTCCAGTACAAATATTTAATAGACAAACAATATATGAATCAATAACAAGGAGGATTTATCATTAGAAACTAGAGTAACAACCATGGAATCAGAATGTAGAATCTTTAAATTTTGATCAATTTCCGTGGAACCAACATATTTCTTAGGGGTCAATAAACACATTTGGCTATATTACATTCAGTGATCTCACCATGTCACTTTTACCTTTCCCCCCTACTTGAAACCAAAGGCCCCCTAGTTGGCACCCTGCACTCCAACTTCTGATTTGCAAAATGAGTGAAGTAAGAGTAGTGAGCGCAGATTTTTTCAGACTTGAAAATTGCAGCCAGTTGAATTTTTGGGGAGAACACTGACATTAACTTTTAGTTCATTGTATGTTACCTTAGTACTATGTTCAGCATCAGCCAAGCTGTGGAGTTCCCTTATGAGCTGTAACACTTTTAGTCTTTGCCCCATAGGTCTACAACATTACAGCAGGATTGAGTAAGATTGAAAACTTTAGAATTACTATAGGCCTAATAGTTAACAGTAAGATATTGTTTCAGAAAATGAACAAAGTGCCTAAGACTTTCCTCAAGTTTCTAGATCCTCGATCCCTCTAATTCACCATTAGTCACATATCTTATCATATAGGATAAGATAATTCAAAAGGCTACATTTAAGTATTATAGGCCACATTTTTAAATACTATGCCTCTGTGATTGGGATAGACACAAGACATTGGCCATAATATTAATATCAACTCACTTGATTTCCATTTTCTGTAAGTGTTCCTCGGTGAGATCTTTGAGTACGGCTCCAGCAATGGCTTCTCCTGCAAATTACAAATTTTTACTATAATCATGGATTAGAATGAGGTTTTATCGCTCATGAATGGTCAATTGTGGCTTGAAATTGGTCACACTTTGAAAAATAACTTGCTTCAATGAATGTGTTATTTTATTGCTTTGTAACCATATTGCTCATGCTCCTCATGGAGCGTTTGGAGCATTTTACTCCATTGGTTAGGTGCGGCTATATGACGCCACAGTTAAGAGGCACAGTAACTCTAGCCCATAGTCTCCCGAATGATCTTTCAGCTCAATGCTACCCCTTAATCAGTATTCTCCCTATCCTCTATTTAATTCAAGAGTTCATAGTTTAAACATATAGTTTTGATAATCATACACCTTTTTGACAATATTTTTTAGCTACTGTAGATTGGGTTAATTTGGCGCCCGCTTTAATTTGGCGAATTTGGCGAAATTGAAAAATTCGCCAATATAAATCTCCGCTAAAATTTAGAATGAATCCCCGGGAATCATCTAGGGTATTTCGTCCAGTGTATTTAGGTCTCTTCCGGTTCATTTTTTCCAAAAATATGAAAAAATGTCTCTCATAAATTGGCTCAGAACTGGTCAGTCACTCATTTATACTCAGGGAAAAGTAGCAGCATCGATTGAGGTGTAAAATGTAAAGGATGATCTCACAAAAATGTACAAACGTGGTGAATATCGCCAGTGGTCCTCAAAAGAAAAAATGAACATAGCCAAACATGCCCATTTACATGGTAATTCGCAAACAGCGCGTAAGTTTAACATTCCATTAACATTTTTTTGCATATCCGCCAAATTAAATAGCCGCCAATATGCCAAAAATGGCAAAATCGCCAAATTAAGTAGCGCCAAATTAACCCAATCTACAGTACCATTCGAACAGATGCAAGCAATGATACAGCTGCCACAATAATTTCAAATGAATGTTCTTGTGTTTATTGCTCCTTAACCAAGTAAGAAGTTCCCTAACATGTATTTGACATAATGTTAGAGGCAAACTACACATTTCATGACTGCATATTCATTGTCGACCAGTAACACACAGTAATTTATGTTTGAGTCTTCTATACACAACAGGATTTTAAAAATTCATTTTTTTCTCATTTCATCTAACTTTTCAGTTAGTGGTTGGAAATATAGACTTAATATTACAGTTTAGCAGCCCTGCCCCCACGACCCATGCCTGTGATAGCTTGGGTCATAAATCATTTCACACCTACTGCGCTGACCTATTCTCAACCAATCAGCAAGCTGGAATGAACAAGTGCTAAATATGTGCACAATAATTATGCAATTAAGTCAGAGAAAATGACCATATAGAAAGCTGTCCTTATTTCGACGACGAATGTTGATCTCCCTGTGATTAGCGCGGTGAGTTCAGAGATTTATTGAAAACTGAAATAATGAAGATCAAACTCTCTTTTGAGAAGCAAAGTCGAACGAATGCAAAGGGAAATTGGAAAGGCTGTAGATTACAGAACTGTTTCTTTCGAAAAAGGTGCAAAAAAGTATACATTGACTACATTATTTAAAAGGGCGCTTTCTAACAATTTTTATTGTCAAGTTTATTGTCAAGCTAAAACACAAAATATAACAAGAAGCTAAAGGTCTGTATTTAAATTTTATCCTGAGAAATCCTGAGATAAACTCATACTTATCCTGAGATAACCTTGTACTTTGTAATATAGGAAAGTCTTATGGCAAAAAATAAGCAATTCAAGGACAATTAAGGACAATGTTGAATGACTTAAATTCCTTACTTGAAATGATATCATATGAGAAACAGAACACAAATGAAAATGAAACATACCACACTGATTTGCTAGATAATTATGAAAACATGTCTGAATATTAGAAACTTTCCATTTCAAAGAACTTGTTTGAAATAAAATTACAATGATAAAAGTCAGTGGCTGAAACGAAAGTGAAAATAACATATTTGAATACTGAATATTATAAAGTAGTAAATTGTGCATCCTTTTGTAAGAACTTGAATTTTGTCTGAAATGAGATCACACATATGGGTGACATATGTGAGTAGAGCGTCCAAACTGATTATTTCCTTATGAGTTCCGCAAGTCTTGATTTAGAAAATCAGATATATTATGCTTAATTTTTACACTTTGTATCTTTTCTGTCATATTACTCAATGAAATGATTTATTTCTGATTGTAGCTCTAAAATATTAAAACATTCAGTTTACATAAAATATGAGTTTAATTATGAAACACCCGACCCATCGAACATATTTATTCCTTGTTGGAATGAAATGCCAATTGAAGCAAAAACTTCAGATAAAATCCGCCATTTTGAATATTATGGAGATGAATTTTGGACGTCTGATAAAAGGTTGTAATGCATTTCAATTCAAATCAAATATGACAAATAACTTGAGCATTGCCCTGTAACATAATTCAGTTGAAGCCATGTCCATACTATGATCATCAGGTTATTGATTTTAGGGAGGGGGTGTATAGAAAAGACACCCCTCTGACCCTTCTATTCTGATGAATGGGATAGGGATGAATGGGATTTGGACCATTCGGCTTCAGACTAATGGAATTCTGACTAATGTTGTCTAGATGTGACATAATTATAGGCCTACATCACAGTGAACAGAATTTCCTTCATATCATTATTTAAAACTACAAGTGCGGAATATTTTACGTCAATATATTGATGTTTCTCAAATGGATAATACACATCTTTATCATGATTTTGAGTTTTGGCAGTCATACAGGCCCGAAATAACACCCAATAGGATCTAGAAAAACATATTTCATATCTCAATCTTGCTATTATGGCAAGATAATACTGCGAATGTGAGCACTCCAAAATTCATAAAATGATCAAAACTCTGCCTGTTGACCTACATGTATCACATTCACTGGTGATCCACTCGATTACGCTGGTTACCGAAACGGTTCATTTTGGTAACAACATGTCGGAACATCATGGTACATTTTGTTACCAAAACAAACCGTTTCGGCAACCAGCGTAATCGAGCGAATCACCAGTGTCATTGCAAATGATCATGTAGCCTAAACAAACTGGGTTTAGGTTACTCACTTCGAGAGCCATGTTAGATTTTGAAACTTATGGCTCTCAAACGGGGAAGTGAACAGCTGATTAATAGTGACCTTTGAATTCGAATTAAGTTGATCCGCGGCTTACTTTTGGTCTCTAACTGTGTCTTACATCAGTATCATCAATCCGTGTAAGTATTGGAGCGCTGGAGTACTTCTTTTTCGATCAAGACTTGTAAATTGTTCATCGAGTTAAAGTTTTATAGACCTATTTCCAATATGGCGGTTTGCTAGGTGCGAGATACGCAACGAACGAAATTAATTTTGAGAATTAGTTAGGTTCGGACAACCTCCGGAGATTTACGGAAATGTCCGAGCAGAAACCGCCATATTGGAATTTGGCAGTAAAACTATTCACTCGACTAACAATTACAAGTCTTGATCGAAAAAGAAGTACTCCAGCGCTCCAATACTTACACGGATTGATGATACTGATGTAAGACACAGTTAGAGACCAAAAGTAAGCCGCGGATCGACTTAATTCGATTTCAAAGGTCACGATCATTGAGCTGTCCAAATGCTCCGTGGGAAAGCTATTATATCAAAATCCAAATAGCTTTCGCAGGAAGTAAGGCTCTAATACTTACACGGATTGATGATACTGATGTAAGACACAGTTAGAGACCAAAAGTAAGCCGCGGATCGACTTAATTTGATTTCAAAGGTCACAATCATTCAGCTGTCCAAATGCCCCGTGGGAAAGCTATTATATCAAAATCCAAATAGCTTTCGCAGGAAGTAAGGTTTAGGAATAAACCAGGTTTAGGAACAAACTGTATTTATTGTTTCTACGGGAAACGTCATTGTGATTCTTGATAATCTCTGGTGTGACATCATCTGAAGTGGTGTCACATTAACTGACTCCAAGATCAAGTAAATAAGTACTTTTTTAAGATTTCGTGTCTGATCCTTGAGTGAATTTGTTTCGCCTTGAGACCAATGGGAGGAATCTGGCCGAAGTTCATGATTTTCACGAGTAAACATTAATGCACATCAGAAAAAAAGTCTGGGAAAAGATCAAGACCAATGGATTCTGACCATTGGGATTCGAACCAATGCTATAAGTTCTAGCCTAGTCAGTCACTCAGAGAAATTCTCTTTCAATTCAAATGCCTTGAACTTGATTCAACAAAAAAACTTGAAACTTACTTTCAAATACAACTGCAACATCGTTTAGATCATTCTGCATTAGATGTTCACAGACCTGATGCACAGTCCAATCTTTGAAATCGGTATATATGAGATTCTTTGGTTGCTCAACTGGATAAATACTAGACGATTCGCCAGCATCATTTTTCTTCAATCTTTTTACCGCGGACATTTTGAACTTTTTGAGCAAAATCAAATTCCCAGGTTTGGACTGGCTAATCTGAAGGGGTCGATGGATTCCTGTATGTCAGAATTCCTTTTCAAGAATCCACTGAATTCCGTTTTAATAAACTATTCTGTTCTTTAAATTATAGTGCTGCACTAGATCTACATGGATAAACTTTGACATTAATTTAGTTCAAATACTTGAAGAATATGAGTCGACGTATAGCTTAAGCCGAGACCCTATTTTTCTAGTTAGACTCGTCCATTTTCAAAACGAGGTAAAATCATGGCGGAAAAATTGAAATATTTTCTTTCAATTTTTTTTTGATTTTTGTACGTATTTTGGTGAAATGCATCTAGCCAGATTAGAATCAACTCATTTTAGATTTTAAATGCGAAAATCTATAACTTGTCCTTCCATAAACACAATTTGATGGAGGAATTGTTAGTTTCGTGCAGACTAAAATTTCAGATTTTTTTATTTTTCAGACTGAGACTGTGAGAGTGACTCTCCAGTCACTAGCCTACTGTGAGACGTAATCTAGTGTGTAGTCAGTCAGACCTAGAGGAATGACTTGACTGAGACTCATATATTTTTGCTGATCTATTATTGAGAGGCACCAGTCTGTAAGCTCCAGTGACGCCAATGTTTATACATCTTCTGTATAGTCTAGATCCACTGTGTCTGTGATCTGAAGGTTGGAGAAATTATAAGCTTAAATGTACTCGAGCCTAGTAAGCTTCCAAAAGTCAAGATCGAACCAAATCCATATAGCTTAGATCTTGTCTACAGGACGAAATTATCTTTGAAACCACTACCTGCCGGACAGTATGTACCACTGATTAAAGTGTGCTTCCTTATTATGGTCACAATCAAGGGATCAATTACTGCACTCCTGGTATTTTTGTGTTCAATTTAGTTTCGCGATTAAAATTAAATTTCGAAATTGTCAATTAAATTCTCCGTGATTTGTGAAACTTTTTATTACCTGGGAATCCATTGCATTTCGTGTTTTGTAAAATGTTTGTCAAGTGTTATTAGGCCATAAATGTGATACTAAGTAGCTATGCCTGTTACAGTGGCTTATTAGATCAAATAAACCAAAAAATGACGGTGTAATAGAGGATAGGGTGCAGCGTGTGGTTGACCAAGATACAAAATTAAATAACCGCAAAATTAACCAAGAGTACAGTAATGCATCCAATATCAAATATCCCCTAGCAAGTTGCTCAAGGCTTGCATTTCAAGTTGCCAAAATCCTGAAAGAGCTTCACTTTTACTTCCTGGCGAGAAGTCTTATTTAATTCAAATGTGAAAATGGTTTTGTCAGTATTGTTTCAATGCGCTATTAAATTAGAATAGTTAATTGTTTGCATTTTTTCAATAATATATCCGGGAATGTATCATATGCTGTATGATTCATTTTTGTCACATCTTATAACCTCAACATCATTATATTTTAGAGCTAATTAGGATACAGTATAAATCATGGATGAGATTGGTGAGTTAGGAGAAATGCTCCCAGTTCCAGGAGAACCAAGAGTGTTACATGTTGATGTATGCCAAGATCCATGCAGGTATGTCGGCTATTTCTTGCAAGAATAGTCGACTAATTTTTGATATTGCAACCCTTTAAGAATAATCAACTTTAAACTGTTCATAGATAACAGGGTTGCCATAGTAAGTAGAAAGTCAGGGAATTTAGAATTTTCTTCAAAATTGCAAGAAAAATGCTTGACATGGAATTTTACAGTTCTTTGAATTGAAGTGAGGGAAATTACTAAAAGTTGAAAATTCAATGAGTCAATGAACCTACAATTTGTCTCTTTTATTTTAATTTTTGTTGTTTAAAACAATTCAATTGGTTTAACAGTTAATTATATCATTTTTACTTTTCAGTACTGTTAAGGCAGCCAGTATAAAAGAACATGTGAAAAGATTGTTTCACAAGAGGGAATGTCCTTTAGGAGATATGAAACTTACAGAGTTTAATGATGAATTCCTTACTGAACATGTAAAATGTATAGAAGTAACAGACTCGGAGTTTGAAGATTCTACACAGGTAATGCTTGACTAGACCAAATATAAATTCCTGTTTTAAAAACTGACTGTCAAAGACTCATGGAACAGAAATTTCTGAGCATGTAAATTAAGAAAATATCCAATTTGATACATTTTTTTGGAGATACATCTGTAAGTTGAGCATTTCCCAAGTAAAACACTATTTTGAGATATCAAAGATGTTCTACTTACACGTTTTACATTTCAACAAATTCTTTATACAACAACCAAATAACGCGAATTTGTTTTTTTCTATGAATAATTTAAAGTGGAGTTTCGACAAAGGAGGATATGATGTTACAAATTTTTCAAAGATTTGATAGAAATTCCCAATTTTACTCCAAAGTTGATAATTTGATGAAATAAAAATTCCAATTTCGATACAATGTTTTCCAGTTTTAGGAAAATTCACTTATGGGTAGATATTATTTTCCAGAGTCCCAATCTATCATCCATAACAGTGGAGGTGCATGTATACCAGGTGCATAAGGGTGGCCCAGCACAAGAGGATCTTGATGAAGAGGAGGAGCTAGCAGCTGCCAATCATTGGCTCCTCCCATCTTCTGACTTCCAAGGCATGTGGGAGAACCTCATATTTGACAGTCATATAAAACGAGAGCTCCTACAATATGCCAGCACAACTTTATTATTCTCTGACTGTAACGTAGATAGTAATATAATAACATGGAATCGCGTTGTGCTACTTCATGGTCCTCCAGGTACAGGAAAAACATCACTGTGTAAAGCCCTTGCTCAGAAGCTGTGTATTAGGATGTCTGATCGCTATAGTTACGGACAGCTGATTGAGATTAACAGTCACAGTTTATTCTCAAAATGGTTCTCAGAGGTTTGTAGTTTTTATATTTTGAATATTTTTTATTTGATTTATAATAGTATTACATATGTAGTGAAGCATTTGTATGGATGTCAGTGGGAAAGTTAGTGGGCTATATCCTAGTGCCTTACGGTAATGCCGGGTTGTCGGCAGCGGCAGTAGATACTCTCAATTGCCGGTAATAAAATCCATTGCCGATAATCGCCATGCTGCTGCAACATGATGATTGGCATTGCGATCCATTGTCAAATTTACGAAACAATGTTCAATATTTTATCAATCATGTATATTTCAATCTCCACATTAGAAGAGCTAATCTGTCAATCAACTGCAAAGGATTCGTAAAAGGCGGGAGGATAAGCAAAACCCCACCCACTTCTGTCAATCATCTCCCATGCCGCGAGATTAACAAATCACGTGACGTGATATTTCGGTGAAGTAAAAACAAAAACAAATAGTTTGATCAATTTTGATCGAATTCACTCTATATTATCATTCAAAGACTTCCAAACAATACACAATCACACACGAGATACACGATGATACAATATATCCACTGTAGTTGATGTGAGCGGGAAATCAAGCTGAGAAATCGGCTTCGTTAAGGATTTTTCGAAATATTTTAGTTTCACTTTCAGGTTTTTCCCCGGGATTTTAGGAACATTATCAGTATCAACGATTATCGGTAACGGTAAGGTAATGGAGGTGAAATTTACCGGCAGTGAGATCCATTACCGTTGCAAGCACTACTATATCCACTGATATTGCCTGATTATCCCGATATAGCCCCCTTACCTCATCGGCCTAGATTGGGAGAACTCAAGCATGTTGTAATGTAATAGTGGTATAACCTCTTAATATTTCTATGTCATTTCTGTTCATAAACCTGGTCTCATTTTTTCAGAATTTACATACAATAAGCATGTAATCTCTATAAATTGTTATTTATTTGGTTAAGAATTTTTACATGTTTAGGTTTCCTTGCAGACAATAATCTGTTTGAAGTAAACTCATGTTCTCCATAATGGGATTTTAAATGGAAACAAGTGTAGTATGTATGTAAAATGCCATTATGTTTTGCTTTACTCTAAAATACTTATTTCTAATGTGTTTCAGAGTGGCAAGTTGGTGATGAAAATGTTCCAGAAAATCCAGGAGCTTATAGATGATAGCGATGCTCTAGTTTGTGTCCTAATTGATGAGGTAGGTTGTGATCTGCATTTCATTACATTTCCAATTTTACTTTCATTTTGGTGTTAGCATATGTTGATGTACTACAACTGTTACAAAATGTTAGAATAATCAATGTCTTCCCAAGTTGATGCAAATTATGTACATATAGTCTAGAATAGGCATGTATAAAATAAAATGACATCTTACATTTTGACGAGCACCTTAACCATGGTTATCAAATGAAAGGTAAAGGGTTTCTTTATTGATACTGAGATTTGCCAAGATGAAAAAGATGTCGAAGTGACTTTTTGGGTAAAAAATGTGTTTTTTTGCAAAAAATTTTTTTAAATTGATAAAAAATATTTTTGAAAACTTATTATATAAAAAACAGTCTAGTTGACTCTCAAAAGTCGAAATATACCATGTTTAATCAACTTGGGGGGGATTTTGGGACCTTAATAGTTTTTTCTTTGGGATTTGCATGCAATATCGACTAAAACGAGTGTGTTCAAAATATGATGACAACGTTTTGAGGAGCAGCTTAACCATGGTTAATAATCGAAAGGTAAAGGGTTCCTTTATTGATATTGAGATTTGCCAAGATGAAATAGGTGTCAAAGTGAGTTTTTGGGTAAAAATGCGTTTTTTGCAAAAACAAAATTAAATTGATAAAAATATATTTTTGAAAATTTATTATATAAAATACAGTCTAGTTGACTCTCAAAAGTCAAAATATACCATGTTTAATCAACTAGGGGGATTTTGGGAGCTTAACAATTTTTTCTTTGTGATTTGCATGCAATATCAACTAAAACGAGTGTGTTCAAAACATGGTATATAATTGAAGAGTAAAGGGTCCCTTTGTTGATACTGAGATTTGCCAAGATGAAATAGGTGTCGAAGTAAGTTTTTGGGTAAAAAATGAGTTTTTGCAAAAATAAGTTTATGTTAAAAAAAACATTTTTAGAAATTTTTTTATATGAAATACAGTCTTGTTGATGAAATATACCATGTTTAATCAAGGGTTCCTTTATTGATACTGAGATTTACCAAGACGAAATAGGTGTCAAAATGTGTTTCAGGTGAAATGCGTTTTTACAAGAGAAATTCAAAAATTGAAATATCTTTTTTGAAATTAAATTCTAACAAATATAGTCCGGTTGATTATAAAACAAGTGAGAACAACTATTTGTTATCAATTTTGAGAGGTTTTCGAAGCTGTTTGAGGTATTGTCTTGTGGTTTGTATCTTGCGAATTCAAAGGCACTTGAATTAACGTTACTGCAAGGAGTTAAGGGGGTTGCGGTTGGTGCGATCTCAACCCCACCCCAAAAAATACAACCAATAAAAGAGATGAGAGGTTTAGAATGCTTTTTGAAGTTTCTAGCTCAATTTTGAAGGAGTTGCACCAATTTTTAAAATAATACGATTGTAGCCCCCCCCCCCCCTCAGCTGGTAGAAAGCGGGCTATGGCCCTGCTATGTATACCCTTTGTTTTATGTATATTCCAGTTCAAACGTTAGTTAATGAAAACACCATATAATTATCTGTGATGTAGTGGATATCTACAATGAATATTTTAATGTATCCTCTATTACAAGCTGAAGATACGTGGTCAATGAAATATGTAAAGATTGATCATAAATAGGAAATCCTTTGATACAAAATTATCTTTAAATTACTTATCTCAATCAAATTATCACTAACACTGAAAGCATCACCATTAACAATGTTAATTGTTGATTCAAATAGTGTTTAATATTAACGTTTGTATTTGCACCTAGCAGTACATTTGATCCTAGACACTGGGCTCATTGGCACTGACCAATAAGCGTTGCATTCCATTGTGCAGTGTATGTCTGGTATGAATGTAGAACTCATGATTAATACAAGTACATTTGACATATATTTTAATGTGATTTTTACCTTCATCTTCTATTTCATAATTATTCTCATTTATTTATTGACTGTAATTTCATTGGTACCATCAATTTTAAATATCAAGCATGTTATGAAAACACTTTGTTACAGTCATGTCACACAAGTCAAGATCAAGACCAAGTATCCTCTTAGCTTGGTACATCAAAATATCCTTTCTTAATTGCACTGTTGTGTGTCTAGCTCAGGCAATGTGTGAGAAAATGTACTCAAGTAGAGAGGGGGAGGAGTCACAGAGGCTTGAAGCAAGACTACCTTATTTAACACATAATACAACGTGACTTGATTATGGGTTACTTACAGTATAGTAAAATAACCATTCCGTATATCAAATAAGCATGTACTTCTGTGTGATAATTATAACAGACTTATAAATACAGTAGCTCCCTTATGAGAGAATCTCAGGAGCAGATAATGCTGCAATGCTGTAGTGTGATTCTGATTATTGGGTTTACTAGTTCAGTAAAATTAATCAAACCAGATTGAGTACTGTAATCTATGGATTTTTCAAAACACTGGCACATGTCCAGCATGAAACAATTGACACATTGACCATAGCTGTTTTGGCATTTAAGTGGTGATCAACACTGGTTGTATTGATTGAACTAGTTAAGAAATGAGGAATGCTATACTAATTAATCGTCTAATTAGTGCCTTTCGACACCTCGTTCACTTTGGCAAATCTCACAAATCGTTTGTAAGATATAAAGGATTATTTTGTTACAGGTCTCTAGGGTGCTCGCAAAAATGTAAGAACTCTCTCTTTCTAGAGGCTTTTATTTTGAAAATATTCTAGACTAATATGCATATGATGAAAAAATAATTAAAGTGTCCACATTTAATTGTTCCTTTAGTAAATTGAATATGACAAAGGTTGTATTTGTATTGTCAGGTAGAGAGTCTCACATCAGCTAGGAAGTCTGCCATGTCTGGCAGTGAACCGTCAGATGCAATACGTGTTGTCAATGCCCTCCTTACTCAGATTGATCAGATCAAGAGGTACATATGTTTTAATAAACCTTTCCAGTAAACCCTGCTATAATTAGCTACATCAAAGAAGCTAGGATATATTGGCCAGGTTGATGATGTCATAGGTTGTAGATGTTATTATGTCACCACCAAAAGTGGTTATAGTTTCCATTTTTGTGATAGCATTTGGCGCCTGGTGTCCAGTGTCTGTAACAAATGGCAATGGTGACATTTTGCATGTAAATGCCTTGTCAATGTTATTGGCCCTTAAAGATATTGACTGATATGTGTTTTCTTACCAGGTACCCCAATGTGCTGATATTGACCACATCCAATGTGACAGGTGCGATAGACTTGGCGTTTGTTGACAGAGCTGACATAAAGCAGTATATTGGACCCCCATCACCTGAGGCTATTTTCAAGATTTTACACTCTTGTATCAGTGAACTTATGAGGGTAGGTAAAAACAGATATGATATAGAGTTACAAAAATATAAGTGTTTATGTTATGTTTATTGTAGGTAATACATGATGCAGAAAAAATCAAGGACGTGAAAAAGTTGATACTTAAAGATAAATAAATGTACATGGGTACCAGACCATTACCATTAGCATTCACATTGAGCTGAATATACCTCCGAGCTCTTGAATACACATAGCCCTGTGCACCACTAAGCAAGCTCACTGTATCATGTGATCTGGTTAAATCACGTGCAGTGTGCATGGAGAATGATATACCAAAAATCAGTCATTATCAGCTTCATTCACATCACAAGTAAAGAGAAAACGAAAACATTGGCATATTTGTTTGCTTTACTTTGAATGCCTTTAATTCTAGGCTGGTATAATAAGTCCCCCACAACAACTGCTGGACTTGAAAGCACTCAAGATGATGAACTTTGTAAAGAATGAGCTGACCAGCCTCAGCCTAATGCTCAGACAGATCGCCATGTAAGTAAATAACCATAGGTTTTATCATACAATGAAAAATAGGTTTTATCATACAATGAGCCAATCTAGTTCTTTGTGTTCTTGTTTGACTTTTGTAATGAAATATGGGTGCCAAATTTCTTTTCAAAATATTTATGGTGAAAGTATAAATAGAAGTAAACTGTCTCGGTTTGAGCCATAACATTTGGTATTCTTCACCTTGGAATTTGATGTCAAAATATTTGACTCATAGCATAGTCATGATGCTTGCTTCGGGTTGTCATGTCAACCTCATCTCTTAATTTACCTGGTATTTGAGGTGTCTAGGGATGGGGGAGGAATGAGTGCATGCAGGAACCTCATACACACATCGTGCAACATAAACCCAAATCTTTCAACGTGTTAAAGAAAAGTAGCTCCACTGAGCTATTTAAATATGTTAAAATATGCAAAAGAAATTTTCTAGCATAAAGTTTCTGGGTATATACTCTGGGTGTTTAAGATGGGGGAACAACACAGATGTCAGGTGCAAGCTTATTTTTCCACGAATTGTGCTCAATTGTTTTTATTTTTCCAGAGAGAGTTATGGTTTGAGTGGGAGGACTCTAAGAAAGCTTCCATTTATTGCTCATGCTACATTCCTGCAGGTAACTTCTTTTTTTTCTTTTTTTTCTTTTTTTTAATCATTTATTTCATAAATTAAGTTCATGGTAAGTTATACATGTTATACCGCCTAGGTAACTACATGTACCTTTAGGCAAAACTTTGGGTTCGGAGATGGATTTCTTAGTTGATTATCACAGCATTTTTCATTTTTGAGAGTTGAACTTACTATGTATCTTTCACTGGAAACTAACATGAACATATTCTTAGCAATCTCCAAAGATCTAATCATTGAATATAAAATAAGTCACCATTTAAATTATTTAAAATTTTTTTGTTTAGACTGATACTGAATATTTTTACAGAAGTGTTGATACATGTATATTGCTAACCAGCCACCTTTTTAGTGCCTGGCATTTGATGGTTGGTTTTTTTGGTGTTAGTAACAAATTGCTACACTATTGAACAATCTGCAATAACTTACCATGAGGTAACATTTTGTCATACTCATATATTGATCTCTTTATTCCTCTTTGTTTCAGTCTAGCAAGGTTGGCTTGGAGAAGTTTCTCAGTGCATTAGACCTTGCAGTGAAAAAACAGTTCAGTGACAGAAATGATCTCGAAAAAGATTGATACTTGGCCTATAAATGTGATCTGTGGAATAGATAGGATATATTCAATTATCACTTAATAGTAATACATGTAATATGATGAAACTATGAATGGCCTGATTCATTAACTGTAATCCATATTGCATTATTGTCCATTTTATTTGTAAAATTTTCACTTTTTTACAATGGTCTGACAACAATTATAGTTGATATGAGACAATGAGACATACATGCAAATCAGGGACGACTCTACTAAATTATTAAGATTATGTAAACCGACCATTGTCAAGGAATCATATTTTGAATATTGAAATTGTTGCAATATTTCACATTGAATTTGGCTTTTACAAACACTGCACAATATCAAGTAAACCTTGCCTGTCATTTACAAGGGGCAGTTGTTGTGCCCTTGCTTCATTAGAAAGGATTCTGAAAATTATTCTCAAAAATCAGAATATTGTCAATTTCTCATTTCAATGATTCAAACGATGTTACAAGTGAATTTCTGAAATACACTAATCAATACTTATATTCAATTACAGTAAATGTCGAAGTTCAAATCATAGAGTAAATTCTTTTTATGTGAAAGTTAAATCTCGTAAAAAGTGATTGAATGGCCCAGACTACATTTCAATTCTGTCCTAATAATAATTTATACTATTGGCATTTGAACTCAGGAATATGTAAACCAGGTTTAGTTGTATGTATTTGTTTAATTAATAGAATCTATTACCATCTATTGTGCACTCTTATCTAAACCATTCAAGCAGTTTTATAATTATGTCCTATAGAATCTGGTCTAATGGCCATTTCAAACATTGCCAAATGAAATGAAATTTTATTAATATTTTTTGTGTAATGAAATTCAAATAAGTATAATTTTTCATATTTTTATATGTATATGTATACTGTATTGACTTGTCTTATTGTATGTAACACTGCTGTTAAATTTGGAGTTACCTTGTGTAATATACTAGTACACTGTAATAAGTTCTTCTTTGTTATGGATTACAAGTATGAAATACAAAATGAATAATGATCTATCTATTTTTTGTCAGTTACCAATTTTGTAATGTTTTGATATATGTATTATATGGGGAGATGAACATAATCCAAGTCCACTAGACTAGTAATTAAGGTAGGAATTAACATGCCAAAATGTCACCACCTAGTTGGTCACAAACAATATTGTGAGTTCAAATCTAAAGTCAGATTTGAACTTCTGAGAAATTAAAGATGATTTTCAGAAAATAATTAATTTGGTCAATTTGAAGCTGGGGATTCACACTGTACAAAGGGTTCAGGTAGGTTATCGCAAACAATTTCATGTGGTTATATTTGGATTATGACTATTTTCTGACCATGAAGACGGCTATATCTTCTAGATCCATTTCGATTATCTCAAGGCAAAGTATATACAATAGTAATAAAGTCATTAGGACTCTGAGATGTTTAGCCAGCAATCAATCCATCAACACACTTGTTCAAAGATGTTGACCTCATTTTCACCAAAAATGCAATCATTTTTAGTGTTTAATGCATTACTATTCTCAATTTTGTAGTAGCAAATAGTTCTTGAAAAAAAACTGAATTCCTCTCAGATTAGTGTTCCCCATGTTATTTCTCAATTGAAAAGACCCGTGCTATCCATTGGTTTCAGGTCATTTTGGTAATCCAAATTCAGTATCTTAAAGTCCCTGGAGGAATCCACTTTTCCTTTTAGGTAAAATACCATATCTCAAAGCACATTCTAATTATGCATTCAACAATATAAGAAAAGGTTGTATTTTGGTGAAAACTAGGATCAACATTTTTGATAAAGTATGTTGATTGGTCTGTTGCCCCTTTAATATCACTTAGTATGATTAATTTAATTATCATCTATATACTTTTTGGAAGATAATGAATGGGTCTAAAAGACCCATTCATTGTTATAAAGTTATTATGAACTTTGTTTTTAATTAGGTTTGAAGAGACCCTCATATTTAACAATGAAAAATAAATATTTCATGTTAAAAATCTTTGAAAGTTTATTTCATTGAACAATTTAAATTCAAACATTTGAATACAATCTGCATGTCAGCAACATCTTGTTACTTCCAATCAGCTAATGCCAATTTTTTTTTATACCAATGAAGTGGTACATGAATCCAATTGGAAATATTTGAAAAACCATGAAATAATGTGAATTTTGGCAGTTGATTCCACATTATGAATGGTATTCTGGCCTGTCATCACTACTGACATCTATTTATCCATATATAGCAAGTCCTTTATTGGTTGTACCAGATTTTTAAAATATCCATTTGTTTTATTCATTCATTTATTTATGACATAAGTGAAGAATATACAAGTACATGTATGGTACTGCTGCCTAGTGCCAGTGGCATTATAGGCTAGCATTATTGGAAAATTTACATCATTGAATACTTTAAATCTTTTGATAGACTTTGTACAAAATAATAGCATGTGTCACATTATCTCCCAAAGGAGAAAAATAGAAGAACTTCAAATTAGGATTCTAAAATAAAGTTAATTGTCCTTTAAAAACAATCTTCGTCTAACGTCAGTTTGTTTTCAAAAATTATGGCCTCAATCCTGTCCTTCTGATTGCGGGGAAGATGGTTGCTAAGGTTGTGCTGCTTAAGGGACTCTGTAAACCTTTGGCGGCTGGTTGAGTGGCGCTGGCAGTGTAAAATGAAATGCTTTGGCGTTTCACTCTCACCACAAATACAATATCCATTTGTCTTGCATAAATTAGAAAAACGGCAACTTCACTGTGTAGCAAATCCCGAACAAATCATTTTTTGATAATTAGTGGCCGCTGAAAATTTCGTCTTTAGAAAACATACCAGCATATAAAATTTGAACCAAATCTATCACTGGTATTTGATTTACCAAAGATTTTCTTAAAAAAATGGCGGCCATTTTAAAACTTAGATGTCATTTTGAAAATTTCCTCTCGAGTAGAGTTCCGTTGTCCCTAGGAATCAGCATATTGAATTTGAACCAAATCCATCCACTGATATTTGAGTTATCAAAGGTTACAGCCATTTTGAAATTTAACCGCTATCTTGAAAATTCCTGCTTGTTTGTCCATTAGCATCAACATATGAAATTTGAACCATATCCGTCCAATGCGGTACTAGTATTTGAGGTATCAAAGATTACGTTCTTTTATGAAAAATGGCGGCCATTTTGAAATTCAGTGGCCATATGGAAACGTTTTCTTTAGCAGAGCTCTTTTGTCATGTATGTCCCTCAGCATCAACATAAAATTTGAACCAAATCCGTCAACTGGTATTTGAGTTATCAAAGATTACGTTCTTTTTTGAAAAATGACGGCTATTTTGAAATTCAGTCGCCATCTTGAAAATTCTTTCGCGAACAGAGCTACTGTGTCTCTAGGTATCAACATATAAAATTTAAACCAAATCTGTTCACTGGTATTTGAGTTATTAAAGATTACGTTTTTTACGAAAAATGACGCCCTTTTGAAATTCAGTCACCATCTTGAAAATTGTTTTTCAAACATAGCCACTGTGTCTCTTGTCATCAGCATGTATAATTTGAACCAGATCCGTTCACTGGTATTTGAGTTATCAAAGATTACATCTTTTTACGAAAAATGGCGGCCAATTTGAAATTTAGTCGCCATCTTAAAATTCTTACTCGAAGCGAGCAACTGTGTTCTTAGGCATCATCATATAACATTTGAACCAAATACGTTCAACGGTACTTGAGTTATCGACGATTACGTTTTTACGAAAAATGGCGGCCATTTTCAAATTCAGCAGTCTGTAATCTGAAATGAAAATCTCTTCTTGGGCCAAGCTTCTTGATCCCTAGGTATCAGCATATAAAATTTGAACCAACATCTGTCAACTAGTACACCCTATGCAGACAGAGCCTGTGGGAAATATTGGGTGCGGAGCAAATGAGCGGAGGGTGCGGAGCTAACGGTCATTTTTGAATTTAAATTTGGGATATTTCTGAAACTAAGCCGTTTTGGGACTTCAAATATACCAAGATATGTGTATTTGACACCAAATATCAATACAATTGTGAAAATAGTAGCGCAATTCATTCTATAGCGACGCAGTGTGCCTTAAACCTTTCCCAGACCTATATATTTTGAAATTATCCCTTAAATACTGAGTCCGCAGCATTCATAAAAAATGGTGTTCAGGGTACACTTTCTATACAAATTATTTTTGCATCTTGGAAGCCAGACAGTATCTGTTTGATTTTATAAGAATTCGGAAATGTTTTTCAGATATGAGCCCCCTCTAAATATTGGGTGCGGAGGAGCTCCATAAACGTACCTCCGCACCCAATATTTAGAGGGGGCTCATATCTGAAGAACATTTCCGAATTTTTATAAAATCACACAGATACTGCCTGGCTTCCAAGATGCAAAAATAATTTGCATGGGTAGTGTATCTTGAACACCATTTTTTATGAATGCTGGGGACGCAGTATTAAAAGGATAGTCTCAAAATATATAGGTCTGGGAAATGTTTAAGGCATACTGCGTCGCTATAAAATGAATTGCACTACTATTTTCACAATTTTATTGATATTTGGTGTCAAAGACACATATCTTGGTATATTTGAAGTCCCAAAACGGCTTAGTTTCAGAAATATCCCAATTTTAAATTCAAAAATGACCGTTAGCTCCGCACCCTCCGCTCATTTGCGCCGCACCCAATATTTCCCACAGGCTCTGTCTGCATAGGGTGTAGTATTTGACTTCTATTTTTAACTGAATTTGTATTTTGCTGAATCTTGTAATTTGGACATATTGGTGTCCAAAATAGCTTCACCCATCACCATCCTCATCTCAAAATGATAAAAGTTTTGTTTTTCTGATTTTACTTTGCTTTGCTTGTCTTTATGAGCTGTCTTTTTCTCCTTTGAGCTGACATTGAGATCATTGTCTTCATCTGTGCTTCGCTTGATTAGTTATTGAAACATGATTTTTCCTCCTTCTGGTGCTGGATCTGAAAGTCATGATAAATGTTATTATCAATCATTGTGAAAAACAAATGTTTAAGGTGGCCCATCACTTCGTTTATTTTTTTCGTGGAGGCACTCAGTAAAATTACAATTTTCTGCACCATGATGCCCGATCAAGATCATTCGAGTACCTACATGTATGTGTTCCTGACACTTTTGGGCATCCTGGAATGACAACGTCTACCCAAAGTTTGCACACTATGTTGATCTAAGTTATGACTGAAATCGTTAAGACAAAATTTGAGGTACACAAACAAATATTGTTTATGAAAACTATTTACAAAAAAATGTTCCAGAGACTCTAATCTACTTAATAACCAAGGTTTTATTTGAAGATGCATTGCCTTTTTAAGTAGGTAAAGGTGTATACAGAACACGGAAGTAATTGCCATATTGAAAAGGTTCTTTAAGCTACTAAACAGTTTAATTAATGACCCGAGGGCGTCCCAAGGGTATGGATAACTAATGAGCACAATGTAACAAGCCAGATAAAGAAATTGAAAGAAAGTGTGCCACATCCAATGTCCGTGTGGGATTCGAACCTATAGGACCAGCATGGATCCAAAGACTGCTGCTATACCAACATAATTGGTATTTTGGTTTTCAAAGATTCCGTTCTTTTACAATGAGGATTGGCTCCCAGGATCGAAACTCGATATTTTCCAACAATGAAAACGTATGTTCGCTCGCTGACTTTTCTTAAGACATTCAAAACGACTGACATGACTGAGACAATATGTTCAAATCCTAATCAGACTTAGATTGAAAAAGATGTTAAAGTTTGAAAATTAATTGTGAAACCGTTTTTCTTAAAGTTTGCAGACACGGATTTTAGCATTTCACTATAAAATGGCCGATCGCAACAGAATAAAGGTATCGAGTTGAAAGTTTTTCTACCGCATCTGTATGTACTGATTGATCATCAGTTATCCCTGAAAATTTGAAGTTGATGTTTGTAGCGGTTATGGAGAAAACTGCTGGACGTTCGGACGAACAGACAGACGAACGGACAGACACACAGATTCGCCTAGGCCGACAATATGGCCCACACTACGTAGTGGGGACAAAATATTAATATTAAGTATTATATAATAATCACCCTCGATTTATACATCCTGTTCAGTCTTATACCAGCTATTGAATGCAGCACGTGAGATCTTTATGCTCTGTGGGTCCGATTTTTTACAATATACACGAATATGTTCCTCTGCAAACTTTTCTGGCAACATCTGGGACACCTAGAATATTAAAGATTGTCCTTCACTTAGTATACATGTATAATAAAATTAAAGAATAAATTTGATATCAATAAGGAATAACCAGAGGATCGTCACGATATACTCCAGAAAACCAATAATATTATGCGGATGATAATCTATCTGTAAACTCCGCTTGTTGATTCCCCGTCAAATTGAACTATCTGAAAATTTATTTCAATGATATTATACATTTTATTAACAGTAACATTTAGTGGGCTAATTGAAGGATAATAAGAAAACCCTATGATTTTTCAGAATATCATTTTAATCTACTCGGTGATACATACTAGTAGATCTCTCATGCAGATACCAATATCACCTCGTAGATTAAAATTGATATTCCTCAAAATGAGAGGATATCCTATATTGAGAACATGGTAGAACTAATTGCAAACGGGTTTAAACTGACTTAGAACATATTTAAGACTGCTTATGAACGAGTTAGCAAAAAATATAGCTATCACACCAAACAAGTTGCTACTGCGCGTTCTTCAAAACTGATTTTAAACTGTGTGCGAACGGAATGAACGTAGCTGCAACTTTCTAAGGTGAGATGGACGTATTGAAGACTGTTTATGAATGAAGTAGCTAATTATTTTAGACATATTTCCCGACCACAGCCAGATTGAGCCCGTTTTCGACGTTTTCGTAGGACTGGCAAGAACGGGTAAGAACTAGTTTGGTGTGATAGGGGGTTAGATTATAAATCTCCTTGGGTTTGGCACCTTGAATTTTCTTACATATACAGGGTGTTCAATGTGCTTATATTCAATGCTTTGATGACTGGGATTAAGAAAAACATATTTTCCTGAACACTATTCAAGCTTTTAAACCCTGGACTCAGTGTATAGTTGCCTGAATCATTCATCCAGGGCATTGTTTCAACCTTTACACAAGACTCGCACAATCGAGTGTGAAGTTTAGGAAACAACGTCCGAGTAGAATGAACCAGCCACCGTGCACTAATTTTGGAATCTCAATGATCAAGGTATCTTCATGAATTTTTATACGAGTGTATACACATTTTCAGTGTGGGTATACTCTGACACAAAATCATTCAAAATTGTAAATTAGAAAACCTGTCTTAAAATTTACGCAATATAAAGGGAGTCAGTTCATCAAATTTGACAAAATTGTTTAAGAAACGTGGGTAGATATTATGATATGTGTAAAGTAGTGAAAGCAATCCGGAAATGACTGAAATAATGTAAAAGACAGAAATCCCGATTTCAGAAAATTGTATTTTTGAACATTTTTTGATGATTTCAATGAGAGCATGCCTGGACGGAAAACGTGATATCTCCAAACTTGTTAATGTTATCTAAGTACAGCAATCTTTTTTCCATTGAACACTCTATCTATAATGTACAAAAATCACCTGTTTTCTTAACTATTGAGAAAGTTATTCCAAAATTAGTGGGTGGTGTTTTTTGTGTCACCCACTATATTTATTTTTCCTTTAACTACCTTTTCTTTAGGCAAATTTACTGCTGTGTTAGGATCATCTTTCGTGTAGAATCTGACACTGTCCACAGGGTTATTCACATCCATGCCATAGTCATACTTAATGACCTGAAAAAAGTACATTTTGTACATAAAGACATTCACCATTGAGTAACATACTTTAGAAAGGTTTATGGTACAGCACAATGGAATCAATACATGACTGAAGGGATGACAAGTGATCAAGTTTATAATTAGAGACGAGTTGGTACGATGCAATAATTTATCCAGATAAAGATCTTTTAGGAAAAATCTTGGATTATTGATTATTGATCCAGATAAATGTTTGGTGAATGACATACTTCAATTTGAATATATGGCATTTAGAGCCATTAGTACGATCCTGTTTTCTGGGGGGATACCATGACGAAATTTATCTGGATCAATCTTAGAATCTTAGGATCTTAGCCTTCCTTTCTTTATACAGGGGTATCCATCAGCAGCAGGCAATTATTTAGCCTTGCCCATTTTGGTATTATATTTTATCAATCTTAATTTTATGTTATAAAATGGAATTTAAAAAAAAATAAAAAGACCCCGACATACGCAAGGCTAGCATTTATTTTTCTTATTGTTTCCATTACAAAAGTCACCATACCATAATTTTGTTAAATCATTCGTTGTTTTGCATGAAATTCTAATGAAACCCCGTCTTTTCTTATCATTTTCAGTGAAATTTCAAACTTACATGCACCACTAGGTCTGAGGCAGTGATGTATTCTCTATCTTTAGGAGGAACGTGGGCAGCCACCTCTTTTCTGATGACATCCTGCGAAAAAAGAGGAACAGGAATAAAAATGAGAAACAGGATTGAACAGTGTTTTACTAATAGAGGTGTCCCACTTCACAGGATTTTCTGCATAACCAATATCACTGGTGATCCACTCGATTTTCGAAAAACAGTTAAGATCTCAGCACTTTTAACCCAAACCGTTTATGTAACATAAGTGAGGAATTAAATAGACGATTTTGTTGTCTTCTGAGCTATTTCTTCGCAAACATGTACATTTTCTAAAACATATGATACTGATACACGATTGTGAGAAAAACATTGTGGGGATTCTCCTACAACGCGTGAAAAAAGGAAAAAAGAAAAACCGTACCTTCGACGTTTAAACATTTTGTTACCGAAACGACCGACCACTTTTCCCAAAGACAATCTTATTTTATTTATATTCCAACATTTTGTTTCTTGGGTTGCTGCTTTTGGTTCGGGTTTGAGGAAAATGTTGAAGTATACGTTTCTGAGAAAAACGTCGTGGGGATTCTGCCTACAATGCGTGAAATAAGAAAAAAAGAAAAATCGTACCTTCGACGTTCCGACATTTTGTTACCAAAACGAACCGTTTCGGTAACCAGCGTAATCGAGCGGATCACCAGTGAATGTATTGTACATCGGCCAAGCCTGTGACATCAGAAAAAGGTGTATTCAATGAGAAGTATTCACCGATTGGCACTTTCGCCCTGTGTAACTCTAACATCAATCGCATAATAATATGTAAAAGGTAGGACAAAAATAAATCATTCTTGTTCTAACAAGAAATATGTTCGGGAGTGAGGAAATGGTGGTGCGCGACATACGATTTCAAGTTCGCGACGTGAGAATCGTGGTTCGAGCGCATAGCACGTAGTTCGCGAGGTCGGAACTAATGTTCGCGTTGTTGGAAGTCTAGGAGGCCTGAATTAATGGAATGCTACCTTACCTCATCCTGTTTGTGTGCCTTTGTAGGTGTTCTTGGCCGGGTCTGCCCAATACATCTATAAACACATGGCACAATATTATTAAATTCATTTCTTTGTATATCTATTTCCAATCGCCCAATATCCTGAGTTCTACTGGGTTGAGTTGACTTGGCGTTGAGTTGACTTGTTACCAGTAAATCAATTCTAACTAGAAATCGGCAACTCCACGGAGTAGCAAACCCTAACGAACACTATTTAACGTATACATAGATATATTGAGCGAGACTCGGGATAATTTATGCAATGTCATTCAAAATTGAAACTTTTGATTGGGTTCGAAGCCGAGATGCCCGGATATGACCGAGCAAAAGCCGGAATTCACGTGATTTTTCACGAAGAAGGGGCGGAGTTTAAGCGAGATTCATCGAGACTTCTTCGTGTCAATCGTGTCAATCCCTGCATTGCTTATTGTAAACTCCACCTTTTTGCCCATATATAGAGATGCTACTTGCGAGTGTGAACTGTTCAATCTAGAAATTTCTTAAGCGATGTCTTTCTACGATTTTTCTTCTCGATATCTCGATAATTAGTGGACATATTTGAACCATTCTTTCTTCAAAATGAAGGTATAGCTAGAATACATATTACCAATCTGTTGGTTAATATATTTATTCATTGATATTGGCAGAAATTCGATCGTAAATAAACATGCTAAAATTGAAAAAATTGGAACATTTGACAGAAATCTCCGAGTAATGTATGAATTGCATCAGGAGAAAGCAGGAGAAAAGCTGAGACAGTCTGCTTCGTGGAGTTTGCAAAGGAAGCCCGGATGTAAATGACGTCATCTCAGAAGTTTACATGGTTTCGAAAAGTTTTAGTACTGGGTTTATCTTTGAACGATTCCTCGATTATCTAAGATATATTTACATTTAACCTACAAAGGACAAGTTTGACAATAGATAACATCGATACCGATTCCCGAGACCTACCGGTGAGTGAAAAGTATCAGTAAATCGGTCGAAAAATTGTTTTGAATAAATTGTATAATTTTTCGAAACTTCCACCAACCGCTCTCGAAAATTATTTTCACAAATTTAAGTTTATAAGTTTATAAGTTAAGTACGGTAAGTATAGGCATAAATTGCCTGTTTAACCGATCAATTCTTTTGAATTTGTTCATATTAAGTTAGTAACGGTGTATAAAGTGGTAGTCAACTGTATGATCATATTTCATTGGTTGATTGTTCATCAAAATTGAAAAACATTCAATTTGAGACCCTATCTGTTGCAAGACTAACGCCTGGCGTAACCGTCACCATGTTATTCAGTGTTTTTAAGTAGCACAAGGATCCTGCCATGACCGTGGTAATGTTATCGTGAAAGCCTTTTATAACCGCGACAATGCTGTATTATATTGCAATGCCTGCCATGACCGTGACAATGTAATATAGTTCTGTGTGAAATAATAATAGAATAATAAATAAATAGTTGTTGTTTGTAGTCAATGTTCTCATCTTTATTGCACTTCAATATTCACATCTCAGCTCATCTTAAAAGTCTAAAACTCACTTCATAAAAATGTTCTCTAAAATACAACACTCTGCTCTACTGCATGCATACATGTCTTTCACTCCACTAATACTTTCATACTAAACTCAACTCAGTCAACCCATTCATGCACTACTGAATAATCCATTCACTCACTCAGTCTAAAAACAATCTAATTATGAAAGTAAGTCCTAACATCGCACACTATATACATCATAATACCTTACATCCTCCCCCTTCAGGAGATTATTTTTGTTCAATAAATATTGAACCATCTCTAGAAAATTGAAACAAAAATAATAAATTCTTATAAATCAAAATGTCTCTGAAAGTCATAATCTCAATGTCTCTCAAAATATCTCAAATAAATGCTCAAAACAATGGCTCAAGTTTTGTTTGGTAGGTAGTTACAGCGACTGTTCCTTGACGGTTGAAGTTGTTTCTCAATACAGGTTTGAATTCAAGTGCCGCAAAATGTCTCTATTGATGTACTCCAAGACATCAGTATTGTATATTCTCAGCTCAACTCAATAAATTGATGTCCTCCAAAACATCTGTAAAATGTAAATTCTCAGCTCAACTCAATATATCCGTAGGATGATCTCTCTTAGGTCATCGTAGGATGCTCAATAGGACCATGTGTCCCCCTGGACTGGTCCTTATATCCAAAACATTAACCAACTCGTTATGGTTATGATTGGACAATCTCGGTTCAACTCATTGTCCACATTTTGAATCTCATTCCTATTATGGACGGTTCTCATTTTGATGCGCTCCTCTTCCATCATATAATAAATGTTCGAGATCATTTTATGCAACCCGTCTCTTTGGCCGTATACTTGATTCAATAGTCTTGGATCTAGTCCGCTGTGACTAGTTCTTTTTGATACCAACTCAACTCGATATCTCCATCTCAATTCGATATCTGTCTTTAATCTCAGAATTTTACATATGTCTCAATCGACGACGTGAACTTCGTAGTTTCGCTGCCACCATGTGAAATAATAATAGAATAATAAATAAGTATACGTAGTTGTTGTTTGTAGTCAATGTTCTCATCTTTATTGCACTTCAATATTCACATCTCAGCTCATCTTAAAAGCCTAAAACTCACTTCATAAAAATGTTCTCTAAAATACAACACTCTGCTCTACTGCATGCATACATGTCTTTCACTCCACTAATACTTTCATACTAAACTCAACTCAGTCAACCCATTCATGCACTACTGAATAATCCATTCAATCACTCAGTCTAAAAACAATCTAATTATGAAAGCAAGTCCTAACATCGCACACTATATACATCATAATACCTTACATTCTGCAAGGCTTGTACATTCATAAGTATACGTCACAATGTAACATTTTACCATCCACTCTATCCTTGATTTAATTGGCAGATCTAAGGAGACATGCATGAGATATAATATCATATGATTTAACCATACTTTGAAGCAAAATCTAGGTAGTAATGAACTCTTGCTCTAGGCAGCCATTTTGAATTTTCTGAGTCACGAATCGGAAAAATAAAACCATATTGTGATAAGCTCTAGAATTCCTTCTGTCAATTTGACTATAATATAGCCATGCTATTTGTCTACTTAAGAGATAATTTATTTTGGTCATATGGTCATTTTGAATATAAGCCTACGAGGTCAGAATCGAAAAAACGATACAATAATTGCCATACACTCTTCATTGATTATCATGGGAGTATAATAAAGACATTCAGAAAGATCTCGAAATTGACGAAAAAATTCCTCAACCATACCAAACCCCTGGGGGTCAGGGTTAAAAACACGGAATATATGTGAATACGGACTGACGGATGGACGGATGGATGGACTTAGGGCTTCTCGATATCCCTACCGAACTTACTATTCGTTGGGATAATACACAGAAATCTATATCAACCAATGATGTGGAAAGTACCACTTTTCCGACAACTGAAAATTTAGCAAAATATAGTTTAAAAGAGCTCTCTCTTTAAAAATACATTGTATTTCAATTTTTCTATTTGTTACAACCTACAATGTTTACCTTCAATATATTTTGTTGTAAACCTTCTTTCTTTAAAATACCATAACTTAAAAAATGCTTGCCTTGTAAATGCATGGCATTTGCAAATTAGATTAAAATGGTGCATATTCTGAATATTTTAAATTTTGGTGAATTTAGGATCTAAATAGGCACTGGGGCCCTTTAATCAAAATAATATCACAACTTTGGTGAATTCCCATTAAACTTTGATAAGTGGAATATCATTGAATGGTTTATATCATCATACCTATACAATTCTCTACGTTCTATCATCTTTAATATTGTTTTGGCAGAGCCTAAGTTTGGGTCACTAGAGATTAAGATGTGATTATAGATGGTGTCATTCAGCTGACAGAAGGCCACCATGTCATATATGGCCTCAGACATCTTACGTTTGACACCGTCTTTTCCCTCTAGCAGAATATGGTCATTAGCTTCCACTAAGGCTTCGGTTATCCTGAAATTCAAAAGGGCAATATTAACAATTCATCATGTATAAATATTTTCAGAGATGTATTTCCACAAATCAACTAAAAAAACATCCCAGCGAACTAAAATATTTTGATAACCAGTGGCCATCTCGAAAATTTCTTCTTGAACTTTGTTTCTAGGTATAAGTTTATCACCATATATATACAATTTAAACCAAATCCACCAACTGGTATTTGAGTTATCAACGATTACATTTTTAACGATGATAAATAGCATCCATCCTGAAAATTTCTTTTTGAGAAAACCTTCTTTATCTCTATCAGCATCAGCATATAAATTTTGAACCAAATTCATCCACTGTTATTTGATGTATCAGGGATAACATTTCTTTTTGAAATTTGAAAAATCTGAACCATATCCGTCCACAGCTGGTACCATTTTGAAATTTTGTAGCCATCTTAAAAATGTCTTGTTGAACAGAGTTTCTTCCAGACGGACAGAAGGATGGACTGTTTCTCTATATCCCCCTCGAATTTCGTTCGGTGAGATAACACTTTTCTGGCTGGTTCCCAATAGATTAAAACTAAGGTTGGACGATTAGATTTAGAGGGAACTTATATGAAATACACAAAAACATACCCCAAAACTCTTATCTCACTATCAAAGCCTTATTTTTCTAACCCCACTATCACACCAAACTAGTTCTCACTACGTTCTGGAAAACGGGCTTCAACTTTATACGAACGGACTGGACGAACTTAGAACCGCTTGGGGTCTATTTACAAACGTCATCGAACGTACTCGAACGGGTAGGTCCTCTAGAACTTAGAACATGCTCAAAATGTTCTCGTGGTCGTCACGTTCTACAATAAGAACGAGTGACAACGTACTAACGACGAGCTGGACGTACTACGAACGGAACCGTCGTACTTCAATCCTACTAGAGACGTTTTTTAAACGAGTTGAACTGTCTGAGGACGTATTGAGAACGAGGTAGAACTAATTGCAAACGGGTTTAAACTTTAAACTGACTAAGAACGTATTAAAGACTGCTTATGAACGAGTTAGCAAAAATATAGCTATCACACCAAACAAGTTGTCCCTGCGTTCGTCAAAACTGGTTTTAAACTGTGTGCGAACGGAATGAACGTAGCTGCAACTTTCTAAGGTCTTTTTACGAACTTCATGAACGTTCTCAGACGGGAAGGTGATTTTAGAATTTTGAATCGATTCAAAATTCGATGGCGACCATACCGTTCTGTAATAAGGTCATGATGACCTTCTAGACTAAGGGACGCGTTACACGACGTTGCACACCGACCTGGTGCGGCCTGAACGAACTGCGAATGAGATGGACGTATTGAAGACTGTTTATGAACGAAGTAGCTAATTATTTTAGACATATTTCCCGACCACAGCCAGATTGAGCCCGTTTTACGACGTTTTCGAAGGACTGGCAAGAACGGGTAAGAACTACTTTGGTGTGATAGGGGGGGGGGGGGGGGTAAACAAAGATATCAGCGAACGCTTTATTTTGGATTTAGAAAATATTGTTCGGAAAAGTTTAGGTTATCTTATGGAGAGTATTACGCCCTTGTATTACAATGCACGCTAAGCCAAGCATGATTCACCAAAAATGGCAATAGTGTGATGAAGGATATTACAAGCTAAATAATTACAATTCAGCACATTTGAAACGCTATCCGGTCATCTCAATCCCAAGTCAACTCAACCCCGGTAAAACGCAACCCAAAGTCAACTCAACTTCTGTAAAACTCAGCCCGAGTAGAACTCAACCTCTACATCCGGGCCCTACATGTATATATTTTAGCACTGGCAAATTTTTATCCAATATTGTCGGAACTCCGCCAGCTCAAGAAACTATAACTTCACAATCTGGTTTGGCGGGTACATTTACCTGAGATACGGTATAACGCAAATTCACATTCCTCGTGTTGTACCATCACCATTACCGCGCGTTGTACTGTATACTGAATTGGGAGTTTGTGTAGGTTTAATCATGAAAGTCACTGTCAAGTTCACTGTCTAGGATGTTGTTACAGACATTTACATATAAATGTATCTACAAACTAGACCAGATCTTTCTGAAAATATGAAAACACCATTCTGATTTATCAGAGTCCCTCTTTACCTAATGCTTTTGAGAGAACTATTCCAAAAGGATAGTAAAGGCTGTGGATCCCACAATGTGAAAACACCAGTTTGCTCAAATTCCATCACCCTTGTGTTGTACCTTACCCCGCGCGTTCAACTGTCACGCTGTAAAGTTGATGCATAGGTGACTGGACATCTTGGATTTCCAACGTATGATGTGTTCATGATTGAAAATCAAACTGGGAAAGGAGTATGTGACTAGATGCGAGCACATCAAGAGGAGAGTTTTAGAAGAAATGAGAGTCGCAAGTGAAGCGAGCGGTGCGAATTTTCAAGATTTTAATACTGAGAGTGAAGCAAGCGGCAAATATTAGCACAAGCGAAAGCCCTGCATGAACACATGTGACCAGCAGACCCAGCAAGACATGGGAAGCCTGTCCACTTACATGTATTCTACTATGTTCTTCACTTTGTGTTCGTAAGCTCTTTGATGTAACACAATTCGTGTGTGATACATATCGTACAGACAATTCGCTTCCTAATAAAATACCATGTTTAAAGTTTGTTTCCAAGATTACTGATTGAGTAAATGACAATTTGACAGTTTTCAAACGGGCAAGTTATGCGAGTAAAGCCTATTATAACTTTCAAACAGTTATAATAACAACGTGTCAAAAAGACAACTCCCAAGAAAAACAGAACTAACAAAGTACCCACCTTATCTCTGCAGCAAATCTGGAATACCCCATCAACTTCCAAAACGCGGGCAAACTTGATGAACCGTGTATGGTCAAAGTTGTTATTAAGCCCTAAATGGTAGCAATCTCTGGCAAAATAATCCCACTTGTCGACATCAATGCCATTCCGTTTATTTGCTACAATTTCATATAGGAAGCTTTTGGATTTTGGACGACCACAAAAGTTCCAATTCGTGTCCTGTATAGATTCTGGAGAAGGTCCTGGAATAAATTCTGTATGAATTCAAAATAAACTCTTCTGACATTTAACGAAAACATAGAAATATTTCTGATATACAAGGCTTCGATATTGTATTGAATGGACACATAAGGGTTTAGACTTGTTCAAGTAATGCAACATTCAAAGGTTCGCATGAGAACCTCTCGCAGGGAAGGCCTGGAATTTGACGCGCAAATATTGTCCAAGGGAGTATTTGACATCGTACTTCATCCCGCACTTTTGTGATGTATATTCCCAGTTATTAAGAAGTTAAAGCTAGCTTTATATCGATAAATCGAAACGCCCACCTATACGTTACTAATAGCCCATACAAATGCATCGCTTAAATATTTTCCGTTCACGTTTAGGTTGTGAAAAACATTGCAAGCTTAAACGCCTTATTATGACCATGATCTGAACGGCTATAATTGCCCCAAAAATTGACTCACTAGGTTCCTCCTAGGGTAGGAAATTTGACATCCTAATTTTTATTTTGTCTAACCACCACCCTATAATATCCTTTTGATATCAACACTAACCAGCAATCAGTTCTTTGATGAAGATGCGATCGCTTTCTATTAAACCATGTTGTTCAAATAATGGGATAAGATTGTTGTCTTCTACGAGGTAGTCAAACATGGCAACTGAAGCATCCTCATGCTGGAACAGAAAGTTTACAAATTGCTGATCTCCCATAGCATCAAGGTATCCAGCACTAGTACTAGTATTTGTGGAGATAAATCATGATTTTTCATTTTCATATTTAAATAAACATTTGTCGATACCTGTAACAGTAACAGTAAATTCAGCAATCAGCCAATGAAAAGAATGATAACCAATGAGACAGTCGGATCCCCTTATGACTTAAAATCCCTTTAATAACACTTTTTTCCGCTATATTTTGCAAAAACACTATACAAAACAAGTTTATAATGTGAAAATGAACTTGCACGGAACATACAAAAACAAGGGCGCAAACATGTACAATGGGTGATCCTATACAGATTTTCCATCCTGAATGTCAATGGCACAGCACATTTACACAAAGGGTCATATAATGGTTGAACTTAATGTGCTTCCATCTTCAAATATTGCAAATTGTATTTCGCTAGCTAACTTTTTATGAAAACCCATGTTATTAAGATGTCAATATGCTTAGAAAGCCAGTTCCATTTCCAGGTATAAGCACCCTTATGCGGGAGATGTGCTATCTTGAAATATATTTTTGTTGATGTGATAACGTTTTCACAACTTATAGACCATAGGTTGATCTTCATACAGGGTGTCATATTTAGTCATATTTTGGTCCCTTGATCTTTCTTATACCCGATTCTTAAAATCCTGCCAAATACGCCAAATTGCCATGTTTCTACTTTCTAGGCATATGGTCACCTCAATTGATACAATGTAAACATTTGTGAGATTGATTGACATGTGTCAGATATATGCAAATCAACATAACTTTGGAAGATCTTTCCAATGATATATCACAATTAGTACCAAATTTCTTGGTTTTGGCTGTAGAGGGGGAGGGGGGGCGGAACTTATTTGACACCCTGTATATACCAAATTTCAATCAAATTGGGTGAGAGTAAGCATGGCATGCTTATAAAATTTTGTCACAGCTAGTTCTGGGCGCGATAACACAGCGCCAAGTCTCTAGAGAAATGTACTTTGCTATGAGGCTTTTAAAGGTTGACGCATATCGTTTAGCAAATCGAACGCTCGTTTCTGGTGTTGCTCACCGTTTAGTATAAAAGGCCCGATCCCGGAATAATACTCAAGGGTTCACAGGTTCGAGGCCGTTTGTCAACACCTCTAACTGTTATATAGCATAAGTATATTATAGATCGTCACACATTTATAAAAGGGTGATTTTTATTTTGACAAATCGATTCCACATTTGGGTGAAGTTTCAGGATCTTCTATTTGTGTATAATAAGGAAAAATTGGCATCTAAATTTCCCCATAACGTAATAGCACACAGCTTGGCATATGAAATATCCTACAAATGAAACAAAGCAAGACAAACCGGTTTCTAATACAAGGATTTACACAGGCTGGTATCGAAAGATTTGTCCGCTGTGACGGAGCATGCTATTTTTCATAAAAACACTAAGAATGCTTCACGATTTATTTTTTAACTCATATGTTTCGTTATATCAAAGATAATTACTTACTCCATGCAATGGATATATCATTTGCGTGTAACCTTCACTTCTGTTTGAAGTCCAATAACGCTAGGAGTAAAATCTATTGAAAACGGCGCCAGAGTATCAAACTCTAAAATGTACCATTTCTTTTTAAACTTTTTAATGGCATGATATAGTGACACGATAATATTAACATATGTTTTAAGCATAACTCTGAATGTATTAATGAGATATTAATGCATTGGGTCTTTTTAATTTTTTAATAAAAAATAATATTAATATTTTTTGTCCGCTGTGACGGAGCATTTTCACAGTTCACATTTGCAACTGCTCCGTCACAGCGGACAAAAAAATTAAACATTATTTTTTATAAAAGAATTAAAAAGACCAAATACATCAACATCTCGTTATATACCTTCATAGTTATGCTGAAACCATGTGTAAATATTATCGTGTCACTATATCGTGCCATTAGAAAGTTTAACAAGAAATGGTACATTTTGAAGTATGATACTCCGGCGCCATTTTCAATAGCTTTTCTTCCCAGCGTAATTGGACTTCAAACAGAAGTGAAAGTTACCCGCAAATGATATATCCATTGCATGGAGTAAGTAATTTTGTATGGTATAACGAAACATATGAGTTAAAAAATAAATCGTGAAGTATTCTTAGTGTTTTTATGAAAAATAGCATGCTCCGTCACAGCGGACAAATATTTCGATACCAGCCTGTGTTTATATTGGCTGTTGTACATGTATTCTTTGAACGCAATCACTCTTTGGATAACGTTTTCAAAATCATTATAAACGGATTACTTTATCTCAAAGACAATTTCAATAAACTGGATTTTACAGAACTCCCCTTATTTCTTAAAAATGGACTGATCCAGTTGATTCGCCTGGAGCCGCCATATTGTTTTTATACGGGATACTAATCGGAACCCTTTAACACTCCATCCACAGGTCACAGGTTAACAATTGTTCTCTATACAATATATGGACATTCGGAAATAAACGTATACTTTGTCTTATAAGTCTACATCGACTGGTGATGTTAAAAATTTAAGATGAGATTGTTACATACCCTCCATTTACTATTCTTGTCTATTTTGGGAATAAACTTCTCATCAAACATGTGGGAGAATGGACCATGTCCTGAAATGAAGTACTCATCATATGCAAATAAAACCTGTTTTAGTGGAACACCTTAGGTACCTCTAAAAATTCCACTTGGAATTTGTGTTTCCTTACATTAGACAATGTGATTAAAAATCAATGAGTCATGAGAGTCTTGGGTGTTGAGCTTAGATGTGTTCAAATACCACAAGTTTCGGATTATTTTGTTTTTCTTTTAATAAAAAGAAGAATTTTAAAATTTTATAAAAAGAAGAATTATAAAATCATTAAGTAGCAGAAGTTTAAATTATAGGGGTAGGTCAGGCGTTAAGCTTTAATTCGCTCTCGGCGCTTAAATAATCAATTCGTAACAGAGCGCCCAAAATTTTCAAACAGTTTAAAATTTTTTGGCGCTCTTGCCGAATATCCCGCTTTACGCCGAGCTTTTCTACGACCTATTACGAGCCCGACGCTTTAATCAAGCTTTGTTACGCTTCGGTGCCGCTTTACAAGCCGCTTTACAGCGCCATCAAAGTGCCGATGGTGTAAACGTAGCTTAAGAGAACGATTGGTGGCGTTCACATATTCGACTGGTGCGTGAGCCTTTTCATAAAATTGTAAGATTTTAATGTTTCTTATTTTTTTTGAAACAGAGAGAAGTATGTATTCGGTATTCTTGTACGCGCAGGGCTCCAAAATCCAGATAATCTTCTTTCCTTTTACCCCCTCTGATAAGCAATTAGCATTTCCCCCGATTAAGAACTCGAATCTGATTCGCTGCCGCATCACTGAGACAGCCAATCAAATTATCTTTTACATACTTCCTGTACCTTCATGCCAAGGCGCGCCTTTACGTTACCGCAATCAATTCGAACTAAATTCTTTCAAACTGTCTCAAAAATATTCAAATTATCCATGATCGAGGACACATGGGTAATTAAGAATGATAAGTTTTTTTCATAAGGTATATCGATGCTGGTTTGGATCTCCTTAATTTAGGGATAACAGTAAATTATCAGCATAAATTACATCTATGCGCGTGAAATCCGTGCGCCACTGTCAAAATAGTTGACATTACTAGTAAATTCAACGAGAAATTGTTTCAAGGAAAAGCAAATGTGATTGGTCAAAAATGATATAATTGATAACACACTTATACGTCATCGGCGCATAATTAGATCACGTGGTTCAGTTTTAATCCAAATCGGTTATACATGTAGCAGTGGGAAGAATGAGGTACGGATTTTGGACACCTGCTCAGGAGAATGGTATTCGGCGGTTCGTAGTGAATTAATCCATGAAGCATGAAAATCAACAGAACACGATTGATTAACAAGATTTTTGATTCAGTATTATTCCTTTATCTCTCTATGATCTCCCCTGGCCCTTTTTACAAGGTGAAGCTTTGCAACCAATTATTAAATAAAATTGAACCAAAAGCAATTGATCTTGTCCCCTCTATGATATGTTGTAATGCCATGAGCATAAAGAGCGTCGATTTTTTCAGCCTTAAAAAGCTGTGCTCCCATTTGAAAAAAATACCTGGGGAGATCACTGTTTCTTAAATTGTACCCCAACAAAGAAACAAACATCTGAGCCCGGCTCGACCCGTGGCCCAAACAAATCTCGCATTTTCCCAGCAAGCACTACCCTAGGGCCGCACGACCCACCCCTAATAAATTGACGCGTCTTTCAAAAATGAAAAAATTCCAAATTTTAGCTATTAATATAACATGTATCCGAAACAATCCAGTTTGAAAATTATGACTCCTGGGAGTTTACCTAGGTCATGGCACAGTCCTGCTATCTGTACACAGATGATATCTGCATCTGTAATACGTAGAAATGGCTGCCTAGTTCGCAGAGCACGCACCAGTTGGCCAGCCAGCCAATACACACTGGGAAATGAACATAATATAGCATTCAGCCTCCAATGGCTTGAGTGACAAGGCAGGTTTTTCAGTAATCCTGAGTAGTAAAGAACTTGTTGCGAGTTGTACTTATACTTCAGTGTATGAACAGAGAGCAAATTAAGAAAACAAGGTTCATTCGAGGAGAGGATCCTTGGTCATACACCTCTTTTTCCTGATAGCTTTTTCAATTTTCAATAATTTTTCATGAAATTTTCACTGGATAAACTTTAAACCCCCCTATCACACCAAACTAGTTCTTACCCGTTCTTGTCAGTCCTACGAAAACGTCGTAAAATGGGCTCAATCTGGCTGTGGTCTAAAATAATTAGCTACTTCGTTCATAAACAGTCTTCAATACGTCCATCTCATTCGCAGTTCGTTCAGGTCGCACCACGTCGGTGTGCAACGTACTTCGTATATCGTCCCTTAGTCTAGAAGGTCATCATGACCTGATTACAGAACGGTATGGTCGCCATCGAATTTTGAATCGATTCAACATTCTAAATCACATTCCCCGTCCGGGAAAGTCCATGAAGTTCGTAAACAGACCGTAGAACGTTGTAGCTACGTTCATTTCGTTCGTTCGCACAAAGTTTAAAACCAGTTTTGAAGAACGCAGTGGCAACTTGCTTGGTGTGATAGCTATATTTTTGCTAACTCGTTGATAAATACATTCTTAATCAGTTTTAACCCGTTTGCAATTAGTTCTTCCTCGTTCTCAATACGTCCTCAGACAGTTCAACTCGCTGTAAAAACGTCCCTAGTAAGATTGAAGTACGACGGTTCCGTTCGTAGTACGTCCAGCTCGTCGTCAGTAGGTTGTCACTCCATCTAATTGTAGAACGTGACGATCAAGAAAACATTTTGAGCATGTTCTAAGTTCTAGAGGACCTACCCGTTCGAGTACGTTCGATGAAGTTTGTAAATATACCCCGATGAAGTTTGTAAATATACCCCAAACGGTTCTAAGTACGTCCAGTCCGTTCGTACACAGTTGAAGCCCGTTTTCGAGAACGTAGTGAGAACTAGTTTGGTGTGATAGTAGGGTAAAGCATTCCTAACATACAAAATATTTTGTTGAACTCATCATCAATATTCTTTTAATTATAGCAATATTGAAGGGTTGAAATTGTATGAAACACCCTGTAGATGAATATAATATACCCAATTGAGTGTTCGAATCTGTTGTGAGGGGCACCAGGGAAGACCCAATAGCACCCTCCCAACTGCTTCAAGAATCGTAAACGTTGGAACTGTTTTGTATCAATGATGGCAGCACACAGAGAAGACACCTCAATGTGACCATGGATAGGGTCATTAAACACCTGCAAATAGATTTTCATTGCGTGAATATTGTGTATAATGACGTTAGTTGTATGTAAAATATGAACATTGTATTCACTGCTTTTTAAAGCCTTATTAGAGTTTGATGAACACAGTGTTACTCATTTTCATTAATTCCGACAAAAGAACATGGCAGATGGACCTCAAATTACTAGAGGGCCCAGGCTTATTGCACTAAACATTAAAGGCAGAATCTGATCTATTGGGGGTGACAAAATTACAAGCAACGTGTACAATTGACCTACCAATCTATTCCTTACAACATCAATTACAATATCTCCCAAAAGATTCACAATATGTTATAAATTGGTGAAGTTATTGATGATTCAAAGTGCAGAATTGGGTGAAAAACGTTTATATTCTCACAAATAATAAGAATGGTAACCATTCTTATAGAAAAATAATAAATTATTGTAAAAATCTTTAGTTTTCCTGGAATAAAGTTTGCACTTTTGTGATTTTTCGAATGAATAAACACAAGGAGCATATCTATATGCGTCTCGAACTCGCAACCTCGTGGTTTCGGCCCACAAAGATTGACATGAGCCAAATTTATTCAAAAATTGAAACAATTTTTTGTTTAACCTGCTCGCTATATCTGATTCTCTCTTTAAATAATCTGATATACAATTGCCATTCGTATGCAATATGAATATATTTTTCTATATATTATTGCACATATATATATTCTATATATTATTGCACAGTAATGTTCTTTTTTTTTAGGTTCAACTGGTTGTTTTGAAGCAGTGTAACAGACTGTGGGCAAACTGCAAAGTATGGAAATATTATCGGATCACTGATCACAGTGACAACGAGTTGAAAATCAGATAATTCATTGAATTGAAAAATTTAATATTTTTTAAAATTTCGGGGCATGGCATCGTTAACAAAGTCATATTTTGATTTCACAAGATTTATATTTAATTTAGTAGAATTTTCCTGTTCATTGACTGTCTCTGTTTCACTCAAAATTTTAAATCTCTATGCAAGAGAAATTGTATTTAAGTCATTTTAGACCCTTGCTTTCGTAGTATTGATAAGTAGATATGATACGTGAAAATATGGTACGGCTCAACATGCGGAAAAGTCCAGGGGTCTTGATTGTGCTTCCTATGGTAAAGTGCCTCTTTTCTGTTCCTTCAATGTTACCTTTGTACTGTGTTCAGCATCAGCCAAGCTGTGGAGTTCCCTTATGAGCTGTAACACTTTTTGTCTTTGCCCCATATGTCTACAACAACACGGCAAAGTGGATTAATATCAAAAAGCTAGAAAACAGCAACTCCTCGGAGTAGCAAATCTCACCCAACAAAATATGTTTTGATAAACAGAGCTCGCCTGTCCCCAGGTATCAGCATATAAAATTTGAACCAAATCCGTCCAATGGTATTTGAGTAATCGAAGATTATGTTTTCTTGTGAAAGAATGGTGGCCATTTTGGAATATAGCCGCCATCTTGAAAATTTCTTTGACCAGAGCTCCTTTGTCCCTTGGCTTCAGCATATGAAATTTAAATCAAAATTAGTTAACTAGTATTTGAGTTCATTTCTACGAAAAATTGCCATTAAAAATTGAGCGGCCAATATTTCTTCTCGAGCAGAGGTCCTACACCCATAAGCCTTTAGAATTTGAAAAATCTGTCAACCGGTATTTGAGTTATCGACTGGACACACGAAAGTGACGGATGGACGGACGAATGGACGACTTTTCTATATCCGCTCGAACTTCGTTCGGTGTGATTATTAAGAAATAGTATAGTAGGAACAAGGGGTTCCCATGCACCCATAAGGTGTGAATAAGTTACATACATTTTTGTAATTCATAGGGTGTCTATTTAATGAATTCATTTGTTAACATTGCCAACTAATGTCCCATAGTACTTTTATGGCGGCATTCAGTTACCATGGTTACGCATCTTTAGACATCTTACCTTGGTATCTTAAATCATTTGTAGCTCTGTCATTATTTGGTCTATAGAAATGATATTGGTACCAAATTAAACCTCGTTGAATTTCCAATAAATTCCTGATATTCAATTATGCAAATTATCTAATTTGCATAAATTATGACGTCATCAATCTATTTTTGGTTCAGAATTTCCAACTATAGCAACGTATCTATTAGAACTGAGGCCGTATGGCAAAATTTCTGAACGGTTTTGTCCTTTATTCTATTAGAAGAAGGTATAAGCAACATAAAAGTGAAAACAGATTCAAAATTGAATCAGCATTACGAAAGTTATGTAACTTTCGAGGCAGCTATCGTGAATGTCATTATTTGACAATAATATACATACATCTTACCTTGGAGTCTTGAATCAATGTAGCTTCGCCATTATTTGGTCTATAGAGATGATATTGGTATCTGATTAAACCTTATTAAACTTACTATATGGTTACAATATTCAGTTATGCAAATTAGCTAATTTGCATTAATTGTGACGTCATCAATCCATTTTTTGTTCAGAATATCGTAGTATAGCAACATATCTATTAGAACTGAGGCCGTATGACAGAATGTGTGCATAGTTTTGTCCCTTACTTGATGAGTGGAAGATATAAGCAACATTAAAGAGACAACAAATCTTCAAAATTGGATCAGAATTAACAAAATTATCCAGCTTTGGAGGCAGCTACTGTGAACGTCATTGTTTGACAATTATAAAAAGAACATTAAATTAACAAAAAAAGTAACAACCATCGTTGTTTCAATCTTATTGAGTAAAAATGTACATGTATTGAACTGAACTAATAAGTATGTGGAAAGGTTACATGCATTTTGACTATCATTCACAGGGGTCAAAACGGTTATCTCGACCCTGTATATTAAAGATCCAATCTTATAATTTACCATGCACTTTCAATGATTCATATAAATAGTATACATATAGTCTGATTTTCATCATATTCTTCATATTCTTGATTCTTAAAGCATCTGAAGTATATAGCATGATTAGAAGTGAAGATGATTCATCATATGGTTTATGTAATATTTCTAACATTTCAGATGCTATGGTAACATCACTTGATAATGAGGTTTTTACATTTCACGTTCTTAATGAGTTAAAAGGAAGTTATTCTCCCTTTGCTTTAGAGATAAATAGTCGCATGAATTTGTTTAGAGAAGTTATAACTTAATTAATTTAACCCCCCCCCCCTGACAGCCCCCATATTTGAAGATTTTGGTGAAACCTGGCAAAATACATTAATTATTAGGTTCCAGAAGCCCCCAGAAGCTTTATGATGGCCCCCAGTGGCCCCAAGAATCTATACAGGGGCCCCAAGTAGCCCCAAGAAGCTATACTGTGCTCCCCAGAAGCTATATGTTGGCACCCAGAAGCTGAATAGTGGCCCCCAGGAGCTATACGGTGGCTCCCAGAAGCTATACAGGAAACCCTGTGGCCCCCAGGAGCTATACGGTGGCGCCCAGAAGCTATACAGGGGCCCCCAGTGGCCCCCAAAAGCTATACGGTGGCCCCCAGAAGCTACACGGGGGCCCCCAGAGGCTATACTATGGCCCCCAGAAGCTATACAAGGGCCCCCAGAAACTATACTATGGTCTCCAGAAGCTATATGGTGGCCCCCAGTGGCCCTCGGAAGCTATATGATTGCCTCCAGAAGCTAATTAGTGGCCCCCAGGAGCTATACGGTGGCTCCCAGAAGCTATACAGGGGATCCCAGTGTCCCCAAGAAGCTAAACGATGGCCCCCAGAAGCTATACAGGAGCCCCAAAAAGCTACATGATGGCCCCAAGAATCTATATGATGGCCCCCAATGGCTCCCAGAAGATGTGAAGGGCCCCCAGTAGCCCCTAGAAGCTATACGGTGGCCCCCAGTGGCCCTCATAGGCTATATGATGGCCCCCAGAAGCTAAATAGTGACCCTCAGGAGCTACATGGTGGTTCCCAGAAGCTACACAATGGCCCCCAGAATCTATATGGTGGCCCCCAATGGCTCCCAGAAGCTATAAAGGGTCCCCCAGTAGCCCCTAGAAGCTATACGGTGGCCCTCAGTGGCCCCGAAAGCTATATAGTAGCCCCCAGAAGCTATACAGGGGCCCACAGTGGCTCCCAGAAGCTATACGATGGCCCCCAGAAGCTATGCAAGGGCCTGCAGGAACTGTACTGTAGCCCCCAGAAGCTATACAGGGGCCCCCAGTGGCTCCCAGAAGCTATAAGATGGCCCCCAGAAGCTATGCAAGGGCCCGCAGAAACTATACGGTAGCCCCCATAAGCTATACGATGGCCTCCAGAAGCTATATAGTGTCCCCCAATGGGCCACCATATAGCTTTGGGGGCCACCGTATAGCTTCTAGGGGCTACTGGGGGCCCTCTATAGCTTCTGGGGGCCATTGGGGGCCATCATATAGATTCTGGGGGCCATCGTGTAGCTTCTGGGGGCTGCTGTATAGCTTCTGGGGGCCATCGTATAGCTTCTTGGGACCACTGGGGTTCCCTGTATAGCTTCTGGGTGCCATCATATAGCTCCTGGGGGCCACTAATTAGCTTCTGGGGGCCATCATATAGCTTCTGAGGGCCACTGGGGGCCACCATATAGCTTCTGGAGACCACAGTATAGTTTCTGTGGGCCCTTGTATAGCTTCTGGGGGCCATCGTATACCTTCTGGGGGCCACTTGGGGCCCCTGTATAGATTCTTGGGGCCACTGGGGGCCATCATATAGCTTCTAGGGGCTTCTGGAACCTAATAATTAATGTATTTTGCCAGGTTTCACCAAAATCTTCAAATATGGGGGCTGTCAGGAGGGGGTTAAATTAAGTTATAATTTTTTTAAACAAATTCATGTGACTATTTATCTCTAAAGCAAAGGGAGAATAACTTTCTTCTAACTCATTAAGAACGTGAAATGTAAAAACCTCATTATCAAGTGATGTTACCATAGCATCTGAAATGTTAGAAATATTACATAAACCATATGATGAATCATCTTCACTTCTAATCATGCTTTATACTTCAGATACTTTAAGAATCAAGAATATGAAGAATATGATGAAAATCAGACTATATGTATACTATTTATATGAATCATTGAAAGTGCATGGTAAATTATAAAATTGGATCTTTAATATACAGGGTCGAGATAACCGTTTTGACCCCTGTGAATGATAGTCAAAATACATGTAAGCTTTCCACATACTTATTAGTTCAGTTCAATACATGCACATTTTTACTCAATAAGATTGAAACAACTATGGTTGTTACTTTTTTTGTTAATTTAATATTCTTTTTATAATTGTCAAACAATGACGTTCACAGTAGCTGCCTCCAAAGCTGGATAATTTTGTTAATTCTGATCCAATTTTGAAGATTTGTTGTCTCTTTAATGTTGCTTATATCTTCCACTCATCAAGTAAGGGACAAAACTATGCACACATTCTGTCATACGGCCTCAGTTCTAATATATATGTTGCTATACTAGGATATTCTGAACCAAAAATGGATTGATGACGTCACAATTAATGCAAATTAGCTAATTTGCATACTTGAATATTGTTACCATATAGTAAATTTAATAAGGTTTAATTAGATACCAATATCATCTCTATAGACCAAATAATGGCGAAGCTACATTGATTCAAGACTCCAAGGTAAGATGTATGTATATTATTGTCAAATAATGACATTCACGATAGCTGCCTCGAAAGTTACATAACTTTCGTAATACTGATTCAATTTTGAATCTGTTTTCACTTTTATGTTGCTTATACCTTCTTCTAATAGAATAAAGGACAAAACCTTTCAGAAATTTTGCCATACGGCTTCAGTTCTAATAGATACGTTGCTATAGTTGGAAATTCTGAACCAAAAATAGATTGATGACGTCATAATTTATGCAAATTAGATAATTTGCATAACTGAATATCAGAAATTTATGGAAAATTTAACGAGGTTCAATTTGGTACCAATATCATTTCTATAGACCAAATAATGACAGAGCTACAAATGATTTAAGATACCAAGGTAAGATGTCTAAAGATGCGTAACCATGGTAACTGAATGCCGCCATAAAAGTACTATGGGACATTAGTTGGCAATGTTAACAAATGAATTCATTAAATAGACACCCTAGGGATTACAAAAATGTATGTGACTTATTCACACCTTATGGGTGCATGGGAACCCCTTGTTCCTACTATACTAAAATGCCTGTTCATAAAACCTGTTTAAGTGGAACAGAACACCTTTGGAACCTCTAAAAAGTTATATATTATAGAGCTATTCCACTTTATCTACTTCACCACTGGTGGGGATATATATATATATATGTTGTGGGGGTCACAAAGGCTTGTAGCTAGACAAATAAGGCATGAACATACAAAATGTCACGACCTGTCATTTGTTACAGAACACCGTCTACAAAAATTGGAGACTACAATATCTCACCATTAGTGGTTGTGACATAAAAATGCATTATCTCAAAAATGCAAAAAATCCATTAATCATTTAAATGGTTTTATTATTAATAAGTTTATCTGTATTTTAATAGTGTGCCTTAATGATTAGATTAGCATTTACACAAGCCAACTGGCCTTATATTAAAAAAAAAAACTCACTCGATTTTCATTTTCTCAAGGAGTTCTCCAGTGAGCTCTGCCAGTTGAGCTCCAGCTATCCCTGCCTCTGAAAATGTCGAATCTTTATGTTAGAGGCAATCTGGCAATTGACATGTTTAATGACTGCATGTTCACTTATTCATTGTACAGTAATTTAAATGGATTCTGGCAATAATATCAACCATTAATCAATTTGCTCATCAACTTGACTTCTTCTGAGAAAATGGGGATTTCAACAAGGGTGCATTAACTTGGCGTGGGGATATACACCATTTACTTAATATGATTTAGCACCAGGATACCATCATGTGTGTCACCATGGTGATAGATACACTTTCGCAGAAGAACCCAAGTTGATCGAGTCTCATCAAGTACATTGATAGTATTGCTAGAATCAATTTTCAATAGTAAGAATAGAGGTACCTAAACAGGATATTAAAGCACAATTGAAATATGTCACTTTGTTAACCTGAACCCAAATTCTTACTATTGAAGATGGATTTCAGCAATACTTGTTGAGATTAGACCAACTTGAGTTTTTTCCGAGAAAATGAGGATTTTGTATTTATCCCCAGTGGCGTAGCTACGTGTACGCCAAGTACGCCCAGGCGTACTCTCAAATTTTAAGGAAAAATAAAATTTACCTGATTAATTGTGATGAAAAATAAATATTTTACCAAGAGATAGAAATCGATAGGAGATTATTCAAAAGACCCCCAGCCTCTTTACCCCGATGTCTACACGTGTTTGGTCCAGCTGCTAACATTGCCAGTATCCACTTGCGTGGCTGAACGAAGCTTTAGCAGTTTGAAACGCATTAAGTCATACTTGCGTTCCACAATGAACGAGGAAAGACCTTCTTCCTTGGCCATGATACATATCCATAGGGAACAGGATATAAACATTGATACTGTTATTGACATGTTCGCAAATGCAAAAAAAACAGAAAGATCCGAAATGGAGTTGAGACGGTCGTGTAACTGTTCTTTTATTGTTAATCATCTTGTGAGCTAGATAAAAACAAACACAGAAAAAATAATAATATTTCATGGAGAATGACCACAAAAGCTTAAAACAGTGAGTCTCATACATACAGTTTTAGGTAGCCTAAAAAATAAAATCGCCTTGATAGACGGCTTCGATCGCCGATGGCATGATTATATAGAATCTGTATTTTTTGTTTCCCGAATATTATCTGTTAATACAGTTAATTCAATCCCTTTAAAAAGCTATGTCAAAATGATCAAACAATACATATTTCCCTCATTGAATAAAGAGTGTTTAGTGTGTCCCTTATCTTCTGAACACCCGGGATCTTCCTATTTTATGGAACCATCGTTTTGTTAATTTTGATAAAACCGGGAAATCATACGGGCGTACACTCGCAAAATGGGCTAGCTACGCCTCTGATCCCTATGTTGACATACGTGATGGTATCAGTATTTTCAGTGATTTTAAGTTGCCGAAAATAATATTTAGAGTAGGGCAAAAGCGGCCCATGGGTGGGGCAAAACAACCACCCGTCATCAATACTTTGGTTTTAAAACTCCATGACTTTTGAACCCATAGGGAGTTCATCTAATTGTTCTCATCATTGGGTTTCTATGGTTAATTTGAAACGATTAACAATTTTACCCGTATTTTTAGAGCTCTTCGTGAGAGGGAGCGAAAACGAGTGCAAAAATTTTAATAACATCTTGCGCAAGATGAGACGCTGCTAGGTTACAAAACAACATCCCGGCGGCCGGCGCAAAATTCAAAATTGGTCAAATGACTTTTGAGGAGAAATATTGGGATCGTTTAAAACATATTTTAATAACTAATACAACTAATACATTGATCACTTCATGTGTGTTTTGGAATTGTTGGTGAGGTAATAAGACCAAAACTCGCAATTCAAATTGTATCTCTATCCGAAGTTGGACTTCTACATTTTATTGGGAGTAAACTTGGAGTACATGAGGTTGCCTGGGGAAGAAAACGACCCATTGGACTTGGCTACAGAGGATTACCTGAGGGAGGCTCCAAATGGTTGCTTGGGGAATCAGACGATATAATGGACTTAGCCACAAGACGTTACCTGAGGGAGAAGAAGATCCATTGGACTTGACCACTAAGATATCCTGAAGGAGAAAAAGATCCATTGGACTTGGCCACTAAGATACGATCCTGAAGGAGAAGAAGACGACCCATTGGACTTAGCCACAAGAGGTTGCCTGGGTAAGAAGAAAATCCATTGACTTAGCCACTAGAGGTTACCTGAGAGAGAGAAGACGAGCCATTTTAATTACTCGGGAACATGAAACAAGATACTAGTAGCTGCTAAACTGTCCGTGTATGGAACTGGATATATCCCCTTCGTTGCTTTAGTCGTAGGCAGTACACTGGTTATATTGATCTGTTTAATGGTGGTCATATTTTCTCTTGTTTGTTTTTTGTATGAGCGCTACGGACGAAGAATCAACCAATCATTCTGCTGTAATACCGCCTATACCAGTTCAAACCTTAGAGTCGCCATTAGGTTTGAGCCTGAGCAATTTATTTATATATGGGCTTATAGTTAACGACTACGACTGGTTCTACTTTATTCGAGATTTACATGGACGCTTCTGTAACTTTGATGAAATCAAATTATTTTGACAGTGACTTCGAGTAAAATATGTTTGGATGATAAAAGTTCAACTTATTGTAGTTTCTAGCTTATTGTGAGTCAAAATTGAGTACAAAGGGCAATATAACAAAACATAAACTTATTTTTTTCCGATAACCTTATCATACTTATGTTAATCATTTATTCATGATACATCATCAAATCATTTTTTACTAATAATTCGGCCTTTTCCCTCAAAAACATCAAGGTAATGTACTGGGAGGTTTTGGGTACAGGTTTATCCCTCAGGAAATATGTGTATCTCCCTTGGTCACTGCGGTCCCTTGGTTACCCAAGGTTCATTTTACGGAAAATTCCCATATAAACGGGAGGTTGGCAGGTCTGTTTATCAGATTATAATTAGAAACTTACCTATAAATTTGTCTGCAACATCGTTTAGGCCCAGATGTTCATTCTGCATTAGATATTCGCCGACCTGATGCACGGTCCAATCTTTAAAACCGCTGTATATGGGATTAATACTTGACGGTTCGTCATCATTGTTCGACGCGGACATTTTGAACTCGTTGTTGTTGAAGGTGTTGTTGTGCTATAACGCCGCTTTAACCCCGGCAGTTCGTCACTCGATCTGTACTTTTTTGTCTCTTGAACTCTCACTATGTTCTTTTCACTTGTTGCGCAGCTTATTATTCTTTAATTTTATCTAATCTAATGCCACATTGTATATTTCTCATAGTCTCTCTCGCTCTTTGTTTTCAATATAATAGACCATCCGTTCTCTTTTCTTAGTATTTGGAGCATATATTCATATAGGTAGTGATTCACTGTCTCTACTTTATTACATGTAGATCATACTAGATTTACACCAGAATAGGACGTAATCGCTAAAAGGGGCCCTTGCGACATCGCAGGCTTGCGACGTGCTTGCGATAACTTTATGAATGACACGTCAGGTCTTATCTTTGCTACGTGACTGTTCAGATTAGTGTGACCTGTTATTATATCGGTTATTTGGTTTCCTGTGTAAAAAAGCTTTTTCTCCTTTTCTGGCAGATACTTTTGCGATGGTAGCTTTCTCCAGGTTCAGAATAATTTTGGTCACCCATAGTTGATATCTTTAAAACCTCTGTTTGAATGCTAGAAGTTGATAATGTCTCAAAACGCAACATAATGATGCAACAGACATTAAAAAAACAGATGTGGAATTGGATAAAAATCAGGGAAACATTTTAGAAAAAATGTTGTTGAGACGTTTGTATTTTCCCTGTCTCAAAGTCAAAATTATTTTATATTTCAAATTTCTAGTTTTCAACTAAAATTAATTTCTCTAAATCTGTATTTCTGTAAATTAGCCCATGGAATGAAATTCCCAGGACGCCTAGTAAAGGAGCTGGTAACAAAATACAGCGCAGCGATTTTTGACCTTACATTTTCATACCTACACATGTCCATTTCAATATTCTTTGGGCTTTTGGGCTGAATTATGCGTGTTATTAGCAGAGGTAAAAAAAATAACTAAAAACGTAATCCCCTTTTACCCGATATCTAGTAGTTATGAAAAATCCCAAACCACACTTAAATATTTTCGAAAACCCACAGAAACATATACAATTGGTACATTCTACACATTTTGAAACCAGTAAGGTATCATTCTCCAATATTCACATACTTTTTCATGAAAACTATTAGTTAATGGGGTATAAACAGGTTACCAAGAGGTGAGTTACGATTTAGGAGTTATGACCTAATCTAAAATGACAATAGGCAATATGAACATTGATCATAATGAAGTATAATTATTATCTCAAAGTGCTAAAAAATTACACACCGGGTCATGCCGATCATCAAAATAAAAGATAAAAATAGTGATATGAAGTATTTAACTTTAGATACACAAATCAAATCGTTTATTTGACATAATATTATCTAATAGACAAGAAAAATGTATTAGGCAAAGAAGCGTTTAGCATAGAATTATAAAATGGAGGAACCAAGAAAGGAGGAACTTTATTATTTTGCGCTTAAAGACAAGAATGAGCAGTTGAAAAGGGGTAGGATACATTCGGAGGAGAAAAAGATACAGTTGAGAGAAGCCAGGATACAGATGAAAGAGGATGCCATGAAGAAAGAAAAGTGGGAAGGTGATGAGATAAAATTTAAGAATATAAGAGAAGAACAAGAAAAGATAATTGGTGAAGAAAGAGATAGAATAGAAAGACGAAGACGTATGCTTAAGAAATATAAGGATATCAAATGGTATGAGGAATGTGAAAGTCATGCGAGAGCAAGTGAAAGTAAGTATCTTCATGTAAATGTAACATGATGATGTAAGAGTATTAATTTAATTTAATTTCAAGGCCTATGATGTGACCGCTATTAGCGAAGCAACAATTTCAGTGCAGCAAATGATTGTTGCACTCGACTTAACATCTCCAACGCGTGACAGCCTTAACATGCACATAAAGCGCTTCAATAAAATGATATTATTTAATTAAACAAAACAATATCATTCATGATTCAAATTTTGAATTTGAATGAAAATGCAATACGAACAACCTAGTGTCATTTTGTAGAGCACAATCGCATATTTCTGATACAATAATTAAAGAACAATCAATTTTCAAGAGATCATACATTTCCATTCTTTTAAAGAACTTAGTTATCTAATAAGTGGTTTAAAGTACATGAGTGGAATTGGTTATCAAGTTAAACACATTGACTGTTATCTTTAGTTTCGTTTTTGGTTATCTATAAATTACTAATAACTACTCTTTCAAGACATTGTGGTAATAGTTGAGTCATTAATTTAGAAATAGCAGTCACAGTGATTCTTATTATAACTTATTGTTTTTTGAATATTCTCAGTAGTCTCTAATGAATACATTCAAAAATGCATGAATACTTGAACATTCTAAAAAAGTCTTTTCAGAAAACCAAATTCCTCTAAATTTGCATTGTATATTGTTGATCTGTGGGAACTAGGAAGTTTCTGTTATATCTCCCAACTTTTACATCCAAAGAAACAAAACCTAAGAGCTTCATGAAAATATTTTTAATGATTAAGATGTTGAACACATTAATTCATCCCGAGTGATACATGACACGAACATAGTTAATAAAACACATGCTCATTTTGACGATCATGAGGTACCTCAATATCAAATAAATACTCTGATACAATTGCTAGGAATCTTCTTGAATTACAATAAAACTGTTTTGGATTTTGACCGTTCTGATTTTGATGATATGATTTTTAATTGTGGAGATTCTGATTTCTTTTCACTTTGAATCCCATAAACATGTCTTAATAGATAATCTATACATTATATCCGATAGTAAACTTCGTAAATTGATAAAGAAAAGTTCTGAATCTCGTGTACAGAATACAATTTTATGGCTTTTTGAAGATGTTGAAATATATGCTAGAGATTGGGTTAAACGCGAACACGCCGATAAATAAATTTAAAACAATTTATAACGAATTACAACTTAATGATATGCAATTTTAAAATGTTCTAGCTTGTGATAACCCATACACACCACAGGGTGTCTTTAGCATTATTATGTAAATATGTAAATATGTAAATATGATTTTAATAAATAAAAAAATAATAAAAATAAATCTGCATTAGATCTAGATGAGTGGGTAGTGAAAGTAACCCCCCTATCACACCAAATTAGTTCTTACCCGTTCTTGCCAGTCCTACGAAAAAAATCGTCAAACGGGCTCAATCTCTCTGTGGTCGGGAAATATGTCTGAAATAATTAGCTTTTTCGTTCTTAAACAGTCTTCAATACGTCCATCTCGTTCGCAGTTCGTTCAGGTCGCACCACGTCGGTGTGCAACGTCGTAGAACGCGTCCCTTAGTCTAAAAGGTCAACATGACCTGATTACAGAACGGTATGGTCGTCATCGAATTTTGAATCGATTCAAAATTCTAAAATCACATTCCCGTCTGAGAACGATCATAAAGTTCGTAAATAGACCTTAGAAAGTTGCAACTACGTTCATTCCGTTCGCACACAGTTTAAAACCAGTTTTGAAGAACGCAGTGTTAAATACGTTCTTAATCAGTTTAAACCCGTTTGCAATTAGTTCTACCTCGTTCTCAACACGTCCGCAGACAGTTCAACTCGTTGTTAAAACGTCCTTAGTAGGATTGAAGTGCGATGGTTCCGTTCGTAGTACGTCCAGCTCGTCGTTAGTACGTTGTCACTCGTTCTAATTGTAGAACGTGACGACCACGAGAACATTTTGAGCATTGTCTAAGTTCTAGAGGACCTACCCGTTCGAGTACGTTCGATCAAGTTTATAAATAGATCCCAAAAGGTTCTTATTAGGTCCAGTCCGTTCGTATACAGTTGAAGCCCGTTTTCGAGAACGCAGTGAGAACTAGTTTGGTGTGATAGTAGGGTTAAGGACATAGTAAATAGAAGAATCAGGAAACTTAAGTCAAAATTTTAAAAGTACTAAAAGGGTATTAGATGATCCACAGCTTATTGAATATTTAAAATAATTTAATAAAAAGGTATAGGTCCTAGCAGACAACGTTTCTAATGCTGTTCATTGTAATTTGTAAAAATCCATTTGTCTGTAATTATGGCGGATTTGGATATTTTAAATCAAAATGCTGGAAATAAAATATTACGGTTAATGCTAGTGAAGTTGAAATAGTCAGTTAAACCATCTTGACTATTTATATAAATAAAAGATCGTTACCAAAAAATGACACAATTTATTCAAAAGTCAAATGTATTTCTACATTTACCCATGGATTTTTCTGCACCTTACAAATCTATCCCCCATGACAAGTTGAAAGTGGAAATTTGGGAATAATCAAAAAGACAATGGCGAGAAGTAAGTCTAAATAAATAAATTGTCATTCAAACAAGGTTTGCTTTTATGGCGATCAATATAATAAGTATATTTTTTCACCTCGGTATAACTTTGTGAGGTTTTTTCGGGCTTTTTGATTGACAATTAATTTGTAAAGTTTGGAATTACAACCTTACGTCAAAATGTAGGAATATACGAGGGTATATCATAAAGTTCTCATAATATCTCTCTAATTTTTTTTATTTTCAATATATTATGATGAATTTTTCACAGAATGTGTATTATGGAATGCTGTATTAATCTATCAAAACATATTTGGTATAACAGAAATATTATTTAAGAAATGGTTGCCATAGTAACCAGAAATCAAGGCACCCGGGGCAAATAAAAAATCGTGCAAGAATAGCACCAAGTAACCATGTTTAAGTGCATAATAAGTTATCAAACAAGCTATGAAACACATCAAATTGTTAAATATCATGTGTTCTTGACTGTTTTGAACTATTATAATGGCCATGTGAATTGTGTGATCTCATAATGGACGATTGTAATGCTTCATTAGAAGTGATGTTAGACACTACAACTGTTTTGTCAAATATTCCTAGGAAAGTCGATTTCCCCCTTTAGTTCATCTTAAATATATTTAAACCATACATAGGGTGTACTTTTGTTGATATCTTTGCAACATATTTGTTTTAAATCATCTTTAGTATGAGCAAAGGATTTTTCGAACTTAACTGAACTTTTTATCATAGTATGAATTTATTTTTCTGATGATCTCTGCATCTATGCATTATCTTACTCAGTCATTTCTGATTATTAAGCTTTGATTCTCAGAGTATGGTATCACATTCATGAAGCATGTAAGCATCCCCTATGACATCACACAATTCACATGATCAATTTATTTTAGAGTAAAAGCATTTAACAACATATTCAAAATAACATTTTAATGTGTTTGATAATTTATGAGAGTTAATTACGAATGTAAACATGGTTAATTAAGCTCATTCTCTCAATTATTTTTATATGCCCCGGGTCACCCGATTTCCCGTTACTATGGCAACCGTTACTTATCTAATATATCTGTTATACCAAATATTTTTTGGCAGATTAATACAGTATTCTATACTGCAGATTCTATGAAAATTTCATTAGAATATATTGAAAAATAAAAAAATTAGAGAGATATTATGAGAACTTTATGATATACCCTCGTATACCAATGGGAACAGATTGTACTCCTCTTTTAGCAGACCTTTTTCTACATATTGCAAAATTATTTAACAAGACAGACAGATGTTAAGTAGACCTGTTAAGTTTAAATAAACATAAATTTAAAGATTTTTTAAGTGAGATACACTGTATACCCTTTTGAAATAGACTTTACAAATGGATTTTAACATAAGTGGGCCTTATCTTGACCTTCCAATTAACATTAAACTCGATAACAGCATATATTGTAAGTTATATAATAAAGGCGACGACTTAAATTTTTATTTTTCTCTACATTTGTATAGTATCATTCCATTGAACCCAGCATATTGCATCTATGTATCCCAGCTTATTAGATACAGCAGGGCATGCTCGAAATATTTAGATTTAAAGTCAAGACATAATATTTTACTGATAAAATTCTTATACTTATAAAAAAACTTGAGAAATTCTTTCTAGGCTTTGCTGAAAAGTCATTAATTTTGAAGTTTCAAGTTTTGCTACTTGATATGCTTAGAGGTGTAGGAATCGTAAGATTTGGATATGCTTAGAGATGACAACGAACTCTCACATTTTCACTTGGCACCTTTTTGGGTGGGTCCCGGCCATGGCATTAGTGGTTGAGAAACAAGGATCGGAACGAGCCATAGTTTTTCTCCTGATGACCACAATATCGGTGTTTTATTGATTATGGCGACGGGTGACTCTGTGATACCATTTGCATTCGTTTGACTTCACTTCTTAAGAGAGTCTTCGTAGTTTATAACTAGACTCTGCGCGCAGGGTAGCTCTGTGAGGGCTCGACTTATCGATCGCAGTATCAGAGCTAGATGGTCCTCCATAGACCATCTGTACTTTTTGTGCTAAGGCTTTTGAATTTAACTTAGCATTCCTCTCTTTTATGAAGAGTAAAAATAATTTTCAGTATCAATTTTTTGTAATAATCTGAACAAAGTACGAGATTCCTCATATGAAACCATTCCGTTAAAATCTTAAAAAACGAATATAACTTCATCAAACATCAAAAAAGAATACACTAGGTTGAAAATTGGGAAATCACTTATTGTCGTAACGGTATTACTCTGTACATGTAGCTCGCGAAAAGTCGAACTAATATTCGCGAAACCTCAGAAATCTCGCTAATATTACAGCTAAATTGTTTCATAGACTCTCTATATTATATACTCATTTGGTATTATGGGCTCAGAAAAACAATTTGAATTTGTGTCCTCATTTTGAAAATAAAATAGTGTTTAAGATATTGCCTAGCTTTAATGTGCTACACATTTAATCAGTAGTTAATAAAAATATGTGCATCATGACATCTATTTAGTTTTTTTCTTTTTAAAGAAGTAACTATTTTGAAATATAATCTTATAGACATCCAGTCTTTCAAAATGGCTGTCATATACTTATGATGTAGCCATTTCTGAGACATATAATGAGTATTAGTTTGTTTCTATTTTGGCCTAACCCCATATTTTTAGGTGGCTTGAATACGTCTACCGATGGCCAACTGGAAAGATATGTTAATGATAGATACAGTAAAGCGAGCATAGATTACTCTGACCCAACTATAACAAAACATATTGGAGAAATTGAAGCTTTCGTGGATAAGATTACAGATGCCCTGGGTGACAAATACCCTGTCCTTAGAGTAAGGAAGAGATCGAACCGAGGTAGCATGTACAATCAAACAAAAGTCTATCCCCCCGACGAGGTCGACTTTGTTTTGATTCCTGATATATCTTATGATAAATCTAAAGTCAAAGTCGAAGACACATCAAAGTCTTACAACACTAACAGTGGCATTGTTAGCATAACCGATCAAGATATTGTGGATAAACTAAATGGTGTTAAGAATGGTAGGCCTATCACGTTTAAGAAGGGGGACAATATAAGAAGGAAGGATTTCGTTAAACTGTTGGTATATGCAACAAAAGAGTGCATCTCTCAATGGGAAAATGTCTGGACAGTGGAAGAGCATGGCCCGGCTGTTTGTGTTCTGGCCAGGATGCCTCTGTGTTGGGTGTCTATAGATCTTTGTTTCTGCTTTGAGGAATCGAAGACTGAGCGAGGGAGACATGTTCTAGTGCCAATTGAACCATCTATTACATCTGGTGATCGCACCAGGTTTAGGGAGGACCGTTGGACATTATCAGTGTGTGATATACCACCAGACAGCACTCGAGTCCAACTAAACGAACTACATAGGAAGCTACTGGTTGTCCTTAAATCTATATTTCAAACTGGGAGCCAGTTCTTGCTACAATGTCATACTCCAAGCTCGCATATATTGATCACATTTGTTGAGACGCATCAGATGAAATGTGTTGAGAAACAAGGGATGCAAAATATTGTAAAGTGCTTTAGAGAGGTGATCGAGGATATCATGAACATCGCGAAATCAGCTCTTAACAGAAAACTCCCAGATATTGACTTCCGTCGAGTGAATGGGGGAAGCTCTAGGCAGGTGAATGTAGTAACTTCCTGGAGCAGAACTTTCATCAAGAATGTCATTAGTACTTGTCTCCAAAAACACTTACTGAATGATATAAAGGATTGGAAAATGGAAAGTAAAGCGCATTCTGTTAGTGTACAAGAAGCAACAAGAGAAGTCTCCAATCAGTGATCAACATCACAAGTGGTGATGACTGTACTGATCAGAGTTCTCATAAAAGTAGTCCTCCTTCAAAGAAGAAAAGGCCGTAAATGGTAATGTCATGACGGTAGAATATGACATTGGAGTGTATGATTTGGGGTTATGGGACAGACTACTATATCTAGTAATCAGACATAACTAAGACAGTGAATCAAAAAAGCGTCTGGAATGGCAGATGATGACGAATTGATTGGCAAACAAGTATGTATGTATTATTAGTATTTTCGATATAAATCAAAAGAGCTACGTAGGTTATTATAACAAAGTCAGACTATTATATCTTGGATTACAATTAATATTGTCTTGGCAAAACAGGTATATTTTAGAAGAGTTTATAATATAGTGATAATTTAGTTAATCAGACGAAGTGATATAAAGGGACAATGAACCTATCAACATACTTTTTCAAAAATGATTAACATAATTTTCACTGTAAAGGCAACTTTTTATTGTAATGTTTAATGCATAATTAGAATGTGCTTTGGGATATGCCTAAATGGGAAAAGTGGATTGCCCCAGGGATGTTAGAGATACTGAATTTGGATTACCAAAATGAGCTGAAATCTATAGATTGCATGAGTTCGAGGGGATATAGAGAAGCCGTCCATCCATTTCATTTTCGTAAAAACGCGCAATCTTTGATAACTCAAGTACCAATGGACGGATTTAGTTCAAATTTACGCTGATGCCTAGTAACAAAAATACTTTGCCTAAGAAGTAATTTTCAAGATGGGGGCTGAATTTTGAAATGGCCTATATTTTTCGTAAAAACCATTTTCAAAATTTATACGATTGATCGTACGATTGATCTGAAAGAAATGCTAGGAGATTGAAAAAGAACGTAATATTTGATAACTAAATACCAATTGACGGATTTGGTTCAAATTTTATATGTTGATGTCAAGGGACAAGGGACAAAGCTCTGCTAAAGAAGAAATTTTCAAGATATGGCCACTGAATTTCAAAATGGCTGCCATTTTTCGCACAAAAACGTATTCTTTTCAATAACTGAAATTCTAGTCTGTTGATGCCAAGATACAAACAAGCTCTGCTAAAAAGACATTTTCAAGATGGCAGCTGAATTTCAAAATGGCCGCCATTTTTCGTTAGAAACCGTAATCTTTGATAACTCGGTTACCAGTTGATGGATTTGGTTCAGATATTATATGCTACCTTGGGACAAGGGAGCTCTGTTCAAGAAATTTTCAAGATGGCCGCTATTTATCAAAATATGTTTTGTTCAGCTCAGTGGGATTTGCTCGGCGGAGTTGCTGTTTTTCTAGTTATCATTAAGATTATCTTTAAGATAATAAGTTGATCTTTAAGATATGGCCGTCTTCATGGTCAGAAAATAATCCAAGATATAACCGTTTGAAATTGTTTGCGATAACTTACGTGGCCTTTTAAAGATGAGTTGTAGCGTTGAGTAATAATTAATATTATCCCTTGGTTGCAAGGATATGGATATCATATTTAAGCAAAAAATTCCCAAACCATCGAATATCACTTCTTAAAAAGTGATATTCGATGGTTTCAAGAGTGATATTCGATGGTTTTGATTTTTTCTAAAAATAAGTAATTGTAGTAATTTTGATTTTTCTACAATTGCAATTTTAGCTGTTGTCAAAATGGGACCATTCCCCTCCTATGAAGACTTTCCCTCATGGAAAGATGATATGCAGACAAAGTCCTACACACATTTTGGTAGTCAAGGCCAGACAAATAGAGCCTCAAAGAAAAAAGGTTGGTTTTATAAAATACTAATACAGTAAAACCTGTGTACAGTGAACACCTATGGAGCCACAAAAAATGTGTTCACTTTAAAGCAATGTGTTCACTACAGATAGAGTGAGGAATTCACTTAGACATATAGATCTTAGTCTTACATACTCGTTCACCCCACCATATTACTGATTCTCGAGTGTTATTTAGGGCAAAATGATATCCCATATCAAACATTTGATTTTTCCTGAAGTATCATAAACAGAACCTTGTGTGCTTCCTCAGAGTCTCTAGATGTATGAGTACATTATGTTAGGCTAGGTCTAAAAATTCTTTTAGGTCAAAGGAGGAATTTAATGTCACAAAGATGGATACAACATCAATAGAACACAGAGTTCTAGCCAGTTGTTGGGATAGTGGTGTCTGGCTAGTATAACATTTTGGAAGAAAATAGAATATGGCACGGTACATGTAGATATGTATCGACCGTGATCATCTTACTGAGGTTTGTATTATTCTGTTATTCACAAATTGCCCTCAGTACCAATCAATCAATAGAAATATATCAAAAATCAATTTCTAATAGATAGACACAATCTTTAATAACAATAAAACTTAACTTAAATTTAACAATAAAAACAATCATTTCGAGTGAAGCACGTTCGCGCCTTTTTTAGTACTTTTTGTATATGATGGTAATAGACTTCCGACGAATTTCGTCTAAGCACGACCGACATAGACATAGTCATTTACGGAAAGCTATAGGGGACATGCGCATAATTCAAAATCGAATGGAGTTTTAACATGGGAGTGATATCACACACCGCGGCCCAGTCAGATAGATTTCATCGCGCACTGAATGAATTACAGGGGCCGCGTTGTGCAAAGTTAATTAAAATAAAGTGCGCAGAAATTCCGGCATTCAGTGCGCGATGAAAAAATGATTATCTGTGAATAAATAACGAATAAAGATTCGTGGCACCACGAATTTGATTTTTTTCGAAAGACTGCGGAGTGAACCAGCGAAATGACAATTTTGGATAATATTGATGGCTCTAACGAGGAGAACTTTGAAATTTCCCGATTCTACCGCGCAGCACATCCAGGACCATGATGCGCACTTTTATCAGATTCGATTCTAATATGGTTTCAAAGATAATGTTCATTAAAAGAGGGCGTATGCATACAGATTACACATGGCGTTATGTTGAAGTGACCCTTGCAAAGGGTTCCATTGAAAATATATTATTTTGGGCCATTTCATATCTTTTAATTGATATTGTATAAAATATTTTCAATGTTTGAAAATTATAATCTTATAAATAACATTTTATGTAATAAAACTGTAACGAAATGGTAAATACGGAATATGATGCAATACAATGCAGTGCAATATGATGTTATACAATGCAGTGCAATATGATGCAATACAATGTGGTGCAATATGATGTAATACAATGCGGTGCAATATGATGCAATATAATGCAGAGCAATATGATGCAATACAATGCAGTGCAATATGATGCGGTACAATGTAGTGTAATATGATGCAATACAAAGCAGTGTTATATGATGCAATACAAAGCAGTGTTATATGATGCAAAAAATGCAGTGCAATATGATACAATACAATGTAGTGCAATATAATACAATAAAATGCAGTGCAATACGATGCAATACAATACAGTGCAATATAATGCAATACAATGCAGTGCAATGCAATACAGTGCAAAACAATGCCGTGCAGTGCAATACAATGTAGTTCATTTCAATACAATGCAGTACAATACATCGCAGTTCAATACAGTGCAATACAATGTAGTGCAATGCAGTGCAATAAAATACAATACAGTTACAATGTAATTCATTTCAATACAATGCAGTGCAATACAATGTGGTACAGTGCAATACAATGCAGTGCAATACAATACATCACAGTTCAATACAGCGCAATACAATGTAGTTCAATGCAGTGCAATAAAATACAATACAGTGCAATTCAATACAATGCAATACAACACAGTGCAATACAATACAATGCTGTGCAATACAATACATTACACTGCAATAAAATACAATGCAGTGTAATAAAATGCAGTGTAAATCAAGACAATGCAATACAATACTGTGCAATACAAAGCAATGCAGTGTAATACAATACAGTGCAACACAATGTGGTACAGTGCAATACAATGCAGTGCAATACAATACATCGCAGTTCAATACAGTGCAATACAATGTAGTGCAATGCAGTGCAATAAAATACAATACAGTTACAATGTAATTCATTTCAATACAATGCAGTGCAATACAATGTGGTACAGTGCAATACAATGCAGTGCAATACAATACATCACAGTTCAATACAGTGCAACACAATGTAGTGCAATGCAGTGCAATAAAATACAATACAGTTACAATGTAGTTCATTTCAATACAATGCAGTGCAATACAATGTGGTGCAGTGCAATACAATGCAGTGCAATACAATACATCGCAGTTCAATACAGTGCAGTGCAATACAATACAGTGCAATACAATGTAGTGCAAAGCAGTGCAATAAAATACAATACAGTGCAATTCAATACAATGCAATACAATACAAAACAATGCTGTGCAATAGAATACAGTACACTGCAGTACAATACAATGCAGTGCAATAAAATACAATGCAGTGTAATAAAATGCAGTGTAATTCAAGACAATGCAATACAATACTGTGCAATACAATACAGTGCAATATAATACAATGCAGTGCACTGCAATGCAATGCAATACAATATGGTGCAGTGCAATATATTGCAGTTCAATTCAAAACAATGCAGTGTAATACAATGCAGTGCAACACAATGTGGTACAGTGCAATACATTATAATGCAGTGCAATACAATACAATGCAGTGCAATACAATAAAATGCAGTACAATACAATACAATGATGTGCTATACAATACAATACAATGCAATGAAATGCAATTCAATGCTATGAATGTACACCTTCTACAGTCAAATAAACACAGATAAAATTGTAATAGTATGTTAGTGTATGGAGTTTGAAGTGGGTGGGGGATACAATTACCAGTCTGCTGATTGATGACTTAATAACTTAGAAAATATCTCCTAGCTTTTAACAGGTGGCACTTATGTCTACCTTATGTTCTTGAACAATCTCGTCTAAGAATACAGACCCGTATCCTGGATTAACCTGGGGGAGTGGTTTTACCAAGGGGGAGATTTTGCCAAGAGGGGGGAGCTTTTTGACAGTTATGGCAAAAAAATCATGCGAAAAGTGCTAAGAATGGTGAAAAACTGCATGATTTTGAACGAATATTTGGCAAGGGGGGGGTGAGGCCCCCTGGCTACGGCCATGGAATACATATAGGAACTTTCCTTCTCCCAGAAGAAATGGTATACAGGTATTACATCAATCATTCTGGTATTTTGTATACGAAGGTCTGTAGTTACTTTATTGAAAGATGGCAGTGTACACTGTGTACTACCATTTTGAGGTCAGTTTGACTTTATAATTCTGCGCACTATAATCTGTAATTCTCATAGATATCCTCTCTAGAGGCATCACTGTGATCCAAAATTACAATTTCGCAGGTCAAGTCTGCAGTCTTTCGAAAAAAGTTGAATTCGTTGTGCTACCCTTTCTTGTTGGGCATTTATTAACAGAAAACTATAATTACATCGCGCCAGCATATACAAGCTTCAGCGCGATATTTTGAGTATGTTAATAAATAAAGTGCGCAGAAATCGATCTTACTGGGCCGCGGTGTGCGATATCACTCATAAACAATTTTTAATTGCGCACTGAATGAATTACAGGGGCGCGTTGTGCAAAGTGAATTAAATAAATAAAGTGCGCAGAAATATATCTGACTGGGCCGCGGTGTGTGATATCACTCCCATGTTAAAACTCCATTGAATTTTAAATTCTGCGGTATATCCCCTTTCGCTTTCCGTAGTCATTGCATGTGCTGGTTCATTTTCTCTGCGAATAAAAAGCTTTTCAGTTAAAACATGAATTGTGTGAAAACATTGACGTTTCTGGTAAAAATTTATCCCGTACTAGGACTATAGTCTATAGTCCTGGTACAGGATAAGTAAAAATGACCTTCGACGCCACATCATCCAAATTAGTCGATGACATCCCGTGATTTTGCATCTGTTATAATATTTATGTAAAAGACCGACAGCCGACCACGTGTACTGGGGGGGGGGGGGGGAGACGTGTACCCAACTGTAGAGGGTGACTGGTCGGTGGTCGGCGCTCGGTCATTTTCGTAAACCCACAGAACAAAACATAGAACCTCTGAAATTAGACGTAGACGTCCTAATGATGCAATGTTAGCATGAGTGAATGTAGGTTGGTATTGATTTGTTGATAAAATCTATATTAATCATAATCTTATATATACTTTTTTAGATATTTTGATATATATATCAATTATCAACTGACTGGGGTATTATGTATGGGGTCTCCTTATACTCCGGGCCTTATACAGTACCTTAATGTTTTGATTGGCTCTTTTACATATCTTGTATTATATCTTATCTGGGCAGGCCCCCAATAACTTACCAGGTGATGGCATTTTGTCATACTCAATATTTTGTCATACTCAATGTTGACATATTGCTACCCAGCCTGGCATTCTGGCATTTGGTGGTTGGTTTTTGGTGTTAGTAACAAATTGCTGCACTATTGAACCATCTGCAATAATATAACGGGTGGTAACATTTTGTCATACTAATATATTAATCTGTCTATTCCTCTTTGTTTCAGTCTACTAAGGTTGGCTTGGAGAAGTTTTCAGTGCATTGGACCTAGCAGAGAAAAAACAGCCCAGTGACAGAAATGATCTCGAAAAAGATTGATGCTCTGCCTATTAATAAAATCTTTGGAATTAATGGGATATTTTCAATTTACTAAAAAAAGAACACATTTTTGCAAGGGTCAAGTCGGCAAGTCATCAAATCCAATGAGAAAAATCCATTCATCACCATGACAACTGTTTAACTAGTGACCTTGCATGTGTTATTGCTATTTCACACACTGTTCAATATGTGAATACTCTGTTTGGATTGGCTGGAATCGGACACACCTTGCCTCGCTATGTGTGAATTAAATTAAACAGTCGAAGTTCAAATCATGTGAAAGTTAAATCATTCAAGAAGTGATAAGATGGTCCAGGCTATATTTCCATTCTGTGCTAATGATTTATATAATAGTATATGTTATACTATTAGCACTTGAGCTCAGAAATAAGTAATAGATTGATTGTCATCTAGTGTGCACCCTTATCTAAAATATTGAAGTAGTTTTATATTTTATAGAGTACTGGTATATCAAATTGCCACCCTCATTTAAAACATTGCCAAATAAAATGAAATTTTATTAATATTTTTGTTACGAAATTTAAATATGTATAATTTTTTATATTCTAATATGTACATTTATTTGTCTTATAAAATACTGCTGTTAAAGTTTAAAATGTTGAAATGACACATCCCTAACAGCAATGACACATCCCCAATTTGTTCATGAAAGTAATTTAAAAATCTAAAAAATAATTTACTGTTTACACACTTTAAACTTTTAATCACAATCTGCATGTTAGCAAATCAGCTGATGCTAAGTGAGTTTTTATTATATTAAGCCAATTGGAAATAATTAATGAATCATGAAAAAAGTGACTTTTGTGAGTTGATTCCATATCTTGAATGGTATTCCAGCCTGACAAAATCAATCAGTACTCAGTACTGACATCTATTTTTCCACCAAGTCCTTTATTTGCTGTACCAATTTTTCCTAAATATCCCTGAGCTTTGTGTGGCATGAATTAAATATATTGTTTTTGACTCAGGCCTGTAGCCGGGGGGGGGGGGGGGGGTCCCAGGGTTCGGAACTCCCCCCTGGCCAAAAATTCTTTCAAAATCATGCAGTTTTTCACCATTTTGAGCACTTCTCGAGTGATTTTGGCCATATTTGGGCCAAAATTGTCAAATGTGAACCCCCCTGGAAATTTTTGAAAACTGAACCCCCCTTGGCAAATCCTGGCTACGGGCCTGTTTGTACTGTGTGAATAGAATACTAGAAGACACTGCTGTAGACCATGAAAGTGTTAATATTTAGAGATATTCACTGAGTATCAGAAATATCAACAGAGCATCCAGAATTAACATTCAGAGGAAATATATTAGAGAGGCACAGTAAAACTTGTCTAAGTGGAATACATTTGGTGCCTCTAAGTCTAGAAAGGTTCTACTTATAGAGGTCCATTTAACTCAGTTGGTCTTGGGACTCTGAAGTGTTCCACTTACAGAGGTGTTCCACTTTACAGATTTCACTGTATTCAGAAACATGCACAGATAATTACATTAATAGTGTAGAATAGTCTGGTTTGGGAATTCCCAAGCTGAATGAAACATAACACTAAGCCTTAAACATGATGTATAATGCATATTTTAAATACCAGATAAAGAATATAACAAATGCTTATTCATTATGACATTTTATTTGCATAAATGACATTGCAAACATACATATAAGGCATTATAACATGCAAAATGTCACCACCTGCCATTTGATACAGACATCAAATGCTGAACATCAACTGCCGAACATGAAATGCCACCAAAAAGTTGGAGACTTAAGGAATTAATAATGATAGGCCATTCAATATGGTGAAATTCAGCACGAGTTGGACAGAATGTTGTACAAAGCACGAACCGAAGGTGAGTGCATTTGTACTAACATTCTGTCCAACGAGTGCTGAATTTCACCATATTGAATGGCCTATCATTATTTATTCCGATTCCAACATAAAAATTAGTAAAAGCCGTGTTTGTGGAACGGGCATGAAGGAAGAATACGCATGCTGTCAAGATTCTGAAGTCGGCCGGAAAAATTTTAGAATTTGTTTGGGCTGTTCTATTTTACTCCCTGTTTTAGATTATTATATTATATAGTCAGCCATAGTTAAATAGTTACAGTAGTTACGGAGGGAGTAAAAAAGAACAGGTATCCCCGGACAGAGCCCCAGATGTGCAGCTGAGATGTGACGTCACTCAAAACAATGCAAATTGCAGATTGAATAGAGCATGGTCGTGCATCTATGGAGAATTAGAGAACGTTCTATATTGGCTATGCTGCATTCTGATTGGTTGAGAAATTCGAATAGAGCACGGTCATGTTTGAATTATAGGATATCCTATGATTTTGAGGAATATCATTTTTATCTACGAGGTGATATTGATACCTGCACGAGAGAGCGAAGCGAACGAGTGCATATATCAATATCACAGAGTAGATTAAAATGATATTCTGAAAATAAATCATAGGATGTTCTTATTATCCTACTCTTACAAGGAGTGTACTAAATTGAATATCATTGCAAAATGAATTTCATGCCAAATAGAGTCAATATGGCGGGAAATCAACAAGCGAAGTATATCGTCACAATATCCTCCGCATATTGGGTTTTCCGGAGTATATCGTCACGATATCCATATTCATTTTGCCAATAAATATCAAATTTATTTTTTAATGTTATTATACATTTAGTACACTAAGTGTAGGATAATATAAAGATATGTCATCACTTTTGGTGGTGACATAATAACAATACTAGGTCTAAATTACAAGATTGAACCTTTGTACAATTCTACAATTCTCTCAAGTTCTCAGAAGTTCAAATCTGACTTTAGATTTGAGATTTCACCTTCAACGACCTTCTCAGGGCCAAAAATAGTATTTTTCAACTTGCTTCAAATTGACAATTTTTTCTACAAGTTCTCACTAGAGGCAATCTGCGCGAGATTCCATTTTTTGGTTCGGTTTTTAGCGCATGCGCAACAAATACAGCAATTTAACTGGTTCAAATTATTATAACGCAATTTTTGGATGAGCAAAAAATAACTTATAAGAACATTTAATTTGAGATAGATGTCACTTACGTACATTATTTCCATCAGTCCCTACCCATGATGCACCATAGTGCGGGTATATTTTTGTTTAGTGCCAAAACAAAAAGTATACACCCAAAACAAATGTAATGACATACTATATAATATCTGCCCCGTATTTGTAGACGTGTGTTGTACAAACTTAAACCGAACTAATGGCAGAAAAGCACTTTGAATCATGGGAATGAAGTACTTCCTTTAATGAAAAACCGAACCAAGTAAAAACCGAATCTCGCGCAGATTGCCCCGACTCCAAGTTCTCGAAAATATTGTGAGCAACTAGGTAGTGACATTTTGCCATGTTAATGCCTTGTCTGGCTTATTTTGGCAACCAAGTGTCATATGGTGTCAGTAGAGTTTTAGAAGACACTCTTAATCATTGAAATATTCCTTCTATTTAAGTTTGAGTTTGTCTTTATTTTGCTGAATATTGTAATTTGGACATATTGGTGTCTCAGAAAACTTCATCCATCTTCTTCCTCTTCCTCATCTCCAAATGACAAAAGTTTTGTATTTTTAACTGATTTCACTTTGCTTTGTTTATCTTTTAATTTTGAGCTGTCTTTTTTCTTCTTTGAGCTGACATTGAGATCATTGTTTTCATCTGTGCTACGCTTGACTGGTTTACGAAACATGATTTTCCCTCCTTCTGGTGCTGAATCTGAAAATCATAATTAAATATCATTATCATATCATTGGAAAAACAAATACAATGCAAGTTACTTAATTTAGAAGAATTAAAATATATGACAAGAGACTCTTTGTACAAATGATAGAAATCAGTGCAATTTTTTTGGAGGGAGGGGGAAACTATGTGTCATAGGTTAATTGATTAAAAGATGGCAGTGCAATAGTCTAGTTACATACACATAATGCCATCTTTATATCCAAACTTAAACTTCCTGGCTATTGCTTTTGCTAAATGTTGCCAAAGTTTTTTGCTAAACATGATCCACTACCTACCATCACCCTGTAGTCTGTCTACTCCTTCAATTTTGTCTTCTACAGCACCACCTTTTATCTTCTCTACATCAGTTGCAGACAGATCACCAGGCTTCAGGACTACGATAGTTGGAGCCTCATCTTCATTGTCCTCTCTCTCTGGATCACTGTCAACATCATCTTGTTGTTGATACTTGAAACACAGTGAAGGTATATATTATTGTACAGTGATTTCATTTCATTCATTTTGAAAATACAATTAATAGGTATGCATTCACTTTTAATCCTTTCTGCATCTACTGCTTAATCAGAATCAGAATAATACAGCATATTTTCAACAAAGGACAGCTGAGGTATGAAAACAGGAATTTAGCACTCACTCAAGGAAAACACAGCGATTTAATGGAATACTGAGTAATACACCCCATGCAGACAGATCGCCTAAAATTACATTTGTATGATGCAAGAATCGACATTCACCAGGAAATAAGAAAAATTTTGCCACCCATGAAGCAAATTAATTTTTTACTGCTTTATAAATGGTGAATGACAGTCACATTGAGTTCTACAAGTATAGGAATAGCATAACGTCTTGATATTTTAAGGTAACTTGTTTGAATAGTGATGGTGGTGATTGTGATGATAGTGATGGTGGTGAAATTGCGATGTAAAGATAAAATCGCAACGAAATATTTGTAAATTTATTTGAAAAACTAAGAAATATACATCACATGTCAAATTTTTCAAAACAGAAAAAAACATGTATCAATAGTAAGGCCTACAGGTCCGAATCCCCACTGGTAGCGTTAACATTGGTCTCGTGTATGTCATACAATTAATATTTGAAACACAACTATTATTCAAACTTATGATCGGACATAAGTATGATGTGTACTTCAAGGTAATAAAATACTGTATTGTGAAGTGGTTTTCTCCAACTTTCAGCAGGAGCGCTGGAATAAGTAACGGTATTTAAGAAGATAATTGAATGTAACTTGCCCTTTTCATGACACATGGTAACAATAAGTCCTACTTGTTGTGTAATTTGCAGTTAAAGTGGAGAAATTCCAGACCTGGTGCGCACCATTTTTTAACTTTTTGCGCATGCGTGCACATGTGCAATGTACTTTACATGCGCATGGGCATTGCCGCTGAAAGATCTTGTGACTATTCATATTTTAGCTAACGCGAGTCATTTTGTAGCAAATCTTTACTTTCGAAAGTTACGAGATCTTGCAAGACATAAAATGGTTGCCATCTAAAGTTTTGTTGTCTAATAGAACATTGATTTACTACAACAACAGACTGTTGAATGAACAAAATAAGGTAACAACAAATAAATTATGTATTGATTCAAATATATAGCGTATTATCAACGCTACTCAGCACAGCATTTAGTCGAAATGGGCTCGATTTTTTCTCTTCAAGAATTTTCAATCCAGACCCCCAGAGCTGACTTCTGTCAGCTCGGTAAGTCACTAGCAAACTTCCCATGTTAAAATTCATTTTCAAAATGGCCCTTCCCATGATTCCCAGCGACTCTTCTGATTGGCTGGATGACTTTTCCAATATGGCCGCCCATTCAGAGAAAAAATGCAATATTTTTACCATGTTGGGCAAAATTCTGTATAAAGTGATCCCTGTCCTTTACCCTAAATAAAATCTCAATGCAAACGCTTCTACTCATGTTGAAGTATTCACTAAATATTAATACAGGGACATAAATGCCAAATACATTCCTCATCATATAAGCTCTTATTATGTCGCCATTTTGTACTTCTTTGTACTTCCGTGTTTTTCAATTGAAAACTAAATAACGTTTCAGGTTGATGACAAAACATTTTTTGAGACCAAGAAACTGAGAAATTTGCATACTAAAAGGTAAAATAATAACATTTCTTGTCATTGACCCGGTTTGTCATCAGTTTCATTCTATAGTTAACATCTAAATGCCCTATTTGTATAATATCTAGCAAAAATATAAACACAATATATAGTTTCAAACAAGAAATGAACTTACGATTTCAACATTTTTCAATCACTCTTCGGAATGTTTGATTAGAAATTGTGTGACACTAAAGGGTTTTAAAATATGGACGACGAACATTATCTCTAGACCTTGGTTTATAACCCCTGTTGTACTGTTGGTCGTGCTTACAATGCAACAATATGTTTGACACAATTCACAAATATACTTGCATTTTATGGCGTTCTACACTTCAATATATCTTTTATTCCACAAAAATTCGGAATTGATACATCATTCCTCCTTTGCAATCACAGAGAGACCTTAGGTGTATTGAACTTACTGAACATTGTTCACACGAGGCAAATGAAAACCACTTCACTTCCGCCAAAGTTTCAATTTTCGCGCAATTTCTAATTAGGTCAAATTCGAGTCGACCAATCAGAGCCTTCGGTAGAGTGTAACTTTGAAAACGAAATGTTTCTTTCATTTTTCTATACGTTTTGTCGACTCATGCTATAAATTGAGATTTCTGTGAACCAGTAATGGAAAAATAAGTAAGTAGAAGTATTTCTTCGTATAATTAATATGTAATTGGTTACCATTAGGTGTGTTTTGGGATAAAAATTGACATTTCAATATTTGGGATTTTTTTAGTTGGTTTGCATGTGTAAGTCTAACCTTAGTGTTCACTGTAGGACCTTCTTTGTATCCCATCCTTTGTTTCATTTGTTGTAAAAAAGAAGGTTCGTCTTGTTTAATGTAAGCTATGTTTCTTTTAGCCATTATTCACGTAGAAATTGTAAAAATTATAAAATTTTGATTTTGATTTCTCACAGAAAGAGAGTTGACTGTGGCTTGTTAGGAAATAAGTTTTTTCATTTCCGGTAAAAGTTTTTTGTTGTTTATTAGTGTGTATGAGTTGAAGTAGAAATATATTTGATCAGAAAATCAAACAACAAAATAAACAATCAGTAAATTAACAATCCTTATCAGATAATACCGAGCAATCTCAGGTTACTAATTAAAAGTTAATTGAACTCAAAATGATCCGTCCCTACATTCTTGACCTCTGACCTCTATCCGTCAATCAAGCTCCACAAGGCAAAGTGCTCCGCCTAACAAGTGCGAAAAACAACAAAACCGTGTTGTTGTAAACTTGTTATTATGCGAGAATTAAAGAAGTGGTCGACGATGTAGGCATACAAACGGCTATTACATATCATAACGAAGACATCATTATTCAATAGAGTGTGGAAAAGTACATCAATATGGGGAAATCACAGAGTAAACACGGTAAGAAAAAACGCCATTTATATCATTTTGCACTCCTTTGGCTCCATCATAACATTGTCAATAAATCTGAACTCTGATTGTAAGTAAGAATCAAATTATCTTGATAGTTTTGGGTGTACTATATATTAATGAATTACATATACATCTGTAACTTCGTGCTTTTATTCTGAAACGTTAAGGTCAGATTAGTTGCATAATAGTTTACAAACATCATCCAGTGGATGCATTGCAGGCTTCTATTCTGTGAAAATCAGATTTGTGATCAAATCTAAAAAACATTTTTTGACAATAAGTACAATGGCCAGTCACCTTCCAGGAGTTGGCATGTTAACTTAAAAAAGCGTGTTGAAAATGGCTCCCTTGACTCATCATCTAGATCTAGCATAACTAGACATAGGCAGGGCAATCATACCCATCGCACCCCCCATCCCCACAAAAAAGAAAAAGCAATTTCGTAAAATTTGTTCGTAAAATTTGTTTCGTAAAATTCCTGTGACTCTACCTCTGGACTTGATGTCAAAATTACCCTACTTGTTGACATAGAACTTCTTCACCCTAAAGGAGTTGACCATAACTTGAGACTTTACAGTCTAATACCATATAACCGGGCATATAACCTCTGCTTATGGAGTGACTATCATTTCTCTCTGATAAATCAAAGATTGGGCAAATGGGAGTCTACCATTCTGATACTTATTATGTCATGTTTCCATTTCATTAATATGAATACATGTAGTAGAAACATAGCTAAGAAATGAGATATCATGGTTTATCATACTGGTTATTATGCTTTTCTTTTTCTTTGTTGTTGTCATGTCAAAGATTGTAGACTTTTATCCCCTTTGTATAATGGCTATATGCGGATATGAGGGCCTCTTTCTTCATTTACTACCCTGTGAAAAAGACTCTCACAAACTTAAGATGTGGAGAGACTCTGATAAATCAGAATGCTCTTTCTGCCTTTCCAAGAAAAAAATCAAAACACTAATCTCTATGAATTGCAGCGGGAGGGGGGGCAAACATTCATTACATCAACTTTTCAATCTAGAAAGGAACTGGTAAAAGGCAGTGATCTCCCCTAATCTCCTCCTAATAAACATGGCACTAATTTTCTAGATTATGTTAATTTCATCTTTGTGATCAGACTTGTGTATTGAAGTACATGTATGCATATATACCTGAGGGAAATATTACCTAACAAGTAGACAGTTATATGGTCACTGAGTTGACACTTGTGTCATTTTGATGTTAATTGTGGCATTGTTAATGATGCATTCTTACATGCCAGTTAGTTGATAAATGCATTAAATTAACATGCTCAATCAAGCTTGATTTTGTACCATAAACCACTGATTTTGATACTACTATGAAGTGGTTTGATAAATGCCACCCAATTTGCTGTTGTGTGAAAAAAGATCATTTGTTTTTTTAAATTGCATGACTGATTCCAGTATTTATAAATTTTATCTGGATTTTATCTATGTATACTTGGGAAAATAATTAAGAAAATTCATGTGTAAATCTAACATAGATTATTAACTTATCCTGAGGAGTGTGAAATGTTTTACAGTAAGTGGTAAGGAGTACATAAAATGGCACCAACATTCATAAGTTAAATCAAAATTCCATCATCAAATGATCCATTAAAGATGAAGAATGATTAAATCAACTTTAATATTGATTCTTTATATCATATTTCTCAATTCTAAATTCATGATAGAATTTTTATTTAAAATGTTGCTTGTAAGTACTAACAAATTCTAAGATAACATTAGTCTTTCAAACTACATATTGTCATATATTATAGAGAATATATAATAAGAGAGGGGGTGGGTGATTTATTCTCCATGCATTAGCAAAAAAACAGATTCTTGCACCCTGGTCATCACCAGCTAAATTCCCTCTGACTAATACAGAAGCTCATAGATCTTAACACATGACTAATGTGTCATGTTTTAATACAATTGTCAATAAAAGAAATATACAACAATCTCAAAATAAACTTTTTTGGAAATTGAATATTAAAGGAATGTAGTTAGCTACTTATTTGCTGAAAATTGCCTGACTGCATATTCTGGAACTTGCTTTAAATCAAAGACTATAAATCTCTTACTCGTTTAAAGAGTTAAGAAGACGTCAAGGTGTTATAAAGGGTGATATTTTTGCATATATCTGCTTTCAGTTGAGATTCAGGAGTGTTACTTCATGAAGTCCCATCTGAACCCATTAATGCTACAACATCAGTTGATGAAGCACCAAGGAAATAAAGGCTTCAACCTGGCCAACTATAACATTCAATCAGTAAGTACCCCCTTTCCATTAGTATTGTATTAAGCCTATGTGTACCCCAGTCCCTCCCTTCCGAACTGTACATAAATGCAAGTGGAGAGATATAAGAGGGAACAAAAGATTTAATAAAAGACTACTTTGATTATTACCATAAAATATTTTAAAGATTCTAGTTATATCCTAGATTAGTATTTCCAGCATTTTGATAGACCCCTGACCCCTCTCTGCCCCCCTCCCTCTTCTCCAATATAGGTTTTGAAGGAAATAGAGGGGCATGAGACTAAAAACCTAATTGCCAAAATCTAAAATCCAATACTGTATGACAATTTAAAGTGATTTATATGAGGTCCAAGAACTTACATTGTCATTAACATACCCTGGAGCCCATAGTCTAAAGAAGTACATGTAATTGTAAGCTCTCTGAGATGCGACAACAACTTCTTGAAAAGGATTTCATTATCACAGTTGTGACCTTATTCTCATCAATCAAATATACAGGTGGCATTTTATCCATGTATTGTACTTTTAAGTGGGGAACCAACAAAGCGTGGCCATGTTTACATGTATTTTGACATTTTAAACCATTTAGTTATTTGAAACATACAATTGAGAAAAGTTTGGATGGGAATGGCATTTCGTTTTATGTATTATTGAACCATCATTTTCATTTGCACGAAATCTTCCACTTACATTATGATTTCAAGCTACCTTGAATATAAAGAGCCTTGCATATCAGATGAATCTCTCTTTTGAAAGAACCAAAATAAAAATAAAAAGTGTAATTTCAATAGTAGCCCTGCTTTACCATCTAATGGGTGATGGTAACTAATGTAACCATAGACACAAATTTAATGCAATTCGATAACAACAAAAGAAAAAAACTTCATTCAAATTGACATATTCCGTGTCTACAAATCATTTTATTTCATGTTTATCATAATATACTCTGCCAGGTCATGATAATTAGAATTAATGATGTACTTTAATATATGTCTAATGAGTAATTATGTCTATTTATAATGATATATTATTAGATTGACCAACATGGTTAGTTACATAAAGCTTGCACTTGATTGGAAAATTTTAATTATAAACTCAGGTTCAGAGACCTTTTGGCTGGTCGTGGTGATTCTAATCTATTCTTCAACTAATGTTTGGTTTCCCATATAGTCAAACGTGTCAAATAAGAACACTTCCAGTCAAAAGTATTCACATTAGTAGGTGCTCACATTTCAAGGTTTCATAATGTGTTAACTTTATGGGAGATACCTAAATTGGGATGGAGAAAAGGTGCTCCCATTGAAAGGTGTTAATTCAGACTAGAGAAGTTTTCAGAAAAGTTTTGCTTCAAAACTGAACCGATTTTTTCTTTTTCAAAATCGTGCAGTTTTCACCATTCTGAGCATTTTTTAAGTGATTTTGGGCCACTTAGCGCCAGCCTTGATTTATTTGAAAAGTGAACCCTCTTGGCGGCAAAAACTGGCTATGGTCCTGGTATTTTTTTCTTGGTTGTGATTAGAGTGGGCTGATTAGAGTGCACCTGGTCACAGGGTATATAGTACGAATCAATCATCGTGTGACAGTGATGATAGCTGTGGGCTAATAACCTGTCTGTCTGCCTAACCTTATACATGACATATAGTCTTTATACATACCACCACAATGTACGGAAAATAGTTCAATTCCAACTTTGTATAAACCCCAATTGTGGGTTCTACAGCCTCTAAAATATCAGGAAGAAGGCTTCAGGGATAGAATCTGATTGTGAGGTTATTCTTCAGAGTGGATTTTGCAGAAAATAGTTTTAGTTCAAGACTTCAAGCCCGGGACTTCAAGTTATTTATATAATTAAGAATCTTATGAGTAGCAAGTTCACATTGGTATGTTAGGTAACGTAATATAAATGTTAATAAAAAAACCTACATGGCCTTTCATGAGACACAATTATCATTTATAGTTGTTAAACTATTACAGATGAATAGTTCTTAAAAATAGTTATACATTTATAACCATATAATTATCAAAATTGTTACTACTGGCAGTATTGTCACAGTGGTCTCAAAAACATCTCTTTGCAGTTGCAGAAGATTTATAAGGACAAAGTCATTTTCTTTCAAATGAAGAGTCACATTTTATGAGATCAGGTCAAAGTCTTATATAAGCAGGACTATGTTTTTGGCATTAATTGTTGTTATTTCTATAGTCACTGCCAAAAAGTTATGGCATATTGTTATAGCCATTATTTTTGTGACGACATTCCTTCGAAGTTCATGTTGGTTTTCAGTGTAAACAGTCGATGTAACAAATGGTTACACTTTAAACGTAAAATGTAACCATCTACAATAACTCACAAAGAATATGTAGGAAATAATAAGCGTCAGAATTCAAAGTGGATGACATCCTATTTGGTATATTATCCACATTTTGCCTTAATATGTTATTTGAAATGAGTTATATGATTCTAGTCAGAGATTAGGTGTTCATAGTGAGAGTCTAGCTGACAGGGCTCAGGGTACTCTGGGAGCATACTGGGAGGGCCTGTCTGGGAGGTAACTAACAAATTATGCGAGGACAAGCTGTTGAAGGATGCCAATGAGCTGTTCCTTCATCCTGCATCACTTCACAGACTTTGTTTTTAATAGGGGCAGAACATTAGATCATAGTGTTAACCTAACTTTCTCCCAAAATGTTAGCGGGAGTGGAGCTGGAAAGTTACAAGAGGAAGGTCCAAGGGTACCCTAATTGCATTCGTTCGACTTCACTTCGACTTCACTTCGACTTCAGTATGACCGACTGAACCTAATCTTTTAAGACCAACGTTTGGTTTTTCTAGGGAACACATCAGATATGATTTATTGGTTTTGACTCGTCCCGTACCGAATGTCCCATCCAGAAATGGATAATACTGTCTCGTCTCGTCCTGAAATATTTTTGTCCCTTGACATCCATAGATACTACTCATGGCTTCTCCGTAGGGAGAGATTGGGATGTGGCACTTTATTAAAGCTTCACATGGCATGAACTAGTATTTAGTTTGATAGAACAATATTCTACCTCACTCGGGCTAAAGCTCTCAAGGTAATCGTTGAAAAATATCTAGTTTCTGCTAGTTCTTGTATTTTGAGTAAGAGAACAAATAAATATTTTGTACTTCTATAAGAGATAACAAAATTGCGTCTGACTTATTGATGGTGGAATTTTATTTTTGATTGATGGTAAGAATGTTGGGCTCCCTAAGGATGGCCAAGATTTAATGGTTCATCATTTACTTATTTATTAATATCATACCATTGAAAGACGATATGTTGTTAAGTCTTGAGGAATTCTCAGAATTCTATGAACTCTTAGCTTAAGGCTTGAACTAGACCTACAAATTACCATGGAAAATCCAAAATGGCTATCTGATATAATTGTTTTCCATTTTCAACCAAAGTAGTTCCTTACTGTTGTTTGATATTTTGGTGCTTTTCTATAAAATATATCGATTCCATATATATTTCATGTTTTTTAGCTCGACCCAGGGACTCAGAGGTATGAACAGAGTTCAGGAAAACAGAAATTTTAGATCTCTGTTATACTCAAATGAAAAGTTTTTTTTAAAGCAGATATTTTATATTTTTAATGTAGAAACCTGATTTGAGATTCTCAGTAATTTAGCAACAAATTATAACACGTGTAATTTTCCTTTCTTTCAGTTTTTCAATTTAATTTTAATTTTACACAAATTACAATACAATTAAATTAATAATTTATTAGATCCCTGAATGCAATGCACTGATTTACCTACCCCCTCCCTTTCATCTCTCTATAAACAAGTAAATCAGTAAAATATTAAATAATGTGTTCTATAACATGTTATTTAATGTTTTTTAAATTCAATTCACTAACATGTTGAATTCATTCATTCAACAATTTTAATAATATTGATCACATAGGTTAAACAGGACAGTAACTTTCTTTATCGTATGATCTATAAAATGAAGCCTTCTGATTGGTCAGTTCCTGTGCTGTACCGATCTGTATTGCTACTGAGATTGTCCCCACTGATCATCTCCGTCGCAATACAGAATATATTGGTACGGAGGGAACATTCTCAGTAGCAATACGGAATATCTCGAGCAGAATATATCCTGTATTGCACTTCAAATTATTCAATAACTTTCTGTATTATATATAAAGTACATGTATATGAAGTACCATGAATAGTTGAGATGGTCCAACACCTGTGAATTTACCCTTAATCAGAGGTTCATTTAGTACTACTCTCCCTAAATGAGGATGTGGAAACTGGAAAGGGCACTGATTACCCCTATTAGTACATTACTAGATGAAGCTCTCTTTTAAGTAGCTGTTTTTCTTATCTACAAGCCTGTATGAGCCCCCCCCCCACTTTACACCTCTCTACTGTTTGAGAAGCTTGACTGAATTTAGCAAAAAACTCTTGAAAATGGAACTGGATATAGGGCAATTTTCATTAAAAATTGTTGATAGTCAGTATTCTTGCAAATAGCAGTGTCAATGGTGCCTAGTTAATTAATCAAATACATTTAGTAAAATTACAGAAAAACAAAGATTAATTTGTTAAAGTCTAACCCCCCTGCCCCTGCCCCATATAACTCCATGTACATGTATATCTATAAGAAAATCTCTACACATGTATTTGTTACCCTGTGGTCTCAAATTGATGAAGGGAAATAATTGTTTAAGATTGATTGAAATCTTGTTCTCTAATTTGATTACATAAATATAATGGTAATCTTATCATTTAATCATCTACCCCCTCGTTTCTTTGATATCCAGAAAACAATCTGCAAATGTTCAAGAGGCTAAGTAGATTGTTTTACATTTACATGTATATTCTCCCAACATCAGGTGATTTTTGGTAACAGCTTGAAAGCAGTTTGAAATGTTGATCAAAAGTAGCTCAGGATTTTAATCAAAAACATTTCATAGCAATCAACATGTAGAATCATCAACAAAACTTACTTTGAAAATTCTTTTTATTTATATGA